CCGGGGACATTCCTGATTTAGAGAAGCTGTCCCAGTTTGATTTGACCCTGGAATGTCCAGCTTTCCCTTAGGGTGTCCCTATTTTCATTGGATAAATGTTGGAGGCATGGAGTTATCCAACCCCCGAGCTGTCTGAAGGCAATCCTGTATAGGGAAGGTTTTTTAAAAAAATGTTTAATGTTTTAGTATGTTTTTATGTATGTTGGAAGCTGCCCAGAGTGGTTGAGGCAACCCAATAAGATGTGTGGCGTATAAATAGTAAAATTAACATTATGGAACGGGATGTCCCTATTTCCATCGGAGGAATGTTGGAGGGTATGCACCCACATTAGGGCTGCACTGGGTAGGGGGGGCATTACATGAAGTTGTATATCTGGAGACTTCTCCCCCCGCCTTTCTTAAAAAGAAACAGGTGTGAAGGGCCTCCTAAGAGTGCACCTCCAAATCAATGTTGAGTGTGTTACTGAGTGTGCTTGATCCTTATAGTTGAGCAGTCTTGCAGTTCATGTTATTAGGGATCCAGTCGTTCATATGAAAGTGCAAAAGGTCTCCTCGTGCCCCAATGGAAGACCCCTAAAATGTCATACATGAGACAACACTGGGTAAGTGGCAAAATGGGTGCTGGAGGGAGTCTTTCTGAGTGCAAACTGGGGAGAAAGGTAGTGGTGTCTGGGGGTTGGGGGTGCAATGTGTGGGAGATAGACACACAGAGACCACATCACTGGGTTAGTAGGTAATGTGCACAACAGCCACCTCCCTCCCTCATGTCTAGTTCCAGTCAACATACAGTCCGTCTTCTTTAGCAGGTTATAAAACTGATTCCAAATTACACTTGACGGTAGAAGCACTACCTACATGGTTTTAAACTTCTTGGGGGCAGATTGGGGGTGAGTGGGTTAGTTTTCTACAGATATGCCTCCCTCAATTGCAGCTGCAATCCAATATACAAGGCTGCAACCCTGTATAAACCTACTTTGCAGTAAACCCCTCTGAACTTAGCGGAACTTCCTTTGGAGTAAAGATACCTAGGATCAGGCTGTAAGAGTTGTTTAAAATGTTGGTTGAATTAGATTTTGCAGAGAGTTTATGGGCTGCCTTAGAAAACAGGAGTCCTGGAGCCTATTTAGGCCTAGGGAGAAGTGTAAATATAGTGGTTTCTCATTTTTTATGTGAGATCCAGATGTCTTTCCTCTATGCCTGCTACAGGGACGTGTTACTCTGCCACTGAGAAAAGTAATACCCTTTCCTGCTCAGTCCATCCCACCTTGCAATTTGATGCAGAAGCTGCATTGCATGCAACCACACCACTGAAACATATATTTCTTTAAAAGTGGTAAAATGCCACCATTCCCATTTGCCCTTTCTAGGTTCTCAGTTATTCTCAGTTATTAAGAAGTGGAAACTTAACTTAGTACAGGGTGTGAACTCCAGCACACATCCTTCCTGTTTTCTTTTTAAAGTGTCAGGCAAGAGAGAGGCTGTTCTTCCCATCCCTAGAAACTGGTAAGAAAGCTACCATGACCCTCTCTCCCTATTTAATGGGAACAGAATACTATACTATTGTTGACATTGGACTGGCAGTACTGTGAGTTTAGCAGTGAAAGTGTGTTTATTAAAATTTGTCTGGAAAGTGCAGAGACCAACAGAGTAGGAGGCCTGGAGAGAAACTGAACCCCACGTAGAGTGTTTGCTTTCTTTTTTCCTCTGATGCGCTTGCCAAGAATGTTCGCCGCTCCCCTCCTTCCACCCACCTCCATTTTCAAGCTATGTCTCATCAAGGGAGATTGCTCTTCACCCACCATAACGTTTATCATTTCAGAAAGGCAAGGATTCCAAGCCCCTTTGTTTTATTGCAGGGGCTGACTGGAATGTTTGCAGCGAGCTGTAGAAGAGAGTCTACTCTACCCACCGAACCCCATACCTAAGTACAGTGGTACCTCTGGTTACAAACTTAACTCGTTCTGGAGGTCCATTCTTAACCTGAAACTGTTCTTAACCTGAGGTACCACTTTAGCTAATGGGACCTCCCGCTGCGATTTCTGTTCTCATCCTGAGGTAAAGTTCTTAACCCGAGGTACTACTTCCGGGTTAGCGAAGTCTGCAACCCGAGGTGTTTGTAACCCGAGGTACCACTGTATCTTGAAAGATGTTAGGAACCGATCCCTGCAGTTCAATTTTCTGTCACTTTCCCCACCAGGAGAATCTGTGTAGGCCAGCTGTGGAAACACAATAGGGTCACCATTCTGCCTAATTTGTGGGGTTTGTTTGGACAAAGAATTTACAGAAAGTTGTTCTCATAAATCCAACAACCATCGCCTTTCCCAAAGCTCAGTTTCATCTTTCTCACTAGAACAGTTCTGAATTGCACAATCTAGGACAAGAATGAGGGAGACATCTACTGGTGACTCCTGTTGCCACAGTCTAGGGATCTTTCCCACATACTCAGTTGGGGTTTTTGGGGGGTGGGGTGGGGTGGTGGAATAAATGCATATTCATTTATCATTTGCTGCAAAGTTACACTGCTGTTGTGTGGATACGTTTCCCTCACCGAATTCTGTTATGATTGCTCAGTCCCTTCTATTACCGCAGTTGTGCCACGGACACATGTACTGCCAAATGGATCAGATGAAAATGCTATGACCCTTTACATAAAAATATTGGAAGTTTTAAATGCCCCCCTCGCCCGCCCCACAACTCATCAGAGACCAAGGACTGTGCACGGAAACTGCCATCATGTTGCCAGGGAATGTTGGTAACAGAGCAGCATGCAGACGCTGGTACTCAGGTGGCTGCAGCTGGGACTTAGGCCAAAAGGAAATCAAACAGCTTATTGCTTGCTTCACTTGAGCCTGGGGCCTGAGGTGGCTGGGGGTGACCGGGCTCCTATCCCTATTTTTGTACAAATGATTTTTCAATCCCGCCCATCACACAAGGTGGAACAGATAGCATCCTTGTGATTCAGTGATACTGGAATATAAAAGGACAGGAAGTGAAATACATTGGGGTTGGTGCTGTGCATCTAGCACCTGGAAGTGCTGACATCCTCACAGCTGCAAGAGGTACCTTTGAAGTCGCACTCCAAGGTGGCATCGGATGGTGCCAGTCTATTCCAGTGCCCTGCAAGGAGAGTGATGATGTTCCCAGGACTTTTGCCCAAATCTTCCTGAGAAGAAGGGTAGCTTGTTCAGGGCACCGGGGGGGGGGTGATTTCCCCCACAGAACTACAGTTCCCAAAGTAGGTTACCAGGATGCTTTGGGGAAGCTATCTTTCTCTATTGTATAACTTGTGTCACATTTTACTGGCGTGAGTAGTTGTTTACGAGACTGCTTCATCTTCCAGTTAGGATGGCATATTATAATTTAAACTGACATGTTTTAGGAAGCCGGACAAAACAAAGAAAGAAATCCACTTTGCAAGACTGAATTAGTTCTGGTAATTGAGGTCAGCTCTTCACAGCATAACTGAGCCAACTGGACAATAATTAGCTGGATTGAATCAGTTGTTCCACTTTGCTAATAATTAGAAGCTGATGCTGAGAAACAGGCAGTGTCTAAAGCAGGGGTGGGGGACTCAGTGGCCTCCAACTCTCATCCACACCACCCAATATGGTAAATGGTCAGGGGTGATGGGCAACTGGAGTCCAAAATATTTGGAGGGTGCCAGGCTGAGGAAGGTTGAATTAGAGTGTGGTTACTACGTTTAGTGTTCAAAAACTCTTGTCTTTCTTTTGGGAACACTCTTTTAAAGGATTATGGCAAAGTGGCTCTGAGCATATGCAGAGTGCCTTTCAATGGTGCACAGAACAACCCTTTTGTTTAAAAACTGCAAGAGACTGTACCTAAATTATTGCTTTGGGAGGACCTGCCCTTTGATAGCCCAGATGAAATTGGTGGATTGTAGCGACAGGGAACACTCTGTATATGTCGAAAGGTACTGCATTTATTTTGTGTAATTGCAGGCTGAGTCCAGCTGTTGAAAAATTTCCAGGGCAGAGTCTGCCTCAAATTAAGCCTCCAGTGGCAGGAAAGACCATCTCAAAGCTTAGACTCAAGTTGCTATTTCTCCTCCACCCCACCCGCCAGGGCTCTTGTAACTAACAGCTACATCAGAAAGAGGAACAGAACAGGTGCCGCTTCCCCCCAACTCCCATCATTTATCACAATGCAGGAGGAAGCTGTGCCTGTTGAACTCCTGTCTATCACACAGCTTTTTAGAGTAGAACAGAAGTTTCTCGGGGATTAGAAAATATATATAGTTAGCCCTAGGTGTGTGAACTGAAGTCAGTCTAATATTTGTGGCTTCAACACAGCACAGTACCAATCAGGTCACTCTCCCACAGTACCAATCAGGTCACTCTCCCCAAAGCCTGCGTCTTTTATCACTTTAAAATGCTGCCTCTTTGAATTGCTCACTTTCGATTGCTCTGCCCCATTCAAGCTCCCGTCGAGCAGCTCTCGGTGCAGGTGAGAGATCTGAACGGGAAAGTCATTGGCTTGCCTTTGTGAAATTTAAAATTCTAGTAATTTCTAGGTTTGCATATACAGTAATTGCTTATAAATTAACACACGGATTTTTTAAAAAAAATAAATATCTGGGCTTGGATCTTTTGAATACCCCGTGATGCTCCTGTGCGTAGTATTTTTTTCCTAAAGACCTAGTTTGGCGAGGCTAAACCCCAGCCGGCCACTCTTCTGCTGCTGCGTCGCCCGTCCTGGAGAGGGAAGAGTTAAGCCTCCACGATCCACAGCTGCACAGCCCGGGCTTTTGCCTCCAGAAGCTGCAGAGCTTAATTGTTTCCTTTCGCCGAAACCCCTTCCGCCCCCTCCTCAGAGCCCAAGCAAGCGGGACAGGCTGCATAATAGAAACCAGACTCCGAAGGAAAGAGGGATTTGTTCCCCCGCCTTGCGCCTCGCCCTCCCGGGTTGCAGGCGTGGGCTCGCTGCTGCCCTCTGCCGATCAGCGCCCCCCACATGGCCCCGACCTCCAAAACAGCGCGCCCGGGAGAGAAAAAGAGAACGATTTCCCTCTCGACCCTCTTCTTGGAAAACAGAAACGGGCGGCGCGGAAGCCTCGTACGGCAATATAACTTTACACGTGTACAGTGGTTGCGTCGGAATTCTGAATCCTTCACTTTCGCGGTGAAGGCGGCAGAGCTCCGGTCTCCATGGGGGTGCAGCATAATAGTCGGATCTGCCTGCTAGATTTACAACAAGGGCATCACGAGAAACGCTTGGAGCAACACCCCCGCCCTACCCCGGGTCTCCCACCCTTTCTTCCTCATCCACCCCGCCTGTCCCCGCCAACTTTCCTTTCCCCTCCCGTCCCGCAAAAACGCGCCTTTAAATCCCACCCATGAACGCGTATGAAGCTGGCGAGCACCCACGCGCCCCCTGCGTCCTGTATTGGAAGTGACGTCCCCCCTCTCTATCCCCATTGGCCGAAAGTTTGGGAAAGGGGCGGGGTTGGGGAATATTCCGCTTCCCCAGGAGCCGGTAAGTCTCTCTTTTTTTTAATGTGCGATATTTTTTCCTCGCACGTTTCCTGGCGATTAATTCCCATCCCCTCTTCTTCGCGGGAGCCGACAGCCTTCACGGTAATTAAACACTCCCACCCAAAATTTCTGGCCGGTTGCTCCAAGCGTCTGCCAGTGAATTCGGAATTCTGCAACACCTCTTGTCCTGCACTGTGTTGTTTCATAATCCAAGAGGGGAATGGTTTAGCAATCATTTTTAAAAATCTGCTTTAAATTTTTTTTAATTTAAAAAACCGCACTTTTAATTCTGGCTTCAGTCACCAGTTTCTCCAGCTAACAAGGGTGGGAAAGATTTCTGATCAAACTTGGAAATAACTGTCTGATTACACAGTTCAGGGCTAGATTATTCATGGTACTTAGATTTTAAGAGTTATGCAACATAAATGAGTTTCCATTCCTCAGCCTTTATTCTCTGTCAAAGTTTACATTTGAGCCTTGTTGCTGAAAGCCTGAAATACTTTGCAAAGCCCCCCTGCGCATCTATAAATGAAAATAAGGGAATTGCTGATGCATCACTTTGATCTAATTGGCATCTAAATTAGGTTCCTTAAGCTCAGAATTAGAGTGCATAGAAAAAGGCCACCATACCATCTGTCTGCAGTGATATGGGCAGGGAGTGGAGGGAGTGTCAATGCTTTGCTTGATTGCATCTCATAAAGTTCCACAAGACACTCATTTTTGCTGCAGCACTTCCAGAATTTATTACTCTACGAATGTTTCATCGTCATGATCGCCAGGACCAACAGTTCGTAGACTATCTCCCTGCTCTTATGCCCGTGAGTGTCTTCATGGGTCACTTCCCATATTGTAGTGGTGTTGTCCTGGGAGCTTGTTTTCTTCCTACCTACTCTCTTCCCCCTGTGATCCAGCTCTGTCACTGGTGGTCAGTGATTGCTAATGACAGGCAGGCTCAAATGATCTCACATGACTTGGTCTTGCTATAGTGAATGGGATTAAGTGCTTGAACAGCCTCCTAAGTACCAAGGAGGGAAAATGCTTTCAAAGAATGGCAGCTGGGGGTGCAATATTAAGATGAAATACATTCTTAATTATCCATTCCTACATAACCTATTCTTTCTCAGTCACCTGTACTTACTTTTCCTGTCAGTGCTGTACTTTATGCAAACAAGTAGCAAGATGTCCATCTGTAGAAAATGATGTGATTTTCCGCCCCCCATGTTTATCTCAGATTGCTGTTTGAAGCGGGAGGGTGGGTTTCAGAACTGTTTGATTATAGAGTCTGTGGCAACATTATTGACTCTTACAATGCAACTAACGGCTCAAAGCTTCACTACAGAGCTGACTGTATTTTTAGGCAGAGAGAGCTGATTGCCTCAATAGACACATGCAAGGAAGAGGGGACAATGGTGACAGGTCCACAGCCCTTTCTCTTATGCCCTCTGGCTGTGCCCTTCCGCTGGGGGACAGAGTTACCTATGCTAGACATGTCCAAAGTCTGTTTTGGGGGCCTAATTCGGCCCCTGTGGCAGTTTATTTCTTGGGGTCAAATCCTTTAAAAAGCTCAACAACTTTGGTCGGCCCTCACACCGCATGTTCACTTCATCAAATCTGGCCCTCTTTGAAAAAATTTTGGGCACCCTGACCTATGCCCTGTGACTTGTTTTGCATTCCTGTACCTATGCTGCTGTCCCCAGGTGTGCTGGAGGAAGCTCTCCCATTGCTGATACTGAAACAAGACCACGCTCTCTCGCTCCATACATTTAAAGCACTCTCATGCCACTTCAAACATTAATGGTTTCCCACAAAAGATCCTGGAAACTAATTTGTTAAGGGAGCTGAGAAAGTAATACTGGTACCTTTCAGGGCTGCTGTAAGGATTTCTGAGGTAATGTTTTGTTGAAATGCTCTGAACACTTGAAATGTGCTACATCAGTACTATTATTTGATCCCTGTTTTGCCTTGATGCTTCCCTTTTTCACCATAGGAGATTTAACCTGCATTCAGAGGGTCCTGTCTATTTGCACACATCCAGCCTCCTCATTGTGAGGGCCGCCTCTGTAGAATGACCCTGCAATGATCCAGAAGAGGAAGAACGTGATTCTGCTTGAGGATGGAAACAGAGACATTAGCCAAACCTGCTAACCAAAGAACTGGCAGTCCAAGGGATAAGGATCCCTTTGCCCACTCTGCCAACACTATCAAAATGTTTGTCAAAGTCAATGGATAAGCAAAGACCAAAGGTCAGTCCCAGCAACATTTCCATTGTAGGACTCTGACGTGTATTTTCTGCTTGGTTTGCTTCTGGAAGAATCTGGAAACAGAGGAGGAAAATTATGAAGACCAACAAGTTCTCCTCTGTTATAGCTTCTTCCTCTTGAGAGATGGGGTAAGAAGAGCAAACTGCTGACTCTGATGACTTCTCTCCCTTCTGCCTCTCTGCTGAGATTACTTCCCCATTTGCTGGAAGGGACATTATTCTGCCAGAAGCAGGTGGTGCTGAAAAGGAGGTGAAAGCCTAGAGCAATTTCCCAGGTATCTCAGGAAATCGGCTTCAAAATGGCAATTATTACAGCATACTTGACACTGTGGGTCTGCTTGCTGGATGTTTTCTCAGTGGCTTGGAGCCGTCGAATGGCTGGTGGAGGCCCTGTAATACTGGATCACCCATTCATCACCGTCTGGAATGCTCCCAGTCAAGAATGTGAAGAGAAATACAGAGTATCCCTTGACTTGGGGATTTTTGATGTGGTTGCCAACCAGAACGAATCATTCACAGGGAGCGACATTACCCTTTTCTACAGCCACAGGTTAGGATATTATCCATACTACGCTGAGAACGCCACAGCGGTCAACGGGGGCACCCCCCAAAACGCCAGCCTCAATAGTCATCTTTGGAAGACTGGGCAAGATATTGAAAAAACAATTTCGGAGGCAGGTTTCAAAGGTCTGGCGGTTGTGGACTGGGAGAGCTGGCGTCCCTTGTGGGTTCGCAACTGGGACTCCATGCAGATCTACCAGAATAAATCCATAGAGCTGGTGAAGGAGCAGCACCCCGGCTGGCCTGCTGATAAGGTGGCTAGGGAAGCTAAGCGAGAATTCGAGCAAATGAGTCGGGCGTTCATGGAGCTGACTTTGGCGCTTGGCCGAACCCTGAGGCCGGAGGGTTTCTGGGGCTTCTATGGCTTCCCTGACTGCTATAACAATGAATACAAAAGCACCGATTACACCGGAGAATGTCCAGAGATTGAGAAGCAGAGGAATGATGAATTGCAGTGGCTGTGGAACCAAAGCCGAGCTCTCTATCCCAGCATTTATCTTCCCAAAGAGCTCAGATTCCTCAACAAGACTCTTGAGTTTGTCCGTCATCGAGTCCAAGAGGCATTCAGGATAGTGAACCAGACGGGGAATGGAAGCATCCCAGTCTTGCCTTATGCTTCCATTGAATATCAGTTCACACAGACACAGAGCTTCCTGTCACAGGTAAGCTTTCCCAGATGTCCCAGTGCAGAATACGATCAATCTTTGCCAATAAGTACTTAACCTGAAAACACAACATGGAAGTGGGAGATACTTCTCTGTGGTCGGGATGCTTGGAGAATCTTGGCTTCAGTGTGTGCAGTTGCCATTAAGAATCTGCTACAGTGATTTTCCTGGGAATGAGCAGTAGCCATGTCAAATATTTCTAATATTAATATTAATATTCTAATATTTCATTTTGAGAAAAACACTTACCCCAACATTTAGATGTTCATAACATTTCTCCTGGTTAAGCAAAAACGCTGTTGTTGTTCTCCCTTTTGCAACTGTTTCTGGTATATGTCACGCTTTTATTTTTGGTCAGAAATATTATGAAGGCTCTTGTTTTTCAATAAGCCAATGTTGAAAATTATTGTGTTTTCGAATGTTGTTATGTATTTTAATTTCCCCCCATTTTATAAGTAAATATTATGAAAGAAAAATATCAAACTATTCCTATTTCAGATTTCTTTTAAGAAAATCGGGGTTTTTTAAAAAAAAATATAAATGTTGATGTTGTGTCAGTAATGAAAATGTACTGCAAAACCTCAAACTAGCACAGTCCCTGCCCAGCAGACTTTAGTTTGTCAGTAATGGGCAGGACTAAGGAGAAAATAAGCTTTGATTTGGGGTGTAGGGAGGTGGGGTGAGGATGTTTTGGAAGGAAGGCTGTAGAGGAGTTAGCTAGTGATAGGCATGGAACAAGTGAATCTAGGGGAGCCCAGGAGAGCCTTTGCAGAGGGAAGCTATTTTAAGAATGAATTTAAAGGAAGAGATGAAACACTGCCATGGTGACACAACAGAGGGGGAGAGGTTCTTCCATATACTTAGTAGGGAGCAGCAGGGAAATGAGCCAGAGCTTTATTTCAGATCAGGCTTTTTCAAGACACCATTGCTCCCCCTCCCACTGCTTCTTCTACCCTTTTCTCACCTTGTGCCCCCTTCATAGGGAAGGTTTGGGGTGGGTGGTGACTGCAAAGCCCAGGCTCCTCTCACACTATCTCCACATAGCGAGCATCTCCTTGCAAGCAAGCTCTGAAAAACACTTCTGCTCCCCCTCCCCATGCCTGCACAGAACAAAGTCAGTGTGAAAACAGGCCAGTATAAATATCGTATACTAAGAAATATTCACGTAATTAAAAACATATGATTCCCTCTTCCTGCTGAGCATACTAAGCATATTGCTGTACAATGCATTTCTTCTTCTCGTATTTAAATTTCCTGATCTGTACTTCCAATTTTGTAAACTGCTTTGAGGTTTTTTTTAAATAATCAAGAGGTGTTTACATTTACAGTGGTGCCCCGCAAGACGAATGCCTCGCAAGACGGAAAAACCGCTAGACGAAAGGGTTTTCCGTTTTGAAGTTGCTTCGCAGGACGAATTCCCCTATGGGCTTGCTTCGCAAGACGAAAATGTCTTGCGACTCTTGAGAGTTTTTTTTCGCTTTTCCCCCTTTATCTAATCTGCTAAGCCTTTAATAGCCTTTAATAGCCTTTTAGCAGCTAATCCCCTAAGCCTTTAAGCCTTTAATAGCCGCTAAACAGCTGATAGCGCTAATAGCGCTAATCCGTCAATGGGCTTGCTTCGCAAGACGAAAAAACCGCTAGACGAAGACTCTTGCGGAATGGATTAATTTCGTCTTGCGAGGCACCACTGTATTAAATAAATAATAATAAATAACAAAGATTAAGTAAAGGTAAAGGGACCCCTGACCATTAGGTCCAGTCGTGGCCGACTCTGGGGTTGCGACGCTCATCTCGCTTTATTGGCCGAGGGAGCCGGCGTACAGCTTCCGGGTCATGTGGCCAGCAGGACTAAGCCGCTTCTGGCGAACCAGAGCAGTGCACGGAAACGCCATTTACCTTCCCACCAGAGCAGTACATATTTATCTACTTGCACTTTGACATGCTTTCGAACTGCTAGGTTGGCAGGAGCAGGGACCAAGCAACGGGAGCTCACCCCGTCACGGGGATTCAAACCACTGACCTTCTGATCAGCAAGTCCTAGGCTCTGTGGTTTAACCCACAGTGCCACCTGCGTCCCACCTCCAAGAGATTAAACCAGTGGCAAGTATAGGTTTTTGCTGAATCCTGCATTTTGTTGTTTCGATAAGAGACAAACAAACTTCCCTTCTCAATGAATTTGTGTTCTTGTTGCCTATCCAATTAACTAAATGTGCCAGTGGATGGCTCTGTCATATTGTAAGCCTGGCTGCTGTTAGCAAAGTAATCACCATCTCTAAATCATTTTCTAGTACACTATACTTTACATATCCAAATAATTTTGCTACAGGATCTTTAGGGAGAGGGATCGTTTTAGCTGAGGCTTTCTGAATTTGCTGAAATGGAGAGAGGACAAGAGAGTGATGAGCAGCAGGATTTGTAGCAGCGAAGGCAGGATGTGACCAGAGCATGGATGAGAGCAGGAATCAGGTGGTTTCTAAGAATTTTGAAGAGGAAGGAGCATCAGCACCGGGCAATGGCTTGACTGTGGAGGAATTTGAAGATGACTCAGAAAAGCATTGCATGCCTGGGAGACAGGGGCATGTAATAATAATGCTGGCATGTCCACGAGGAAGTGTCAGATCAGAAAGATATCTTGAGACAAGTGATCTGATAGAAGCAGATGGATTTGAAGGTCATCCACACAAAGGTCAATTAACAAAGGAGCCACTGAGGAGAAGGAGTTAGATCTCCCAAAAAAAGGTTTTTTTAAAAAAACACTTTGTTAAAGGCAGCAGGCTAAATGTTTAATCACTGATCATTTCCTGATTCCTTTCCTAATACATAATCCTAAGTATGGCCAAGATACCCAGAGTGTTGCTGCTTCTGTCCATAAGCCATAGTGTCTAAAGGAGGGGTGGGGAACATGTGGCCATCCAGATGTTGCTCAACTATAACTCCCCATCGCCCCTGGCCAGGGCTAATAGGAGCTAGAGTTCAAGAAGTCACTGTTTCCTCACCTCTGGTTTTAATGGACCAAGAAGGACCCAATGATGGGCATGCAAATCCAGATGTCAGAGAAGAGACTACTGGTGAACTCACTGTTTTTGCTCTGCTTGTTCTGCAGGAGGACCTGGTCCACACCATTGGTGAGAGTGCTTCTCAAGGTGCTGCTGGGGTCATATTGTGGGGGAGCACAAATGACAGTAACTCTGAGGTGAGTGACGCAGAGGAGCAGGATTGGGAGTGGGAGCCAGTGTGGTTCAGTGGTTGGAGTCGAACCTGTCGAGTCCCAGGTTCAGATCCTCATTCAGCCATGGAAGTTGCTGGGGGGTCTTGGAGCCAGTCACAGTATCTTGGCCTAACTTACTTTGCAGGGTTCTTGTGAGGATAAATCGGGGGAGGGCGGAAGAACTTTGTGTTACCCTGAGACCAAATATGAGAAATGAGACCAAATAAGAGAACCAGTCAGGGGACAGCAGCAGGATCCTGTAGCTATAGAGCAGAGTTTTGTTTTGTTTTATTACAACCAAGCAGTACATAAAGTTCTCACTGCTTTTGTACATCAACCTGTGTGTTATGGTAGCAGCCTTGTGGTTGTGAATAAATCTGTGACTATGAGGTGCTCAGATTTGCAAGTCCCTTAAGAGAGAGGTGAAGCATCCTTATTTTTTGACTTGCTTTTCTCCTCCTTTACCAAATGATGGGAAGCCCCAATTTAGACTGGCAAGTCTATGTTGAAGGGGACAGTCCTGAATGTGCCCTGGAACCTTATTGCCTCTTTGCAAAACTTTTTATATTCACAAATGTATAGGTTGAAGGAGAACCTCTGGGGTAGGATGCCGTTATTAGCTTGGATGGGGTTAGTGGTAGTCCTTTTGCATCATCAAGTCAGCTAGCCAGCCCGGCTTCTTTATTTATATTTATAAAGGTCTGCACTGCCACATCACAAAATATCAGGGTGGTATACAAGGTTAAAAACCTAAGACACCGTTAAAAAATGAAAATACAGATTAAGGTCATGAAGGCGAATGGCTAATTTTGTTAGTTCTGCGATTAGGTGTGTGTTGATGTTGGAGTGTTGAAGATGGGGCTTGGAGATCAGGCAGTGGCAGGAGGAATCCTCCCATTCATGCTCTTAAAGGTTTGGTTCTACAACAGCAAGGATGTGTTGAAGGAACTTGGCTGTTGCCCACTTGGAATGGGAAAATGCTAACTTTCTTCCCCTGGACTTGGTTTTGCCCCTTTCAGGAAGCCTGCCTCGATGTGAAGAAGTACGTGGACACTGTCCTTGGTCCATACATTGTAAATGTGACCAGCAGCACCAGGCTGTGTAGCCAGATCTTGTGTTCAAAGAACGGCCGCTGTGTGCGGCAGGACGGGCACCTCAATGCTTTTCTGCACCTCACTCCTGCCAGCTTCTCTATTCAGAGGCATTCGGAAGAGCCACACTTTGTTGTCAGGGGTCAGATGTCAGCGAAGGAGCAAGTCCAGATGGCCAAAGAATTCGCATGCCAATGTTACAGCGGCTGGGAAGGCTCGCGGTGTGAGAAAAAGTCAATTTAAGAGAGAGAGGCACCTTATCTGTTTGCACAGGCACTTACTGTATTTTTCGCTCCATAAGACGCACCTGACCATAAGACGCACCTAGTTTTTAGAGGAGGAAAACACGAAAAAAAATATTCTGAATCAAATGTTGTACTAAACTATTTAAAGCAGCAAAGCGGGCAGCTCCTGTCTGCTTTGCTGTTTTAAAGCGAGCCTCGGAGGAGGGAAGGAAGGGGAGCCATGGAGCCTCTGCTTGCAACTGCTGCGGGATCCCGCCGCTGTCCATAGGCATTCACTCCCCTTACTTTTTAGGAGGAAAAAAGTGCATCTTATGGAGCGAAAAATGCAGTAATTGGCAAGGAAAGCTGCAGGAAAGGCACATTGCACCAGCCTGTACTCCTTAGGTATATAAAAATCTCTTCTCTCTCTCTCTTCCCTCACCACTACACACTTATGAGAGGATCTCCACATGTACCTTCTGGTCAACATGTGCTTATACATACTTTCCCCAGAAGCACATACTTGGCTTTCTCCTGAAATATGCAATCTACTCAGAAGTAGACTGAGAGAGGGAATGCTTTTCAGGCATGGCTGCACTATAGGACACCGCTTGTCCTTATAAAAAACTAAAAATGTGCATGCGTAGACCAGTGTGCATGTGTTTAAATCAAACTGTTAAATGCCTATTAGATACATTGCTGGCCTGCCATTGCAATATTTCACAACACTCTGTCCTATCTCACATATGACTTCTGCTCTCCAAGAGCCCTCCTGGCTGTCTTCAGGAGTAGACTGTGTGTTTCAAGCAGGAGATCTGAAATTATTCTCAGACTTGTTAGATGTTAGGACTGTGGAGAAAGGCCCTGATTTGCCCCACCATTTCTCTAAGCCAGTTTGTCAAGTATCTCCTGCCAATTCTCTTCAGTTTTAAGGAGGGTACCTAAGACGCCTACCTGAGAGACTACAGCAGCCTCAACACTGGCCCCCTTGGTCAGTTGTCAGAAGTCACTCCCTCAAGAAGACAAGGGAGAGAGAACCTTTAAGAAAGCTTAGCTGCCTCTGTGTTCCCTCCCACTATCCGGGATTCAGACTGGACTTTATGCAAGGCTGATCATCTTTGTTGTCTACTCGAAAGTAAATTAGAATCATATTGTAATGGCTAGGATAGGATTAGTCCAGTTTTAGAGCCACAGTGTCCTGGTTTATTTTGTATTCAGTTGCAACCTTCTGCCTGCTTTTCCTTTACCTTTCATAAAGATTTAATAAAGTTTCCTAAGCTGACCACTGAAGTGTGTGTTATTCCCAGCCTCAGAGTTTAAAATCCCCATGTGTCTTATATTGGCATCTGACTTTCTCAGGAGACCATGAAGGAGTGGAGGTGGAAGGTTATTTTGCCTACCTGGGTTCCACCGTAACCATGTGCCTAGAGATGCTTGGAATTTATGCTACTGAAAGTTTAGGATCAGAGTGTAAGAGACCAGCATGCTCTTCTGAGATCTGGGAAGGGCTCAGGGAGTGTGGGCTGTCTTTACACTCTGAGTAACTTACAAGGGAACTGTCTGGGACATGCACAGTGCCCTTGGTCTCAGAGTTCTTGGGTTTGAGGAAGTTAGGAGTGGTCTCCCAGGGAAACAATCAAGTTGCTTTGAGCTTGGACCAGGATAAGGCAGCTGGAAGCTAGCCCTGATTTCCCTAGCAGTTTGTGAACCAAGGAATGCCAGGTGCAGTGGCTCGGGACCTTTTGAAAAGCAATTGCTTTGGTGCATCCCAGGTCATCACCCATTTGGACTGCAAGAGTAAGTGGGAGGCTGGTGGTGGCAGGCAGCTACCAGAGAATAAGACCCAATGGCAACACAGCAAGGCTGTTGTGTTGCAGTTGAATAAGGACAACCTTCCTCAAGCTGGTGCTCTCCAGATGTTTTCGATTCATGGGCTGGCTGGGGATGATGGGAGTTGTAGTTCAAAACATCTAGGGGGCATCAGGTTGAGGAAGGCCGAATTAGGACAGCAGATTGAATGTGGTATCCCAGCATATAGTTTTTGATGTATGATCCTGCTTCCTCCCCAAGTTGAGAGGAACTTCAGCTAGAGCCTCTATGATATTGTTAGATGTAGCAATATCATATTTATGAAACTGAGCAGGCACAGTAGTATATGACTCTAACTGGGGGTTTGGGGTAGTAATTCTTAGGCCATTAGTCAGAAGAAGCCACTCTTCATGCTTCCCTGCATGTAGAGGTAGAGGCTAGATCTTTATTAAAAGTGGTATACTACATGTCTAAACTACTGTCTCTGTTTGCATCTGACATTATCTATTAGAACCTGTTGTACATAAATACACCTGCAAATGGGCACTTCTGTTCCATGCTGGACCTTCCTCACCCCTCCCAAAACTTTTTGGATACGAGGGCCACATTCACTCTTGGCCAACCTTCCACAGGCCACATACCAGTGGTGAGTGTGGCCACTCTTGCATGCGTGCACCCACAAGACACACCAGCAGCCTCCCCTCCTTAGATAATCCATGCAGATCAGCTGAGAGGAGGGGTAATGGCCCCCTCTCTGCTCATCGAAAGATCTAATTACCTGGGAAGGAGCAACCTGCACTCCCATCAAGGTTATGCTCTTGGTTTTCCCCATCCCAGTGTTGTGTCTATTTTTGCTGCCATGCCTAAAATCAGTATGGTCATGGGGAGTCAGAAACATTTGCTTGTAGAAGTAGATCAGGCCCCCAAACTAGGATTAGCCACTCTTGCATTACTTATATGGGCAGCCCATTCTCAAATGACTTGTGATGGGAAAGTTCCTGGAAGTGTTTGTTCTTCTGAAAATGTACCTCTTGTACGAAGTGAAGTACCAGGCATTCATTAATGGAGGTAGAGTGACAGCAGGCCCCTTCCGGATGTCCTACTGTGGAAGTGCAAATTCTTCTGAAATCCTGGAGATCTGAGTAAAAGCATGCACGTCTACACTACCCCTGGAAACCAATGACAACAGTTCTTTCCATCCTTCTTAAGAACTGAGTTTGGGAAAGGACATATAATAAACTAAACTACCTACTGTCTGCCACATAAAATCATATGCTAATATGAGTACTTCCAGTATGTAGCTGAAAAACAATGCAATGCTGTAAATGTCTGCTCCCTTGAGTTAAGTGGGGCTTACTACCAGGTGAGTTTGCATAGGATTGAAGCCTGTATCATGAAGGAAAACAGAAATGGTGTAACTGATCCTTCAGGAAATGTTCTTCACATCCTGCCAGGGTTTTCTTATTCTGTAAGAAAAACTAAAAACTAAGTAATAATATTTATGTTGTACCTAATTTTACTAACGTATGCTTACTAAATCTATTATGTCTATGATAAATTGAACAGATGCCTCTTGCAAGCAAAACAAGGGTTTCAAAGGGTGTCTCCAACTGCATAGCGGACAGTCGAATTTCATCTCTTCTGGGGATTCAACGCTCACAATATGCATTAATCTCCCCTTCACGAAGCACGCGCGTCTTCCGAGTCCACACATGCTTCTAGACGCGCGGTTGAAAAAGCCAAGACGCGACGGGGTGGTGTGGAGCGGGAGGCTCTCCTGAGGAAGAAATTTCCTAGCCGCTACACGGCGCTGTGGCCTCCAGAAGAAGAAGCTGGGCGTCTTTCTTTCCCGCCTCTCCTCGACTTGTGCGTAAAGGGAGGAGCGAGGGCGAAAGCGGGGTAGTTCTGCTCTGCGCAGCCGGAGGAAGCGGGGAGAGCTGAGCGCGCGGCTGAGAGCCCCTGCCGTTCGCTAGCATGTCAGTATCTCTTCCCGCCCCGTCCCCGCTTAAAGCGCTCGCGGAGCCGGGCTCGCCATCATTGCACAGCTGGGGATGCGCCCGGGTCGGAAGAGATGGTGCCGGGGAGGTTACGCCCGGTTGAAATCCCCTCCAGCGGGAGGCAGGGCTCTCCACGGGGCGACACCCCACATTCTCTCGGGGCGTGGGGGGGGGGGCAGAATCGCGTGCCCGATTTTAGGGTGGCCCCTACGAGCGGGGGGTGGGGGACCGGCCCGGCGGCGGCTGTCCTGTGGCATCTCGGAGGAAGCAGGAGGCTGTGTCCATAAAAGGGCTTGGACCTCTTCTGGCAAGGAGGAGAGGCTTCTGCGGGAAGCGGGCGAGGACACCCGCCCCTCCCTCGCTCCTGGGATCCAGCTTAGTGACTCAAGTTAAAGACTTGCAAGAGTTTCTTAGTCCAGTATTTGCGCGCAGGCACGAGTGAGCGAGAAAGAAAGGAAAGGGGGAAATAATATTAGATGCCCGCTTCTCCTTAGGGGGTGCCTCCTGGAGAGCGGCCCCCGGAGAGGAAAGGCCTGCTTTTAAGGAAGGGAGCGCCCCGGCTGGCCGCCCCTTAGATCGGTGGGAGGCGGCGGGTTTCTAGCGCGCTGGCAGGAACTTTGCTGACACCTTGCGTCGCTTCTTGGAAAGCTCTTTCGAGCTGCGATTCTGCCCTAGGGGAGGCGGACGGGGGACGCCACTCCCCCGGACTAGGAGCCAGAGAAGGGGCTGCCGGCAGTTGCTTGGAGCAGAAAGAGCGAAAGGGAAGGGATGCAGCAGGGCTGACCATCGACCTCAGCTGAGGTTGCAGAGCCACTGCACAATGACTAACATCCGCTCAGAGTTCAAAGGTGGATTCCCCAGGGAACTGAAACAGAATATTCCCGCAGGTGCACACGGGACAAGGCAACTAAGTGCTTCCTCCCTAATATCTAACCCACCCCATTACTGAAATAGGTCGCTCTTGTAATCTATCCATATTGCGCTAGAGGGGCTGTAGCATCCTTGAATTATAATAATGAGTCTCAGGAGAGAGGAGTACCATGTGTGTTGCCAGTGCAAGGCACACTGCCTCCTCTATCATCCTTGGATTTGCCTTAGGCAGGGCTGGAGGATATGACTTTGGGCATCAGCCGTTCATTAACCAGTACCTCTGCCTCTCAGCAGTGAACCCATCCCTAAACCCTGCAATGTGTAGGTGGCTTTTTATTGGAGTTTTTGTGTTCCTTTCACTAGGAGGAGATTGAGAACCAGTGTGCAATTCAGTTCTCTTTACATATAGATGTACACCTGAGAGGCAGCAATCCTATATACTTACTCGGCAATATTCTGACTAAGCATGCATAGGATTCGAGTGCATGTGTGAATGAATCTGAGTTTAATTCATGTAGTTCATTAAAAAAAAAATTTAAAGGCAGTGCATGCTAAGGCCTTGAGGAGGACCAGGCATTCATTTGGAAATAAGTGGGATGTGAGAAGCACTGGCATGAACTCACCTTTCCTCAGCATTAAGTTGTTTATAGAAGTGACCTTTGGTCTCGACTCTTCCTGTGGCTGAAAATGTTTTATTAGGGTTTCCCTGCGCTTTGGTAATTTTAACTGTGATCTATTGACTGTCCTCTCTTTTGGGTCTAGACAGTGGTTTTTGCAGCATGACTCTTGGGCAGAATAACTAGTAGAGAGGGTTGGGGATGGAAATTCCATAAACAACACTGATGCATCCGTTCACCCATGGGAAAGAATGTGTTGTTGGCTGGCAGATCCCAATTTTACTAAAGAGGGCCAAGCCATCTCTTGAGACTAACCCAACCACAGGTACAGGCATTCAGGACTTGAACTGTTTCTCTCTTGCGGAGACCTAGTTCTGATTCTCCACTGCCCAGTGCTTTGGATGAAGTGCATGTAAACTGCTTGCATAATCAGGAAAAAATAATAATATGTGAAAGGGACTCATAAGTGCACCAGTACTAAAGCTTTGTATTATTAGGTCCCTTCCAACACTACATTTATATGATTGTATGATTATTATGTATTAAATTTGTATACCACCCTTCCATCTAAAGATCCAAGGGTGGTTCACAACAGTAAAAGACAAAATGAAAATACCAAATCAGAACAAACCAATGAACTCCCCACCTTCCACAACACTTATAAAAAGCCATAGAATGTTAATCAGTTGAATGCCTGGTTGAAGAGAAACTTTTTTGCCTAGTACCTAAAAATATGTAATGAAGGCGCCAGGCGAGCCGCGCTTGTAGAAGAGGGTAGCCTACTGTGATACCAATGAGGCCAATGGACACTAACTAGGGAAGGTATGGCCAAATAGCCTGTCTGTTGAAGCTACACAGCCACTGTCCCCCACATCCTTAGTGGGCTGTATCCTAGTGAGTGGGTTGCAGGCACACAAATTTAGGTCCATTTGAAAAGGGGTTTGTGAGTGCTCCAAAATAGGATGAACATTTCATTTTATGCTTTTGTAAGATTCTCCCTTACAAAAAAAGGGTAATTGCAGTTCAGTGAAAGCAAATGTAAAGTGGGGCAAATACAGTGGTACCTTGGTTTGCAACCGTTTTGGATTACAACCACGTCAAACCCTGAAGTGTGTGTCCCTTTTTTTGGATTACAACCTTCCCCCCCCTTTTTTTATTACAACTATTTTTTATTTTTTTTTGAGGCCCCATTGGCGAAAGCACGTCTTGGGTTACAACCTGTTTTGGTTTACAACTGGACCTCCGGAACGGATTATGGTTGTAAACCAAGGTATCACTGTAAATAAATCTTAACTTCACATACATGCTCATGGGATCTGAAGTGGGGTTGACTGAGCAGAAGCAAGATTTTGGGGTCATTGCTGTTAGCTCAACTAAGATGTTGAGCCAGCCTGCAGCAGCTATGAAAAAGGTGAATTGCATGCTGGGTTAGGAAAGGGAAATAAAACTGCCAATATTGTAATGTTGTTATACAAATCTGTGGTGCAGCTACACTTTAAATAATACCGTGTACAGTTCCTTCACCTCAAAAAGAGTATTGTAGAGCTGGAAAAAGTTAAGAAAATGGAAGCCAAAACTGCTCTACAAGGAAAAGGTATAACATGTGGGGCTTTTTTTTTTTAGCATAGAGAGAAGGTGAGTAAAGGACAGATGTGATAGAAGTGTATAAAATTATGTACGGGGTAGAGGTAAACTAAGAGAAGCTCTTCTCTCTTTCGTAATACTAGAACTTGGGACTGTCAATGAAGTTTAATACTGGAAGGTTTAGGGCAGATAAAAGAAAGTACTTCTTCACATAACACATGATCCAGTACTGTATTAGAAAATCAGATAAAAGCTATGTGCCAAATGTAAAAACCAGGGTTACAGTTGCCAAAACGGAATGCCTAGTTACCATTTTTGGGCCACATTGGCTTGAAAGACATATCGTTCACCACGACTTTTTGGTTCCTGAAATTCATTCTGATTGTGCAGATAAAATATAATGGGTATAATTCTACAGGATGTGTTGCTATTGTGTGAAAACAGGCAAGACCCAAAGATCCCCAGGCATGCACCTCCAGATGGTGGAGACATCAGGCGCCATCCTGGGGGCTGGACATCTTCACTTGGTCGCATGTGAATTTTGAACACTGGACACGCATCTTTAAACTATGGAATTTTAGCCCCCTAGATATAGTGATAGCCACCAACTTGGATGGCAGAAGTTGGTTGTAACTCAGCCCCATAGAAAGCACTGAAAGGGGGCTTCATTATGACTGACTTTAAGACTACATTCTTGTACCCAATTTCTTGGGAGTAAACCCCGTTGCTCAATGAATTTACTTCTGAGTAGGCATGTATAGGATTGTGCTGTCAGTGCCTTTTGTCCATTGAGGCATAGTCACGATTCCCTTTTGCTTGGTTATGTTTCCCATCCGACAATGGGTAAACAGCAGTTCCAGTTATTCAGAGCTCTATGAATATATGAATGTTTTCTGTGTCCCTAAAAGGAATATGACTGTTTTCCAGGAGTTAGGATCTGGAAGGGAATTGAAACTTAATTGGTATTTTTAATTCCATTGCAGGAAAAGCTGTGTTGGGTACATTAATAGTGGTAGGAAACAGACTACCGCATTGCCTGTGGACAGTCTAACCACCTTGTCTTGTCCCCAGTTTCATGAGTTTTGTGACCTTTTACCAAGGAGTGTTTGTTGGTAGCAGGTGCGTCCCAAAATTACCTGGACACAGAGCAGGTTTGTTTCCTCCTTGTGTTGCACTATGTGTTGACACTGGAAGACAGCACAGGAGAACAAGGCTCTGTGCTTTGAGACCTTGTAAACAACATCCTTCCTGTCCTTTCTGGAGACCGGGCAGGATGAATGTCTTAATGGCAATGTCCTAGTTCTGCCCAGTGGATTCCCTGGCCTCCTCACCCCACCCCAGTAGGCCTGGTTTCCATCTATTACTCTAGTAACATAAGCTCCGTTTGGCTCTGTAGACATTGAATAAGCCGAAGTTTATATGTTCATAGAACTGGTGTGTAGGTATAACAGCTTGGAAACATGCCTCTAATCAAGAAGGTAAAGTACCTGTACTAGCAAAAGGGGTTTTGTGCTGTGGCAAGAAGGCATAGAGAACTGAAAATCAGAGGTGGGGAATTTGTGGTCCTCTAGATATTGCTGGACTCCGACTCCCTTCATCCTTGACCATTGGCCACACTGGCAGGGGCTGATGGGAGTTGGAGTCCAACATCTGGAGGGCCTCAAGCCCCCCCTCCACCCCTGCTGTAGACTAATATAGTGGTACCTCGGGTTAAGAACTTAATTTGTTCTGGAGGTCCGTTCTTAACCTGAAACTGTTCTTAACCTGAAGCACCACTTTAGCTAATGGGGCCTCCTGCTGCCGCCGCTGCGCAATTTCTGTTCTCATCCTGAAGCAAAGTTCTTAACCCGAGGTAATATTTCTGGGTTAGCAGAGTCTGTAACCTGAAGCATCTGTACCCCGAGGTACTACTGTGCAAAGGCTAGTCTGGGTTACTACCAGCCTTTTGCTTCAGCAGCCTCATTTTGTGATGTGTGGAGATGGAAGTATTGGGGAGGAGTTAAGGCACGGTAAGCAGCAAGTCTAGTTTGCCTTCCTTGCCCACCTGCTTTCTTTGCTGTTGGATGGTTGCTAGCCCTGCTCCCTTTCCTTTCTACTCATGATAGAATTGCTGTTGCCAAAGTGAGTTGGCTGGATGTTTATTGGGGCTGGATTCTCAGAATCTAAATGGGTCCATTTCTCCCCACCACCACCACCCAAAAATAGAGTTCTTTGATATTTCAGCCTACCTAGGAGCTGTAGTGGTTGAAGGCATCTGTTTGGGAAGCCCATAGACGAAGTCTGTGTCTGCTGCTTTGTTGCTGTTGTTGTTTGGATGGGTGCCAGCCTTTGGCTCCTGTCAGGGCTGGGCTGGGCTACTCAGCACACAATTTACATTCCAAAACCTGGGTGTCAAGTAAACAGACAGCTCACTCTTTAAAAGAAGAAATGAGCTGTAGGCGCATGTGTAGCTTCCTGTCATGCTCTTGCGAAAGTAGACGGTTTCCCTTGAGCCTTAGCATTGCAAGCACAATCTCCAAAGGAGGGAAGCGGCACTTCAGGCAGCTCCCATTTGCCACAGGTATTTGACACTTCTTTTCTTCTGCTGGTGGTCTTATTGTGGAGCAGGGGAGGGGAGCCTGTGACTCTTCAAGTCTAGCTGGACTACAGCTCCCGTCAATCCTGACCACTGGCAATGTGGGCTGGGGCTGATGGGAGATGAAGTCCAACAACACCTGGAGAGCCATGGGTTTCTCATTCTGTTATAAAGGGATCCTGTAGCAAACATGTATACTGTGCTCAGACAGCTGTACTAGAGGAACAGGCAATATAAAACTGGGATGGATGGGATATAAAGTGTGTAGGTTTGGTGCCTGTTCAGAATTTTGAAAGTTTGGGACCAGGGTATCATATGGGTCATGCTGTCATGTGGGCCTGGTTCTGAGAGGTAATGGTAGAAATTGAAGAATGAGGGATGCTCTCCTGGCTTTTGTTAAGATGGATAGAATCTTCACCTCACGCAAGGAGCGATTCTCATCTAGTGCTGCTGTAGTAGAGCTGGGGGTAGGTGTGGATGAATGGAATTAGTTCAGCCTCTTCTTCTCTTCCTCCAGGATGTGTAGAGTGTGTTGTTGATTTTAGCAGGAGGGGTAGGGAATCCTAGTGCCCAGGTTGGCAGCAGGATGCTTAGAAATGGAAAAAGGAAACACTGTGTGACATTTGAGGGGTGGCTAACACCCCAGAGGACAGGATCACACTTCAAAACGACCTTGACAGATTAGAGAACTGGGCCAAAACAAACAAGATGAATTTTAACAGGGAGAAATGTAAAGTATTGCACTTGGGCAAAAAAAATGAGAGGCACAAATACAAGATGGGGGACACCTGGCTTGAGAGCAGTACATGTGAAAAGGATCTAGGAGTCTTGGAGTCAAGGAGTCTCAAACTTGACATGAGCCAACAGTGTGACGCGGCAGCTAAAAAAGCCAATGCAATTCTGGGCTGCATCAATAGGAGTATAGCATCTAGATCAAGGGAAGTAATAGTGCCACTGTATTCTGCTCTGGTCAGACCTCACCTGGAGTACTGTGTCTAGTTCTGGGCACCACAGTTCAAGAAGGACACTGACAAACTGGAACGTGTCCAGAGGAGGGCAACCAAAATGGTCAAAGGCCTGGAAACGATGCCTTATGAGGAACGGCTAAGGGAGCTGGGCATGTTTAGCCTGGAGAAGAGGAGGTTAAGGGGTGATATGATAGCCATGTTCAAATATATAAAAGGATGTCACATAGAGGAGGGAGAAAGGTTGTTTTCTGCTGCTCCAGAGAAGCGGACACGGAGCAATGGATCCAAACTACAAGAAAGAAGATTCCACCTAAACATTAGGAAGAACTTCCTGACAGTAAGAGCTGTTTGACAGTGGAATTTGCTGCCAAGGAGTGTGGTGGAGTCTCCTTCTTTGGAGGTCTTTAAGCAGAGGCTTGACAACCATATGTCAGGAGTGCTCTGATGGTGTTTCCTGCTTGGCAGGGGGTTGGACTCGATGGCCCTTGTGGTCTCTTCCAACTCTATGATTCTATTATTCTATGATTTTTGGGTGATATTGCTTGTGAAGTGTTGTGATGACACTGCCGGCTCATTTCCAGAGCCAGGATCCTTGAAAACAAGAAATCCCCTGTAGCAGTGCGTGCCTTGGATACAGAGGTTTTTGTCAGAAAAGCTACTTGGACCAGAACTTGCAGGCCTGCCTGGTAACTTGGAATTTAGCGCAAGTAGTGCTTATTAGTCTACCTAGGGGTATGCTATTTTCTGATTGCCCTGTTCTCTGCTAGAGTGCTTTCCAAAACGGTCTGTGAGTGATGCAGCAGAGGTCATTCACATATGGTGTGTTAATTACTTTTCTCATCTCTTCTTCAAGTGAGTCTTGAATAGTGCACACAAGGCAGGTTGTATGATTTTTATTTATTTTCTGACCTCTGTGTCATTAATTTAGTAATGGAATTCAAGGCAGTACAGTGGTACCTTGGGTTACATATGCTTCAGGTTACAGACGCTTCAGGTTACAGACTCCGCTAACCCAGAAATAGTACCTTGGGTTAAGAACTTTGCTTAAGGATGAGAACAGAAATCGGGCTCCGGCGGCGCGGCGGCAGCAGGAGGCCCCATTTGCTAAAGTGGTGCTTCAGGTTAAGAACAGTTTCAGGTTAAGAACAGACCTCCAGAACAAATTAAGTACTTAACCTGAGGTACCACTGTATGTGCATGGTTCACAGGCAGTCACTCATCCTGGCAATGTGGCAGCCTGTTCCTCTAGCAAGGTGATAGGCTCATGTGCCTTCACACCATACCTCGGGGCTCTTCCCTCCAGGGGGGCTTATGACAAGTGCCTTTTCTGTGTATTCTTGGACACCTGGTGCTGAGCAAGCTCCCAAAGCAGTTGAACACCTGGTGCTTAAATCAATTTGTAATGTGGATGCAGAACCTACATGGGCGAGAATGTAAATTCAGGTTCCCTTTAGCAGTCTATCCCCACGTTGGCAATGGTCACAGGTGACAAAGGTAGCCCTGAGCAAACTTAGAGGTGTTTTTGTGTGTGCATATCTGTTGCTTGAAGGCAGTCACTCAGGGGCGGAGAAAGGGGGGTGCGGTGGGGGCGGACCGCCCCGGGTGTCTTCGCTGAGGGGGGTGACATTTGGTGCTCCACAAACCTGCAACGCCTAAGCCTACCCCGAGCCATCAGCGGAGGGGGGGGGGAGCTGTGCCACTTTGCTGGCGGTATTCCCCCCTTCCCCCTTCGTTCTGACAGCTTGGGGGAGGCTTGGGAGTCATGGGTGGGCAGCGCGCTGAATGTCTGCCATGGGCGGCTTGCTCCACCCCTGTGAGTGGCTCGCTCCGACCCTGGCTGCAGGGCGCACATGTCACTCCCTGCACCCGAGCAGCTATCCCACACCTGGAAGGGCACCCCCCACTCCCCTCGGGAGCCGGCCCGCCCTAGGCAGCGCAGGCATATGCTCCACCGCTGCCTTCACTAACCTAGTGCCCTGCTGATGTTTTCGATCACAACGCCTGCTAGCCCCAGCCAATGGGGCCATGCTGCGTGGGGCTGATGGGAATCACAGCCTAAAACATCTGGAGGGCAATAGGATGGCAAAGGCGGTGGAAGCTGGCATAGTGCATGGTTAGAGAACGAGCTGTGGTTGGCAAACCAGTGAAAATCTCGCCTTACCAATCATCACCTCTGTCAGTTTATTTGTATGTCCCTTTCCCTCAAGAGCTTCCCCAAATGGCTTAAGATACAGAAGAAAATAACGAAGACAGCAGTGCATAGCAAAATGTTAGTACCAGCCTATCAAAGAGTTCAGCAGTAATTTTACATCCATCTTTATGTCAATCACAAACTCATTAGGTGGCCTTAGGCAGGCCATTGCTTTCTCGGCCTCAGCCACCCCCCATACACCCCCAATCTGTGATGCTGGGATAATAAAACTGGTCTACCTTACAAGGCTGTTGTAAGGGTTACTTCAGTGGAATTCATGTGAAGTGCCTGGAAAAGTGCCTACGTACTTAATATGCATAATTAGTAATAAGCATGAGTAATTGATGTTTGTGAGAGGTGATTGAAATAGTTTTAGACCGTTGGACTGATTCTCTGCCCTGGTGGGAATGCACTCCTGTGACTTGAGTGGGCTGCTAATGCAACAACTTTGAAAAGATGTACATTAATTCTTTTTGGTGCACAACCAAATTTTGCCTTGAGGAGCAGTCCTTGCCAGTAACTGGAGTCAGGGCTGGTAGGGAAGCACAAGTCGTGGTGTTCTTAGCCTTTATTGAGAAAACTCTTTGTACGAGACACTTCCTTCCCCAAACATACGGCTTTTCCAGTAATGTCACAGAGCACCTTTGCAGAAAAGGTAGCACGGGCTGTGTTGAAAACTTGTGTGAGGGGGCTACATCTAGCCTCTGAGATGGAACTGAATCACCTGCTGTTTGCAGGTAAATGAGAGCAGACATAAGCAATCGTGAGGACTTGACTGTGCATGTCTGCAGATGCAACACAGTATTGTCAAAATAGCATTCTCTAAACTCAGTGCTGCAGTAACTGGATGATGCTAAAGCTCTAACGCAATACCCTAGAGTTCCCTCTGCTTACGTGGCTCTAGGATTTGCCCCCAGCTAATGTCCCTGTCGTGAGAATCTCCTCAGCTCACCTTTCGGAGGGCATGTTCTGTTCCTATTTCATAACCTGAGTGCAGTGGCTGCATGGTATAATTTCATAAGCTACTTCATAAAGGGTTGTGAAAGGGTGAATTTTATTGTTGTCTCTTGGATGTTTTTTTCACCTTCCAGTGTGGCTCCCATTTGGAGGCTGCCTCACGGGTTTAGTGAGAGTCTACGATAACGTTGAGTCTCACTGTATGGAAGGTACGGAAATCAAAAGGAGAGAGAGCAAGGAAAAAAAGAATTGAGTGAGAACATTCTTCTCTCCCCAGTTTCCTCCATTTCATCCCAGGCAGCCTGGAGAGAATTCTCTGTGCTGTCTGAAACATCGGAGAGATGAAGAGTTAAGGGGACAAAACTGTGTAAATGGAAGCCCACCCTCCCCCTGTCACTTGAACACACGAAGATACCTTCATATCATTGCCGTCTGACTCTGTATTTTCTATATTCTTCTCAACTTTCCAGGGTTTCAGGCAGTGGTCTTTACCCATATATGAAGATGCCTGGGTTGAACTTGGGAACTATTTTATGCAAAGTGTGTGCTCTGTCACTGACTTACTATGCCCCTTGCACTTGTATGTACCCCACCACCACCTCCAAAAATATACAGAGAAGGATAGAGTTGTGACTAGACTTGCTAACATTCACTGGGGGGTCAGGGTCCTGCTCAACACAGCTGCCTCTCAGCAAATTCATGCGCCAGCCAGAGGACAATGAGATTCATACAGTGTTTGAACTCTCCCTGTGGGCTGATTCTTGAAACCATTTGAGGCTCATGTGTGACATTCTGGACTGGTTAGGGGAACGTTTCAACATACCACCTGCTTGCAATTTGCCAAACCTATAGCTGAGTCCCCTTCTGGGAGATTTTGGAGGAAGTGGCACATTGCATTATGGAGACATGTGGAAACGGTTGCTTGGCCAGTTCCCACGTGCTCCAGATGAGACAAAAGTGGTGATGTAAGGTGGTCCTTGGGATCATTGCTTCCATTTTATGTGGAAGATTCTGCTGGAATTTTTTTTTTTTTAGTAAACAGCCTTTCACAGTTTGGGCATGTTATTGGTCGATGCACATTCTATACAAATATTCACTTGAATGCTCTGCAGTGTAGGCAGATGCAAAGAGAAGACAACCTGTGTTGTATGTTTAGGTGCCATCTCTTGAGAGGAGGTGTGACAGTCCTGAAAGAAGCCACCTAAGCTATATCAGAGTACCTTCAATTTTAAACCACTCTTGAATCAAGGTCCCAACTGGACTGTTGTAAGAAGGGTAAAGAAGCCAAACAGAACCTGAGTTTTCTTCTGAAGTGGATTGCTCTTCACACATAGCTTAAGAAGTCGTATCTGGTCTGCAGTCTGGCTGCCCAGGAATCTCCATGGCCATCATCATCTCATGGAGTACAGAACATACTCCCATAATTGTGAATTAAATGTGGGAACATGTTGGCAGTTTAGAAACTCATAGAGCTTGAGTGGGCCTTCCAATGGACAAGGGATGAGTTGCATTCAGCCAGACTGCACTTACATGAATATAGTAAGTGAACCATGTTACGTACTTCTGTTCCTTGGGAGGGTGTGCACCATATTTCTGTATGACTGAATCCTTTTCAGTCCCCAAGGGAAAAATAAAAGCCAAGTTTCAAACAAGCATTTATAGGAATTGGCTTATAGTCTACACTGATTCCCAGGTGTTTTTATAGTAGAACTGGGTTGGGAAACTTGTGGCCTTCCAAATGTTGCTGGACTCCCAACTCTGATCAGCCAAAGCCAGCATGGCCAGTCTTCAGGAACTGTGGGAGTTGGAGAGCCACAGTTTCTCCAACACTGTAGCAGAGGATCCGGACCAGATGTCTTGTTACGCATGCCCCAAATCGGCACTTGGTAAAGGACCAAGTGGAAGGATAGCCAATGCAATGCCCTCCTGATGTTGTTGGACTACAACTTTCATCAGCTGCAGCCAGCATAGCCAATAGGGATGTTGGGAGTCGTGGGCTACAACATTAGAATCACACTGCCTTGGCTATCTGTGCCTTTGTAAGACCAAGAGCTAAGGCTGTCTTGGCATCTGCATCCCTTTGCTTTATGGGATGATTACAGAGGATGCTGCAGCTCCTTCTGCTTGGGTTTGTTCCTGGAAAGGTGAGGTTTCCCTGTGAAAGGGTTAGTAGGTCTCTTGGAACTGATTGTGCACTGCAAACACACTTCATTGTGTTTGTGCTTTCAGGAGTGAGTCAAGCTCCCTGTGTCCCATGTAACGTTTCACCGCTTGGTCCTCTGGTGGTGAGAAGAATGGGGTCTGTTTCAGAGATGCTCACAGCGGTGCCCCTTCACCAGAGGCCCGATCTCCTAGAGGCCTGTGCCGACCTCATCAATGAAGAGTGGAAAAGGAGCAGGACCTCCCGCATCCACTCCCTGCAGAGATCCAGCAACAGCTTCCCCATGTGCCTGGTGCTGATTAGGACCCAGAGATCAGTGGAAGACACCGCAGAAGGGAAGACAGCCAAGAGTCAGTGCCAACTCCTGGGGCATGCCAGGCTGTCCCGTGTGGTTGGCCAGCCCAAGAGCTTGTTTGTGGAGACGGTGGTTGTTGCCAAGGCCCTCCGGGGAAAGGGCTATGGCAGGAAGCTGATGGAAGCTGTTGAGCAGTACGCCAGGTCCTGCAGCTATAGGCGCCTGCACCTCACCACCCACGACAAGCAGCAATTCTACGCCCACCTGGGTTACAGCTTGTCCAAGCCAGTTCAGTGTGCGGGATTCACGAGTTCCCTTGTACCTATGGAGTTTCTGGAGAGCTTCTCTCCCCTTCAGCAGGACAAGGAACTTCCCACAGGGTCTGGGAGGCATGAGCCAAGTGCGTCTTGCAGCAGGAGATGCGGTGCAAGCCTTCCTCCATTGCCACCTTCAGCACACCTTTCCTCATTCGCGGTTTGTTCAGCGGCTTCTCCTCCCCCACCACCCCCATTGCTTCCTGTTCATTCTTATCTGCCAGCAGCCACAACCATTTCTCCCCCTCCCCGCCTGCCAGCTTCTGTAGCTTCCCACAGTTCCTCTTCCCAGGCCATGAATGCTTCTGTTCCGCCCTCGCAATCAGCCACTGTGCCTCTTTTTGCTGCAAACCTTCCTCCCCCTCCCCCACCTCCTCTTCCTCCCCCTCCGCCCATGGCCCTTTCGGCAGGCCATCCCGATTCCTCTTCTACCTCATCGGGAGACAAAGCCCAGAGCCAGCTGTTTCTAGAAACGCCATATCATGACCTGAAGGGGCGGCCCATATTCTGGATGGAGAAAGACATATGACCCTTTCACCATGTGCCTATGTGAGTGTGATGAAGATGAAGTGACGGCTGAAGGAGCAGAGATGCTGAGAAGAAAAGCTCAGCTTCGGATCCAGTGAGATGGGCTGTGAGAGAACTGTTCTAACAAACAAAGCCAATAGAGTCTATCTTCCATGGTTGTTTTTACCAGAATTCTTTTCAGACAAGAGCCCATTTTCATGCCATAAAAATATGAAGTTCGCTTAGACAATGATCTATTTTAGATACACTTTCAAGGCCATCCACTGTCCCCCATTGTCTTTCACTGGTGGTTGCCATAGCTGGGTGGGCCTGTGCTGAGCTGTGTATCGTAAATTGCCTTGCCTTCAAGTTTGATGTCATTTTATCAATAAAGCACCTCTGAAATATCTGAACCTTCTCCTCTGACTCTGCAGCGGATGCACAGATAGCCATGGGCTAATTCCATGTTAGCCCATGGAATTAATGCTAACAGAAGTCAGTGCAGTAGGACTAGGCATCTGCTGGAGGCAACAGTGTCCCCACAAAGATTAGATAAAACCGAGAGAAAGACGTATTTTGGCAGGATAATGGCAGAGCAGGCCTGTCCTTCACAAACGCACACAATTCTAATTTGAAAGCTGTATCATTCTTTGGCCTCTTGGTCTGTTCTGGGAAGCCTGCATTCCAGAAATATGTTTGTAATAGAATGCTTGCCTGATTGCAAAGGTGTTTTTTAACCGTCAGGTTAATGACTTGGTCTGAGGCAGAGATCAACTTCATAGCCTAATTTAACTGTCGCGATGCTATCCTCTTAATAGTTGAGGTAATGATCACAGTTAAAATGAGCCCGGTGAAATGAATGTCCCTGATGGTGGGCTGGACTCTGCTAAATAGCTGTGCTACTGGAAGCCAGCTCAATGAGACCTGCTGGCATAATGGGGTTCTCCTTTCTCAACCCATGTTCTTAAATCAATGGGGGGGGCAGGATAACGACAGCACAGCATACAGGAGCGGGGGGAGAAGGGAGATTGCTCTGTCAGGGCATTTATGTTTGCCTGATGGAACAATTTCTTTAGCAATACGTTGAATTCCACCCAATGTGTAGTACTTTCCTCTCACTCTTGAGCAACCACTATGAGGCCCAACAATTTGGAACTACAGGATCGGGTTCCTGCAGTGAAGGACACCAATTAAAAACTTTTAGGAAAGTCAAGTCTCTCTCCACCCCGCCACCCAATTGTGTGTGTTTAAGTGAAGGTGCTCACTGTTCCTTCTGTGACTATTCTTAAGCCTGTGGTTTCATTTCATTTCAGTAATTTATCATCATCATTTATTTGTATGCCATCTTGCCATAGTTAAATTTTGCTCAAGGCAGTATCCCACTTCTAAGGCAGTTTCACGCTTTACATGTTAGGAACATCCCTCTATATATTAATTGTGTGCCTTTGCAAACACGTGTTGGTCATGTGCAGATGCCACATTTTTTCCAGGTAAGGTTGAAATCATTTGCAGACACATGTTAAAATAGTGCGTGCGATGGCCTTAATGCTCTTTCTCCCTCAGTGTGCTTATAGGAAGCATACTTGCTGTTTCTTCTAAACTAGGCTGGCTCAGCTCTTGCTGTTATAAAATACATTCTCCATTGAGGGGGACAGTCAAAAGTGTGACGTCTGTTCCATGGAGCCAAAGCTAGAAAATAAATGCCACAATTTTGTGGAGAATTACATCCCATGTCCTATAGTCACAATAGCATAATTCAGTAAGAGTAATTAAAGACTTTGTACAACCATGAAACTATTTTATCACAGAAATTTAATACGTCTCATTCTGATGCAACTTCAAACTTATACTGTATATAAACTATTGTTATTATTATTATTTTTTCTTTACATTTACGACTTCAAAATCTTGACAATTCCTTCTTAAGAATGCAGAGCCCAAGCTCATTTGGAATTTCCTCCTTTCCAGCCTTGGAACAGCAGTCCTGTGGATGCAGCTGAGAAAAGGCTGCTGTAGGAGAGTGCAACTTTTATGTGTCCGTTATCAAACAACAATTCCACATGCAGGCTATTGGGTGCTTAATCACAGATGCTTTCATTTCTGAATTGTGCATTGTATGCTGAGGTTTCCATTAACTGAAAAAATCTCCAACTCATACCAAGTATTGACTCTTGCAATCCCTCACCCGAAACTGCACAAATGGCACTGCAGGTACAGTGCAACACAGCTGCCCGCTTGTGTATTACCATCTACATTGTTCAATACATTTTCCTATGAAGCATTTTCATTTAAGTACATGTGAAGAAGCCTGCTTATATTTTTCCAGTAATAATGCTTGAAACCACACCAGTAGCTTTGTCCCTTGTTTCTTGGAAGAGACAATAGATCTGTGTGGTTTGCAGGATTCCCACATTTTATTTTCAAAAGTCTGGTCACCTTGGGTTGTTTTCCTCTGTACCTACTACTACTACTACTACTACTACTACTACTACTACTAATTGAATTTATATACCACCCTATACCTGCAGGTCTCAGGGCCGTTCAGAGTTCTGGTCCCTCAAAGGAAAATGAAGTCCCGTCCCCCCCCAAAATAAAATAAAAACTTAAACAAAGTTCCTCTGATCATACAAATAAAATCACGAATATATGCTCTGGACACCTCTCTTTTGTATGTAGGGATTGTTCATCTTCTGTGAAGGTGTTGTGGAATCTTGACACTTTCTGCCAAAGAAATTGACCATGCCACAAGTATTATGCCTTCAGTGTTTCATCCTTCTCTGCTCATTATAGGTGATTTATGTGGCATGAAGCAATGGAAATGGACAGCACTCAATAGTAGGGTTCATTATTTGCATGCAGATCCAGGAGAGCCACTGCCAGTCTAGAGATGGACAACACTGAGCTTCATAGACCAATTGACTGATTCTAATTCCTAAGGGGAAGGGATACCCTTAATTGCCTGACAGATAGAGCAGCTTCAGCTCTGCTTCTTAAACCCTTTGCTGGGCCTGTTCACATGAACCATTCACTATGATGGCTGTTGCACATGCACAGAATTGGCCACGTAGCTAGTTCAGCTAGTTCAGTTCAAATCTGGCCAAAACATGGTTGAATTCAGTCCAGTTTGTGTGTGCTGATCTGATTGTATGAGACTTGAGCACAGGCTGAAATAGCAACATGGACTATATAGCACTGCAGAATACAGACCAGAGTCTCTCTTGGCTTCAACATCTTTGCTCTTTCGAACCCATCTGGCAATTTCTGCAAAAGTACACATCACTGATGTAGCTGGGAAAGACTCATGCTTTAAGCACCATACGCAGAAGACTGATAAGGAGATTGCTCAAAAACTAACATATCCAGACCCTGTGAGCATCATCTGAGGCTCTTCTCTGAGTGTCCCCTAAAGACAGGTTCAGAAGGTGGCAGTTAGGGAGAGGGCACTCCTATCTATGTAATGCTCTCCCCACTGAAACCCTCCTGGTACTAACTCATGTCTTTGGTGCCCGGTTAAAACCATTGCCTACATCCCAGAATATGAGAAATATTTGATGGAATATAATTAGGCTTATATGTTTGGGGTTGCTTTTTAGTTGTAAATAATGTTATTATTGTTTTATTTTTAGCGATTGGTTTGGGGGTTGTGTGTGTTATGCTTCTGAATTATTTCAGTTTATTGTTTTATTATTGTTGGGACCGATTGGTTTCAGGTGAAAAACAAGTTAAATAAGTGTGGGGTTTTTAAAAAAAGTCACAACACAAGCTGCATTTTAAAAAGGTCAGTCCAAGTCATCAGACTCTGAAGCACGTGAATTGGCCTGTGTAACTACACATTAGCAGCTATTACATGTTCTTCTTCCTCCCACACTTGCTGCCTTCCACAATGAACTTGGCAAACTGCAAACCAATTTGAGTTCTTGTTTACTTCTACAAAAACCTGTAGATTTAAACCTACCAAGTTGTCTGAACAATCAGGCAAGGAAAAATGAATTTTTGTTATATTTTTATTTTTTTTACTTTCTGGTGCAACGTAAGTCAACAAAACATGATTTAGTTAACCATGACACTTGATTAGGGATCTTTTACCATAAGAGCAGAATCAGCTTTCTAACCATGCTGCCATGAGGTGGCTGCCCTGAGGCAACCATACAGGTAGCAATTGTTTTGAGTCTGGCTCAGTTCTACTGAGTAACTCGTTCTGCCATGATATAGCCGCCCCAGATAGAAATGGGGTGCAGTAGGTGATGATGTCATCAAATTTGGGTACTAACAATGCAGCTGGGCTGGTCACATCAGCACTTCTGGCTCAGATGTCCTGTGGAATGAGAAGAGCGGACTGCAAGCTTGTGGAGTAAGCGCAATTATTTATTCAATTTACTTCCCTCTCTTCCGCCTGAAGGAGCTCAAGGTGACAAATATTATTCTTATGTTACTTGTGCTATTTGTAAGCCCATTGTTGCAATTTATTCCACTTTTCAGCGTGCAGGAAACTCAGCCTACTAATAATGGGAGGGAGGATTCAGTAAAGTGATCCCTGTTGCCAGCTGTCTGCTCTTAAGACTTCATAGTAGAGGGAAGCAGGATGTTTTCCTGCGTGTAGATTAGCACATCAAAATGTTTCGGTATTGTTAGAATGGTGAGACTGTATAATTTGGTTCGTTTCTACTTTTCCTATCCGACTCTCCCATACAAAATTCCTCGATAAACAGATTTTTCTGGTGGGAAGTTGGCTGGGCTATGATTGGTGCTTTTATATTCACCAACTTCAGCAATATGTAATTTAAAAAAACCAGAATAATGCACGCCCTAGCCTTGATCAAATTGTTGCAGTTGTAACATACTAATCTTCAAATCTTCTTCCCCATGAATGGCGACTCTTGCTTCTACTCCTAGGCTAACATTACCTTCATATATTCTTTAATCCATATTGCTGTACACACTTGGTTCATTAATACATCACTCCTGAGTCGAGGTTATAAAAGCTGGTGAATTATGCAAATCAGCATGCCTGCTGAGAAGGAAATGGTGGAAATGACAAATGAGTTCTTTTGAACTGCACAAAGCCCAAAAATCTGTTTTCAGCCTCAGAGCTGAGCTTTGAAATAACATGAAATAAGCATGTGAGAGTCTTGTTCTCACATTACAGTACTGAGTAACCAAAACCAGCATCTATACCTTAGTGATTTAAGAGTTTTAAGGGTAAGGATTCGACTCCAGTACTTCCCATGTTACATATTAATGTTTTAATTATGAAAAGGGGCTTTTTCAAGCCTGGGAGTGTGATTTTGCTGTACAGCAATGTCCAATTCCTGGTTGTCAAGTCCCATCTCTGAGCATGTGAGGCTATTTCTGACAGCTCACTCAATACGATAATTCTTAGCTTGTATGCCCAGGGGTGCACCTATGGGATGGTGAAAACGGCCCCTGCAAAAATCTCCCCAGATTGCTCTGACCAAGAGAGTTAAGTTGTGTGGGCCAAAAGTCGTGAGAGGCAGATTGCCTGGATGACAGAATCACCTCAGAAAAAACTGAGATACTGGAGTAGAGGGGGTGATATTAGACAAATAATGCAGCTATTGCGGTAAAGTGGGTTTTTCAGGGGTAGGGCATCAATACAGCTCCTTGCCAAGGGCGCAAGAGACCCTTTTTTATGTTTCACCCCTTCTGTGCCCTGGGCACTTCAATTGGTGAGTAGATTTGCATAGATCTTTTCTGCAATGAGGAACACTCTTCACACTTAAGTGAAGCCAAATATCCTTAGTAAATTCAAAACTCTTGAGACACCTAGCAATAGCTTTACATCAAACTGTGGTTAGAGGAAAAGTTGGAGAAAGGAAAATAATGCTATGATTTCTATGCGTTACCAGTAACATGAAGATCAGAGCGCACATCATGGCAGGAAAGAGGCTAGGAGAAAGGATGTTTTACCACACCTGTTCCACTAAAAGGAAATATTGCAACACAGAGAGATGATGGCTGGGGTTTTCCATGCTGACTCAGGAAGCAGAAGGCTTACCTGATCCCAAGATCTGTATGCAGTATGCTTATCTAGTCCCAAGATGATTGCAAAACCAGTCATCGAATTGGCCTGTCTAATAAAGTTTGAGTTTGAACCCTGGTGTTCCTTTGCAGGGAGGGGGTGGGCTGGGGGTTTGTGCATGTGATGTTAATGATGACCTGTTGGCTTCAGAGTGGCCAAGTGGTTCTGATCCTAAGCCACACCTGATTCATTGGACAGGCTGGCTCAGACAATATGCCCTATTAATTCATTAGCTTGTCTCTAGTTCAGAGGCTGGCTGGCTAGCTAGTCAGTAGTTCAACTAGGGAAGGATCCTGGCATGCAGTTTCTTAGGTATTATTCTAATCCTCCGTAGTGCAGTGTTAGAGTGGGAAATGAAGCCAGGGGGGATGACACAGAGCAAACAAAACAAAACCAACAAGTGGAAGCAGCCTAGTTGGTGTTTTGGGCTTCTCCATTGTGGAAAAATACCTGGCAGCATAGATGCCTGTGTAATCCAAACAGCTTCTGTTCCCAAGTAAGGTGACTTTAGGTAAGTTTACACATCAGCCAGTACAGCCAGCTCTCCTCTTCCTGGTGTTCAGCCTTTCCCTCTCCTTGGGTTTACCTCATGAATTTATCTCCCTTAAAACTTAGACACATAAGACACTTACCCCAAGATACCTTGATATTCAAGGTAAGCAATCACATTTGGAATCCATGTCAAGCCCAGATATCCAGGTTTAAAATACAATAAAAAATATTTTGAGGCTAGCTGAATTAATTATATTTATGTCCCACATTTTCTCAAGGAGCTCCAGGTGACTGGCATGGTTGCCTCTTCCCTGTAAAATCCGTGAGACCTTGTTAGGCCTCCTCGTATGGTGGTTTGGCCCAAACCATGGTCACCTGTCCATTACCTGATGTCATATGATAGCAGGTGCAGCCCCAGTGCCCAATTCAGAAGGAAGAATGAAGAGCGCAATCTTAAGTTTGCAGCTGCAGGTTTAAATTTTAATCACCTCACATCATATGGTTCCAGGTAATTGCTGAATAGCATTCTTGTACACCTGTCAAAGCGGCCTATGGAGGGTGGGCCAGTTCTGGATCCAACCTGAGCGGGCCAGTCCCACCTACCCCACCCCCCTGGGCAGGGGAAAAATGATTTCCAAAGCCACCCAGTGATTTATGGGGAGCATGGATTCAAAACTGCCTTGCTTACCTTGGCACATCATGTCGCCTTGGTAAGCGGATTTGAACCTGGCTGTCCCTAGCCATAATCTGAGCCTAACTGCTACACTGCCCTGGCCCTGTGTGTCAGATATTTAAATTCAGGGGGAAGATCTTACTCTGTCTTTCCCCTCTCCCTGCCAGGGTGCACATTTGTAAACAAAGCAGGAGGGGCCCCAGAAGAGACATTGGCTTCTTACACCCACCATGATCCTGGACAAAACCATTTCGGTCCGCATCATCTTCCTCCTTGGGGTCATCCAGTGCCTGAGAGGGTATAGCTGGGAGCAGACGACAGCCAGCTCTGTTTTCCAGCAGGAGCCATTTGTGGTGGTGTGGAACTTGCCCACAGCTAAGTGTCGAGAGCATTTTGGGATCACCCTACCTCTGGAAGCCTATGGCATTGTGGAGAACAAGGACAATGCTTTTCGTGGCCAGAACATAACCATTTTTTACAAGAACAAGTTTGGGCTCTATCCCTACATCTCCCCAGATGGCAAATGGCACAATGGAGGGATACCTCAGAACGTCGATCTGAAGAAGCACCTGGAGACGGTCTCAAGAGATGTTTTGGAAAGCCTGAAGCCTGATTTCCAGGGACTGGCCGTGGTGGACTGGGAGGAGTGGCGGCCTCTCTGGAGGCAGAACTGGGGCCCCAAGAACGTGTATAGGGCGGCCTCTGAAAAATGGGCAAGGAACAGAAGGCCTGATGAACCCCTCACGGAGCAATCTTATCTTGCGGAGATAGAGTTTGAACAGGCAGCTCGGGCCTTCATGGAGAGAACTCTAGAAATGGGGAAGTCTCTGAGGCCACAGGGATTCTGGGGCTTCTATGGGTTCCCTGACTGTTTCAATTACAACTGGGAGAGCGAAGAGAACTACACCGGTCATTGCAACCCCACAGAGGTCCAGTGGAATGATCATCTCATGTGGCTCTGGAAGGTTTCATCTGCCCTCTATCCCAGTATCTACCTCTCACCAAAACTCCCAACATCTTACCACCAGAGTTATGTTCACCACCGCCTCAAAGAAGCATTTCGCGTGGCACAGTTTGGCGTGAAGCAGCCTCTCCCTGTGATCGCATATTCCAGAGTCTCCTACAGACATTCTCCACGGTACCTGACTGAGGTAAGAAGTGAGAGGTGCCAACTGCGTACAATAGGCCCAGGCACTTTTCATCAATGGTAGCAATTGAATAAAGGTTAAGGCTGCAATCCTAAACCCACTTAACCTGGGAGTAAGCCCCATTGAATTCAGTAGGACTTACCTCTGAGTAAACACAGCTAGGACTGCGGTGCAGATCTCTTATCTAGCTGGAAACTTCCTTCTGTGGGGAATATTAGCTGCCACCATACAGTGAGGGGGGAAAGTATTTGATCCCCTGTTGTTATTTTGTCTCTCACAGCTGCAATAAACCTACCATTAAAATTATGGACTGGTCATTTCTTCGTCAGAGGGCAAACGGCCAAATTTAGCAGGGGATCAAATACTTTCCCTCCTCACTGTACATTATTCATTTATTATATTTTTATCCTGTCCTTCCAAGGAGCCTGGAGTGTCACAGAGGGGGTATTTCATTACACTGTTCTCATAACAACCCTGTGAGGTAGGTTGGTTAGCCAGAGAGAAAATTATTGGCCCAAGGCCATTCAGTCAATTTAATGCTTCAGATGGAATGTTGCACCACTATATATATATATATATGCAGTCACAGTAGTTAATTAATTGAGGCACTTCATTAATGCTGCAGCCAGCTATGAGTGAACAGGAAGCAACTAATTAACTGCTTTAATAGAAAGGTGTTGTCAGGGATGGGGAATCCTTTTGGCCCAGCTAGCCACACTCTCATCTTTCCCCAATTCTGTGCGCCAACTTTGATAGGTGGGTGGAGCAACCCGTTTTTCATTCATCTCATAACTATGTTCCTCATGGGGAACTTGGTACCAGACAGTCTGGTAGGCCTGAGCTCACTGCCCATCACTGATGGCTAATGACTTCAACCTTGCTTTCCGCAGGAATTGGCTGTATGATCACAAACCCTGTAAGGCACTCAGTCACACAGGTGATCCAGCCCCATGTCAGGTGTGGGGGAATTAGCCTTGTGGGCCAAATGGGGGTCCATCTATCCTGAACCAAATTTGGCCAATGGGCTAGAAGCTGCTGATTACTGGATTTTCTGGATTTAGGGAGGAGAAAGTGGGGGTGAGCAATAGCTTGAGGAAAATGCTGCATAAACATAGAATAAAATGATGCACAAAAAAGGGTTCACAGTCCACATTCCTGTGGTGTCTTGTTAAACAAATTGGTCAGACTTTTGAAGCATTACAGAAACTACAACTCATGTTTGACCAGAGAACTTAATTGGGCCAGAAAAATTCAGTGAAAATCTATCCATTGTAACTAGCCAGGAAACCTGCCTAATGCAATGTGTTAATATCACCAAAGTGATACGTTGCATTTCTCATGCAGAAAGCTGCCCAGTGCTAACAATTCCCTCCTTTTCTCCATTCAGGCTGACCTGGTGTATACAATTGGGGAGAGTGCAGCACTTGGGGCCGCTGGGGTTGTGCTCTGGGGTGACCTCTCCTATTCCCAGTCACCGGTGAGTATCTCTGCAACAATGTCCCATCCATCTATTAATTCATGAACCGCCTTTATATGCTTCCCAATTACAACATTTCCTGAGAATACCTATAATGTATTCAAATACAACCATCAACCGTGAAACAATCATGCAGCAGATTTAAACAATTATATTAAAACTTTTATTATTTAAAGGAAATAAAAAGCTATTTACCAGGCACCAAAACAGGTGCCAGCCTCCATGGGGAAAGCATTCAATCGGTGGGATGCCATGGCCAAGAAGGCCCTCTTCCTAGGATATACAGTGGTACCTCAGGTTACATACACTTCAGGTTACATACGCTTCAGGTTACAGACTCCGCTAACCCAGAAATAGTACCTTGGGTTAAGAACTTTGCTTCAGGATGAGAACAGAAATCGTGCTGCGGCGGCGCAGTGGCAGCAGGAGGCCCCATAGGCTAAAGTGGTGCTTCAGGTTAAGAACAGTTTCAGGCTAAGAACGGACCTCCGGAACAAATTAAGTACGGTACTTAACCCGAGGTGCCACTGTACTACCTAAGTTGAGAATCAGCCTGAGAGAGAAAACAGATACTCTCTTTGCCCACCTCATTGGTAGCCCAGCAGCTATTCCCCTACTTTCCAGCTTTGGTGGGGATAGGATAACTTGTTTCTCCCAGTTTTATTGATACCTTGACTAATGACCATGCTCACCTGCCCGTGTGGTTGGTTCTGCCTAAACAGAAATGGCTGGAAGCTCCCATCCCCAGTGCCGATGGGTCCAGTCCCTAGAATGTTCTGAGCTGTAATCCTAGCTTTCCATCTTCTAGGAGAGCTGCAGGAGCCTCAAGCATTACATCACCACAACACTGGGCCCATACATCGTCAACGTAACCACGGCAGCGCGCATGTGCAGCCGCAAGCTGTGCCATGGGCATGGACGTTGCGTGAGACAGGACCCCAGTGAACTGGAAGCCTTCCTCCACCTGGACCCGCAGCAGTGGGAAGAGGAGTCCTCAATGACAGATTTTCCAGATCAAGACATGTTCGCTTGGGAACAATTTCAGTGTCACTGCTATCCTCAGTGGACTGGAGCCTCGTGTGAGACACCGCTGTGGCTGGAGCCTGTCCTAGGACCGGAGTGTAGTCGAGCTCAACAGTATTACAATATATTTCATGCAGGGTATGTCAGCAATGTTGTTGTGAAGTCAAACATCTGTCCTCCTTCCATTTACAATGAAAAGACAGAATTCCAATAACACATCTTTGCAGATTCAGCACTTTACTCTAAGGGCAGTTTTGATGATATCTGTTCTAGACATTTCTCAACTGGGTGACTCCTCCGTTTTTCAAACAGAGCGGGGTCTGGATGTAGACAAATAGCAGACTCACACTTTTTCCTTCTTTGAAGGTGCGCTATAATTTAAACATGATCTCAGGTGTAAGCCTAAAGTAAGGGCTTAGGCATTGTTGGGTTTTGAAACTGTAGCCAAGCACATCTAGTAAAATAAAGACACACTTGGAAACCCTAAAGAGCTGTAGCATGAGAGCACCTTATACCTTCCGAGTTTGTATGTGATCTGGCAGGTGGAATGCTGGGAAATGGAAGCATTCACTACCACCATGAAAGTCATCCTTGCACACCCTTCCTACACTTGTTAGCACTACAACTTAAAGGAGACAGATGTCTGGAACTTGGTGTCATAACTACCTTTTTGTAACCACTCTCGTCTCTTTCCCCCCCAACTTCAGTAAAAGCTATGAGAAAGCAAGTGAGTTGGAAGGCTTCTCTCATTCACTTTTCTCCCTCAGTCTGTTTTTTTAGCACACTTAGCTGAACAACTATTATGCAAGATTCGGGTTCATTTCCTCTCACCTGTGCTACTGCTACAAGGATATTGTGCTTTCCCAGATGAAACTGCAATACTTGGGTGAGCTAACTGCCTTTTATCAGACGCAAGGCAGTGCTACTACATTGATGATGAATGCAGGGCAATGGGGAGATGTGTGAGTATTATGGTTACCTATTGGATAGTGTCCACGAGGCTGTTGGTCAAGAACTACCTTCCCCAATCTGGTGCCTCCCAAATATTTTGGACTACAACTCCCATCAGCTCCAGGCAGCATCACCAGTGGTCAAGGATGAGAACTATAGCCAAAATATTTGGAAGGCACTAGATAGGGAAAGGCTTGTCAGCAGGTGTGACACAACTCTGACCCCCTTGCATCCTTTTTTTGCTGGGGGGTGGTGGTATTAAGTACAACTGAACTAAAATTATTTAGATGTTGAGCCCTATTTATTGCCCCTCAAATTGGCTGTACCACCCCTAAGTATGGCCATACTCAAGTTAGCCTTTAAAAAATGTTGTGAGCACCAACAAGTCTTCCCTCTTCCCCATCAGGACCTTGCCACAGATGAGGAAAAGACTACTGTAAGCAAAAGGACAGTTGGCCTGCAGTGTGATACAATAGCAGCACCTCCATCAAAAGAGTAGCCCTGGAAGCATGCGCAAAGAGGACCAAGACTCATTCTCCAGCGCCTCCTGTTTAAGGTGCTACCAGGGCTGGAAATGACATCTGCCAGACACCAAGGGGAGCTACTGCCAATTAAAGTGTGGGGCGAGATGGACCAATATAAGGCAGCTACATATGTTTATATGCTGAAGTGTGTGTCTGCCGGTATGTTAGTCTACCCTACGTGAGATCAAAACATCCTGCACCAGATTCACCTAATGAGACCTGCTAGCAGAAACCCTGCACAAGGGTTTCTGCTGGTGCTTTGGGGCTTACCCCACTCTACTCCCCCAGTTGGCTTGTGGGGGTGATGAGAACCCAGACCCATGCAGGGAGTGGGTGAGGAGAGGGAAATTGCTGTGTTGGCCAAGCTGAAATGCTTGCACTGGTAGAATGATTGCCATGGTACTATGTTGAATTCTTCCCCCTGAATTTCCCAGTTCCAGGGAGGCTCTGGTCCAATTGCCTAGCTTTTGGATGCATCTGTGCTGGGTTTTTGGCTCCTTAAATAGAATCATAGAGTTGGAAGAGACCACAAGGGCCATCGAGTCCAACCCCCTGCCAAGCAGGAAACACCATCAGAGCACTCCTGACATATGGTTGTCAAGCCTCTGCTTAAAGACCTCCAAAGAAGGAGACTCCACCACACTCCTTGGCAGCAAATTCCACTGTCGAACAGCTCTTACTGTCAGGAAGTTCTTCCTAATGTTTAGGTGGAATCTTCTTTCTTGTAGTTTGGCTCCATTGCTCCGTGTCCGCTTCTCTGGAACAGCAGAAAACAACCTTTCTCCCTCCTCTATGTGACATCCTTTTATATCCTTTTATACATCACGTGTTTCTTCTTTTCTATCTCAGCAATTCCAAATATTGGTGTCACTAAATCTTAATTTCATAAAAAAATGAAAGTCAGAAGACTCAGTGGAGTCCAGCATCCTTTGCCAAACATGCTTCCAATAATCCCACAAACAGAGCAAGACATCAACCCAGTTGTTTGTACTTTTGCTATCATGAGATATTCACAAGCACGCTACAAGCACGTGGTAGGTTTCAATGCTGAGTTCAATTCCGCTATTATGGCTAATTCCACAAGTTAAAAAGAACCCAGTAAGATCACATCTCAGCCCAAACTGGCATTGCATCAAGAGAGAAGGGTTTCAGTGCTTCGTCCAAAACAATACATCCAACAGCTTCCAAGAATAATTATAGATACTAGCACCCCAGCTCCATTAATGCATTTCTTCACAAGACAGGCCACATTCATTGTTGTCCCTTCCCTTCTAATCTTCAAGTAGCTAAAGGAGAAAGTTAAGGATGGTGTTAGAATAATGGTATGAAGATTTAATGGGCTAAAAATGGATTAAACATAACTTCAATAAAAGCATCTTCAAAGCAATTCTTTGTGGTTCTTTAAATAACCATTAAAGCAATGTAAGTTTCGTTTTCTGCTTTATCTCCTTCCAGGATTCTTAGTTTAGGAGCTTTGGATTTTTAAATCTAAATTCTGTCTGTGAAATGCTAAATGATATCAGCATTCGACCGTGCTTGTTTTGGGGGCAAGCCCAACTTGATAGGAACAGTCATTAGTTTAAAAGAGCATTTTCTGGTTGGTTGTGCCTGAAAGGCTACACAATATGTTTCCATATGACTGAATGGGCTTATCTGGATGTCAAAGGGTTGATCATTAACTGGGAAAATGGCAGGCTACTGCACAGCGAGATCAAGTCATACCACTCTTCTTGTTTTTGCTCTGGGACTGGGTGTTCTCCTTTTCAGAACTGGAATTGTTCAAGGCTTTTGTAGTGTTTTGCATAATTATTGAATATCATCCACTATATAGTGTCAGCCAGCAAATTTTAAGTATCAGATAAATGGCGAGACAACAAATACGGATTCAAATATCAAAGGGCAAACTGAATGTATGACAGTGGGATTTTTTATATATTTGTGGGGTACATTTGTTTTCACACTTGTTTTTGTTTGAAACAAGGAGAAAAGTTACCTGAAGACGTTTCTTCTGGTTCTAAGTAGGTAGAATCTGTACAAAATTACATATGGAAATATACAAGTTTGGCTCCCTGGGCAAAAATCTCAGTCTTGCACCGTTCACTGACTCACACTGAAGTGTACTAGTTCAGGCGTTTTAAAATAGGATAAAACACTTGCAATGATGCCGCTTAGCTGCTTTCTGTTACCAATTGGGGGGGGAGAGATCTCTGTTCAGGAGGGAGAATAATCTGATTTTCCATTTCGCTAACCTAACCTAAGAGCTGTGGTTGGAATGTTGGGCTCGGACCCGAGTTCAAATCCTAACTCGGCCATGAAGCTGGGTGAGGGACCATGGGCCAGTCACTCACTCTCAGCCTGATCTAATAATATGGAGACAGGGAGAGCCAGTAACTAAATAAATAAAATAAGGGTTCCGTGCTTTTCCCCTCCTCCATACTGACTCCTTCATCCTACCTTTGCTGTTCTTAGGAAACTGTTGCCTTCCTGCCACAGTTATCTGTCTCTCCCCAATGCAGGAGCCTTTCTGCATTCTGCCAGCCTGCTCTTCCTTTTCCCAGCACTCACTTAAGCCCCCACTGTATCCTCTCCAGCCCCTCTGTTTGGTCTCTATCTATAGCTCCTCCTTGGGCTCCACTTATTCCTATTTTAAGCTTGAGCAGCTGATATGACAGGCAGAAGCCTGTGTTTACTTCCCCATCAGGTCCCAGGGGGAGCTGTACACAGGCCCCTCACAGCTTCTGCAGCAGCCACACACAGAGGACTCTGGTTCTAGGGATGTCCAGTGACACTGGAGAAGGTATGGTCTGGGGGTTTTGAGGAGCGGGGGAGAGAGTTGTAGAGAGCGTGTTGAAGTAGGGTTAATCTTCTAGTCATTGAGACATGACTCTAGTACCTCTTTGGAGGGCCAGGCTGCAAAACTCGACCAGGAGATCTGATTCTCTTGCCTTTCTGGCAACAGGAGACCTGGGTCTCAAGCCATGTCGCGATGTTCAAAGGACAGAAGACAGCTCGTCTGTCACTGCCACCGGCACAGTGAGCAATGAGGGTGACAGCTGGAAACTTTTGGCTGCTCTCGACTTTATGTAGGTGTTGTGGGGGAATTCTTGTCAAAGGACCTGAGCTTATCCTGGCTGGTGGCTGTAGTTGGTGAGAAATTCAAAGCAGAGGTTTGAGAGCATATTGCTGTAGCTGAACAGGTTCAAAAGAATGAAACACATTGTCCATAAGAGCCTGATCCTGGCGCAGGCAAGAGGGACGAGAATTATCTAGGTGCAAGCCTATTTGGTTGTGATTTAAGCCACAACTCTCCCCATGCTTGCTAACTCTCTCAGACATGGCTGAAACAAAATTTTAAAAAATCCCTTCCAGTAGCACCTTAGAGACCAACTAAGTTTGTTACTGGTATGAGCTTTCGTGTGCATGCACACTTCTTCAGACATGGCTGAGTCACTCCTGCTGCCTTCGGTCCAAGTCATGGAAGCCTGTCATGTGCCGTCCAGTCAGAGTGACCGGCTCCTGACTCAGAGGCGGTGGCTGCTTATTGAAGAGCCCGGTGCAAGCCCCAACACTAAGCCTCCCTCATACCATTTACTCACCGCAGTCCCATTTGCTGCTTCAGGAAAGATTCCACTTTTACCCAACCATGTGGGCCTATTTACTACTATAACCTAGGGGTAGGAGTCACCCTTGTGGCGTGTTGCCTCTGTTGCTTCAGCAATAAAACCTGCTTCAGCTGTAGGACTCTGCCCACGCAGCAGAATATACAGACCACATAGGGTTTCAAAATAATACAATTGTGGTGTTTTACAAGAGGACCTGCCCTTGAGTTGCCAATAGAGGACAATAGGACCTGATTCACACAGACAATTCCTTCTCAATGCAATGCAAATTAAAGCAATTAAAAATTGCTTCCTGCTCACTCAGCGACAGTGAAGACAGATGTCGCCCTAAAATAGTTCTTTGCGTGCCTATTCAAACACATTGTTGCATGATGATTGAAATGTTGAAAGCAAGACTGCCCTAAATTGTAGTTAGGAACAAAAGCTTTGTTCTGCTTCTTGGTATTCCTTGCATTCCACACTGTGGAAATGATACATGGGTAATATGGAACTAGCAACTGAAGGGAACATTGGAGAAAGGCCAAAGTTACATTTTAAGATCCTATTTAACTCGATTGCTGCAGGAAATATGATGGGCCCTCAAAATGTAGCTGGATAGTTAATGGACCCCATCCAGCTCTAGCTGAGCTTGATTGTATGAGAACATCACTCTCAGATGTGAATGTGTCTCCTTGTCGGAATCAGAAACATCCTCTAAGTTCAATGAGAACCAGATGAACATTTGAACATCAGTCAAATAAACTTGTTACAAACTACTTTTAAAAGCAAAGGAATTGGTGTTCAAAGAGAAAAATACTTCCGGAGGCTGAGATGTAAGTTAACTGCATAAAAATGGCAGTTTGCAACATCCCACCAGAATCTTTCTGCACAGTCTAGCAAATATGGCAGCAAGTGGGCCCAGTTTTAACTCAAACAGTACTGCCTGGACTGTTACCGTTTCAGGAAGGGGTAGCTCACATGGCAGAAGACACATCTGTGGTGGGCCTTCCTCCACACAGAAAGCTAGTTATGTCAGTGAAAAGGAGCCCTTCTCCCTCACATCTGGTTTTACCTTTTTCATGGAGTCTTTCTGTATGGAAGCGAACAAGCACATATATGATGCATACAAGCACACACACACAGGATGTGCATCATGTCACAAATGCTTTTGCTGAGATTCCTGCATTGCAATGGGTTGGACTAGATGATCCTCAGGGTACCTTCCATCTCTACGGTTCTATGATTCTATGCCCCTTGCATTCAGAAGTGGTACAGCCCAGACATAGGCACTAGTTTTTTACTGCTGAGGTAAATCCAAGTCCCATTAGCTTTGAACAGTGGCAGTATCGTAGCCAATAAGGTTAATCCGAGGCACAATTATTACTAATTGCCAACTTTTCCCAATACCCTGCCATGACAACTTGGAAAATATATATCACAATCCAAGTCACATTGAAGTATAATCCACAGCTAAATGCTTTATATTCTTTGATTCTGACACAACCAAAGCACTATTTAGAAAATCTCCACATATAGGGATGAAGTGTCCCTCTTGCCATCACATGCCCAACTCTGACTACTGGTCCTGCTAACTAGGAATGCTGGGAGATGTAGTCCAAAATTATATTTTGAATTTTCAAAATACCCGTTTTTAACTTGTCTTTTATTGACAACTTTAGAATTTTACTTTTTGTAAACCACTTAGACTAGAGGCTCTGTTTACAGCCAAGTAGTACATAAATGCTATTAAATAAATAAATGTTCAACTGTGTGTGACTAGGCATCCCTCTACAGATGTCTGCTTTCAACTCATGGACATAGGGATCTGGGTTGGTGGGATGTGAGGTATTACAGGCAAGATCAGGCAATGTAGCCTGGCTCCTCCTGCCATGCAATTATGTCTACGTGTAATAGGCTTCCAACTTTCATACAAATGCCTCCCATTTCAATCCTCAGTTCAGTTCTTATAGTCATTCACCCTGATTATAATAACCACTCCATTTTACAACCGTATTCATATTATCAATTAACATGGTTGTTTGCTCCCTAACACAATCTAAGGGCCGTGTTATAGCAATTAACATCATGTAGCAATTTGGCCCACACACAATGTTTTTATTGAAAGGACCATTCTTCTCCACTCAACCAAAGCATTTTTATGGTAGCCTTTTACAATTCTACAATTAACCTCTTTTATTTTGATTAATTAACATGGCATTTTCTTTGTCTAGGCACTTGCGTAGTGTACAGCCCACCTATTTCACCTATAAAACGTGCTTAAAAATGGCCAAAAAAAAAACAAAAACACCCGCAAAACTAATTTCAGACATGTAATCTCAGCACAACTAATTTTGGGTAAACGTGGAAGTGTAAGAACTTTTCCAGTGCTGCTACTGTGCCTTTAACAGATGGTCAGCAAAGAGAAATTCCACAACTGTGGCCTTTTTATTCTGGCAGAGAATCAGAGAGAATGTCACTGTTGAATTTCTGTCTTAGCCTGTAATTAAAGGTATTTTCCCTGTCTGGGAAAAGGTGACACTGCTGTGCTAAGTGTAATTAGGCCGCGTTGTCCTTTGTGTCCTTGAAAGATACGATCCCAAAGTGCCTGTAAATTTGAGCCATGATTTAGCTGGCAACACTTCTGTAATCAGGGAAACATTCCTGCTAAGGATAAGGTTGCCAGCTTAGTCCTTTCCCCACCCTGGCAGAGTGTTGTTCTTTCAGCTACTATTTAACAGGCAGTTGTTCCCCAGGCAAAGTTGTCTATATCTCCAGTTGGTAGAGCATGAGACTCTTAATCTCAAGGTTGTGGATTCAAGCCCCACGTTGGGCAAAAGATGTCTGCGTTGCAATGGGCTGGACTAGAGATTATCTTCATAGTCCCTTCCAATTCTACAATTCTCTGATAGGCTTCACCTGTTGAATGTTTACCTGTGTCACCATTAAAGAGTTTGGGAAAGCACAAAGAAAGAAACACAAGCAAATGAATAAAAAGTCAGTAACTAGGAAGAACTATATGCGAAAGCATAAATCTGCTTTTCGAAAGGCAAGGAATGACAGCCAGGTAGCAGTAGCATCAACATATACAGCTCAGGCTTGCAGTTTCTGCAGCTTGACAAATGAGCCTCTGGGTCATATGGTATGTGTACAATCAGGCCATGGGAAGAGGCCAGTGGTTATATTAAGGTACAAGGGCTTATTACATAGGACAGCGGAGACTGTCCAGGATTCCATCCCTGCTAAAGAGGCACTGGAAATCCTGTCCCTGGATGTGCTGCTAAGCAGTTTAAATGGGGAAGGGCAGAAACACAGCAAGGGTAAGTGGTGCATATTCTCTTAAGTGGCAGAATCTGAAGTATTAAAGTCGGGGGGGGGGCTCCAGCTGTCTCAGCCAATTGGTAATGGAAGATGGTCTCAGGCTCACAAGAACCCGAGTGGGTGGGGGATGTAAATCTTTGCTAGTTACTGTCTCTCAGGGCCTCATCTCACACAACATGGGTAAAGGCAGAGCCGTCGCATCAAACATACCAGCAAGTGTAACAACAGAAAGCACACGGGAGCTCTAGAAAAATGACTAGAGCAGCTCTAGAAAAATGACAATTGTTAAGAGAACCGATAACGGGGAGGGGCTTCTTTGGTATCTACCAAAAAGACTTGGTAGGATGGTGGAGAGAGTGAATGGAGACTGGAGAGTGGGGGAAGGGAAGCTCTTATCCCCCTGCACTAGCAGAGCATCAGGTCTTTTCTAGGAAAGCCTTATTTCTTACTGAAGAAAATAGCAGTGACGCACTCCCACCTCTCATATGCCAAACCACTCTTTCCCGTGCAGACACCATGGTGAAGGATGCTGCTTCCTCCGACAGGGAACTCATTGAAAATGGCATGGCAGAAATAAACTTGCACGCGGTAGAGTCCATCAGTGACCTGCATTATGCATCTGGCGGACGTGAGAGTGGCAGGGTCTCAGAAGGTATGTAGTACCCAGCACCCCGAGTTGAACTCAAGCAACCTCATGAGTGCCCAGAGTAACTAAACCGCAGTTCAGCAGTAGGAAGAAGAGCCCAGACCAGTAATGAGCTTTCCCCATGAAAACAGGACACTGTGAGCTGAGCTGGCGCTGGCTATTACATGGGCTAATATGGGTGGGGAAACTTTTTCAGCCCAAAGGCCACATTTCCTCATGGGCAACCAGCAGGCGGTGCACAGGGCGAGAGTGGCAGAGGCAGAAGTGGGCAGAGCAGAGGATGCGACTCTTACCTGTGTAAAGCAGGCTATATTCCAGTCTTGCAGAAGTCAGAGGTTTCGACACCTCCTCTCACACACCTCTCAGTCCTTTGATCCAGGTAAGCAAGGCATTGACAACAGTTCAAGGACACAAGATAAAAGAACTTGAGGAACCTATGAGGGCTGTGGCCTGGGGAAAGCCCCAAGTGTCAGCCAGAGGTCTAAGGGGGCAGTTTGAGGCCCTAGACATGAGCCCCCCCCAGCCTAATATAAATCAACAGTGGCTGCTTCCCTACTCCTGCTCATTCCTCTCTCTCTCCATCCTTCTTTTCCAGGGGGCAGCCCATCTCAGCCCAGCAGCCCATGGACTCCTCACAGCACTTCCTCCAAACATTTCACTTTCCCAAACGAAGAGGACACGTCCTTTCTACCTGTCCAGAATCTCCATCTCCTCCCTGCTTTCACCTGCTGCCCTTGCTTCAGTCCGACATGTTGCCCTGCAAGCTTCTTTGCTCTCCTCGGGGTGCTCGTAGTGGCCAGCCTTGGCCTAGCCACATTGGCCGTGTATCTGAGTGGTAGGTTCAGGGTCTGGTGGGCCATTCTTGACAATAAGGAGCTCCTGGTGGGAACTGGTACCTTCCACCATGGGGGCCAGGGAAGAGGGTGGCTCTGTGGGACCCAAGTACTTTCATCTGGCCAGTCCCAGGTAACAGACCGTATGCAAGATGAAACGTGGGTGGTAGGAAACTGAGGACCTATCATGCCCCATAGTGGTTCTTCTGGGCAATGCAGGAGAAAGTACCATAAAACAGGTAAGTTATTTGGGCATCCACTGAAAAACATAGGCTTAAAACAGTAGCTCAAACGGCACCCCATTCTGTGGAATCCACAGCACTTTCTGTCAAATTTCCAAATGCATATATACACCACAGATCCTGAGCCATTACTTTGTGGGGTACAGAATCCAGCCTGTTCCCCTTGGGCACTTGAATTCTCACCCATCCACTTCTAAGGATGCAGCTGTTGTAAACTTATTGTTCTCACATCCAGCTTTCCAGGAAGCTATACCTCAGCTTACATTTTGCGAAGGGTCTGCCACAGATGTGACCTAAGGACATGCTAAAAAGCAGTATCCCCAGACTGAAACGGATTATGCCGAAGTCCAGTGTGAAGTACTCTTGACCAATGCAATAGGAAGTTTTTCCAAACCACCCTTTAGTTACCAGAGGACTGCTGCCCCTCAGCTAGTGGGCCTTAGAATTTGCAGGGGGGTGGACGAGAGGACTCTTGGGGTCCCTTGATGGCACCACAATTGACCATGTAGTCCAGCCCTCGGCTTATGCAGGAAAACCACTACAGCATCCCTACAAAGTGGCTGTTGATGAAGGAGTCTGTCACCAGAATTATTTATTAATTTTATATACCACCCTTCATCTGAGGATATTAGGGCTGTTTACAGATCACCTGAACAGGAAGTATGATATTGAGTTATTTATTGAGGTCCAATAATAATAATATAAACCAAAGTATGTAATCTCCAGCATTAGGATTGTCCTCTGTGGCCTCTGGATTTGGGGGAATCCTCTCTATGTAATGGGGTCCCTCAAACTCAACCAGAGAACGAGTTTGCTCCCTCACCGCTCTGGTGACGGCTCCCATAGTGCTGCTTCATCAACATTCTGTCTGTAAAATATTTCAGACAATTTATATTGGCAGAAGAGCTCCTCAGTTCGCTCTTAGCAAGGCAACGTACGAGTCTGATGTGCCTGGTGGTAAACTGCTCTTGAGAATGAGTGTCAAAATGGTGAAAGTTACAGTGCCTGCGATACATTTCTTCAAATAATAAAACGGAGAGGCTGTTTAGTCACGTGGTTTCTGCTTCTCCTCTCTGCAGTCTTGCAGCGTGAGTCACTGCGTGTCCTTGCCCAGTGGCTGGAGTCCCAGGAGGAGGCCATCCGAGAAATGAGAGCTGTGAGCTTACAGCTATGGAGGCAGCTAAATGCCAGCGATTCAGGATTTCAAACCTGAGAGAGTCCTACCTTTCAACCCCCCGCAAACATTTTCTTTGGGGAGCCGGATGGGAAAATTGACTCACCGCTTGGCACGTTGAGGACGGACATGTGTTGGTCTAGACTATGCAAACCTTTAAGCAACCTACCCCAACTCACTGGTGGGGTGCTGCCGAGGTTGATGTGCCCTATGGGCAGCACTGGCTGCAGGACTGGAATCTGCCTGAAGAGAGGAGGGACAGGAAGATACTGATGCAGAGGGCCTTTCCTCAGCGCCTCAGATACTCTTTTGCTTTTATTTGAGCACTATTTTCAGTACCTTATTTGCACTATGTTGCTCTACTTTATACCCACCTTTTAAGCGTTGCCCATGGGGCACCTTTGCAGAAATGTTTTAATAAATGATGATGAAACTCACAGGCTTCCTTTGCCAAGCTGTGCTTCTCTCTTCAGCTGATCAGCACTAAAATCTGCCCAGGCTCTATCTGGTGAAGAGGGACCGTCGGCCTACAAACTAGGCTTGGAGCAGAGCAGAAGGAACCCTTGTGTTCTATCAGGCTGCTAAAACGGAAGCAGCTCGAATTACCCGTGTCAAACCTCTCTGCAGCCATAATACCTTGCTTTTGTTGAACAATTACATGTAAATGTGACATATGAGCATGCCCTTTCCTTAATTAGTGCCTAATTCCCCCCCACTTGACAGTGCACAGGATTCCCGATACTCGTTTTCCAAGACCGTTTCTGAAGGAAAAAATGGGTGTATGGTCCCAATCTGTTCTTCGAGGCAGCTAGATTTTATTTTAAAACAAAAAGGGATAGCTGAAATTATCCGAATTCTACACTCTGATTCTAACTACAGTCATAGCAATGCAGACATATAGACTCCCTGCTTTGATGCACCAGCCCCAAAGTTCACAACTGAACCTGGAGTAAAAAGAATGGCAGGAAGCCAGCAGCAGAATCCCAGGTGGCCCAACCACAAGAGTTAGGACAACCCTGCAGTTTGGCACTAGGCAAGGGCAAATCCTCTTGAGCAATTGCTTTCTGGGAACAACTACGCAAGATGTCTTGCGATATGGGGGTACATATCACATGGTAAGTACTGTAAGTCGCTTGGAGACCTTCAGATCGCAAGTGACTAACAAACCTAATAAATAATAATGCATGAATTCATTGTACAGATCTGCACAACTCAGCTGGAGTCGGAGAACGTATGGGATGGAAAGGCACGGCACAACTCCTGAGCTGCAGGACGCACAACAGGACACCCCTGGTTAATTCTGCAAATATCTATGAAGCTTGCAACTCTTGAACCCCCAGACATAAGTTCTATGCCCATACACCACTGCTGATGAGGTCATGTTGATAGGAATATGGCTTTTTACCTACCACTTTATGTTTAACATTTTCTCTTGATTTAAAGCCAAATAGGCCAACGTGGACATTTTCTGCTGACAACACTATGAAAATGAGGCAATGTGTTTCAGAGATCAACAGAGAAAGGTACCAGGAGATAACACGTACTTTCCATTAACTTTGCTCTGTGACGATGATGTGCTATGTCTCCAGTCTGGACAGCAAAGGTTTGAAGCTATACACACACACACACACACACACACACACACACACACACACACCCTTATCCTATTTGTGATGACAAAATCCCCCAAAATACATTACAGAGAAGCCAAATGAGGGAAGCAAAATGGTGAGCAGCAGTTCTTCATACTGCCAGATTCCTCCATTTGCTGATTTCCTAGTACTCAAGTGCAAGGCTAGGATTCTGTGCAAGTGAGCACTGCACAAACACAGACTAACTTTAGGCACAGAATTCAACCTCCTAAGAATATGTAGAAGTATGTGAATGAAAGAGAGAACACAAGCATAGTATATATTTATACAGGATCTGATCCAAACTAAGTTAGTTTCACCTAAGCCGCGCTGAAATCAGTGGAAACATAATACAACTAGCTGGTCCAGATCACTCCTATTATATATTAATCTGGATATCAATCTTTACAGCTGCACAAAAGAGGAAGCACGTAGACCATGCTTTGCAAAAAATGATGAGGGATAGCAAGAATTGCAGCTGTCAAAGTAATGGGGCCCCTGTATAGCTTACCACCACCACCACATAGCAGACTTAAAATAAATTATGCAATATATGCTTACAGAATTCAGCTTTCTGAAGGCAGGAGGGCCCACTGAGCAGGGCAAAGCACCACACACCAACTTTACACCAGCCAAATAAGCCACAGGACCCTTCTCCTACAACAGGGGAACATGCCCCACTATGAAGAGGAGCTTTGCCAGGATGGCCAGAGGACAGGCCCTTTCTTTGCCCTGAGGCTTTTGCTGGCTTTTCATTCTGCCATCAAAGAAGAAGAAAAGAGAAGCAGCAGCCATGCAAGTGCGGAGCAAAACTGAGTGTTATAATCACGTGAGAGAACAGAATTAAAGACAGTGTTGGGCAGGGTGTCATAGAGAGGCTGCGAAAAATAGCAGCTGCATGAGCAGAGAAGAGGTACAGCCCCTTTCATGGTGCTGTCAGCCCAGCCTTTAATAAACAACCACACTGATTTCTAGTGTACATTTCATTCAACCCAAAGGCAAAGTATCTTCAACACCGGAGGGGAAGAACCCAAGGCACCAAACCTCAAGCCGGTACTTTCGCCACCTCCATCCTGGACAACTGCAGTCTTTAGCCTTACAACTAAGCCAGCCTCCTGCACTGGGTACCTCACTGGAAGTTCTCACCGCGGAAGGGGGTGGGAAGATCTAGTCCTTGATTTCACTGCGCACACTGCAATGGCAACTGCAGGATGTGTTCAGCATCAGAGACAGGGAGAAAGATGGGGCTTTTAGAAAAAAGAATCACTGGCTTAAAAAAGCAGTGGGGAGAAAAAATAAGCCTCCCCAATACCCAACCTCGCTTAGATTTTTTTTTGGTTAAAAAAATAAAAATGGCACCTGCCCATTGCCACCCCGCCACAATTCAAACATTCGAGACATTTAAATATTATTCTGTACATATATAAAAGCCCCCAGACAATGGTGGGGGAGCAGAGGGGGGCACGGCACAAGCCCAGCTTTCGTAAAGAGCGAAGGCAACAGGGCTCCTTTGCCACAGGCTCTCCCTCCACCCACAAGGTTCACAGTGTTCCAGGTCTGTAGCGCATTGGCTTGCACGGAAGGCGGCAGCAGCAGCAGCAGCAGCAGGAGGAGGAGGAGGAAACAAGCCTCCCTCAAAGGACGTCGGCTCGCTTATCTCGAACACGGCTCCTTGCTTTCGTCCGGGCCTTGAAAGCAGCCGAGTTGTAGAGGTGCTGGTGGGGATGCAGAAAGAGAAAAGAAAGAGAGACAGAGGGGGAAATTAGCTGGGGGAACATCAGAAAAACTCTGCCAAATCAGACCAAAAGAGACATGTAGTCCAACATTGCGTCTGCAGAAGTTGCTAGCCATGCCTCAAGGGCATTCACAGGCACGGCAAGAACCCCCTCTCCTTTCCCCCCAGCACCTGGTTTTATTATATTACATTCACACACACCCTCACCCCCTGCCTAAAACACACACCTCCACACCATCTGAAGACTTGCATTTCAACCATAATCTGGCTTTGCCACTGCACATTTCTCTTGAGGGCCAGAGTGGTCACATAACCTAAAGGTTGTTACTTGGAAATAGGCTATCATTGGTGGGGAAAGATGCACACAGGTTTGCTGGTGTTGTAGAGAAGGAAAAAAAATCGAAACTTAACAAAGCAAAGCAAGGGAGCTAACGGTAGCAGAAATACTAGGAGCACCGCTGACGTACCTTCTCAAAACGTGATATCTTGCTGGCTTTAATAGCTGCAGCATCCAGCACTAGCGGGGGCCCCAGCTCAAATATCTCACGCAGGAGCTCGTTGTTCTGTGGGCAAGACAACAACACCCATTAGGTGGGAAATCTCGGAACTGAGGGAGCAGCAGCCCAGGTAGACCAGCACAAAGGCAAGGAATAAACCTTATGAGCCCCACATGGACTCTTCTGCCCTTACCTGAAGGTGGTGTCTGACCCCAGAGCCAAGAGCCTCTTTGAAGGCATTGTATGTTCTCCTCCTTGCCCAGCTGTCCACATACATACACTCCAGTCCAAACTTGATCGTCTCCTCATGGCACTCCCCATTCTGGAGCAGGGAAGAAAAGGCAGCTGGAGACTCCGTAGAGAAAGAGAGAGCGGAAGTTCATCTCACCCCACATCTCACGAGCAAAGCTCAGCACCATGTTGTCTCTCTTACTGCTTAAAAGTGGTAGCTTCATGGACGCTACCTCACAGCAGAAGAAAGCCACTCACAGGCATTTCATGCAAGCACCAGCACTACCCCAGTGCCTACCACAGAGAGTTTCATGGATACTATGCCCTGGAAAGCAGGACAGCAGAGCTGCCCTAAGTGCTCACAGAGAAAACCCTCTACTGACAGGCTCCCTTCCTCCCTTTCCAGGAACGTGAGGGTAAGCCCAGAGCTTTAATCTGAGACAGATTTTGAACACCAGGTCATAAGCTTGGAACACGTGAAACATTATGGGGGCAAAAAAAAGAGGAGAATGCCTCTTAAACATGCACAAAGTGCATTTTTCCTCAGAACAGTCACAGCCTGTGCATCACAAAGCTGGAGTTAAAGGAGTGCAATTCTATAAAGGCCCTCAAGTCCCTGCGCCTTGTTCTTCTGGGAAATCTAAGGGTTGAAGCAATGCGGAGGGAGGAGCCCTCTTCTGAACTAGGCAAGGGCGGCATGAGCCAGGCAAGGCACCTCAATGAAATGCAGCACATCGCGGAAGATGGAGCGCTGCTTGCGCCGGTCGGTCTTGGCTCTGTACTTGTTGCTGTCTGTGGCCAGGGCTTTCAGTTTTGTGCAGAGCAGGTCCGTGTCTTCATAAAAGAAATCCTCCTATGGCAAAAAGAGATGAACGGTGTCAAGCAGAAGCTTCAACTTGCAGGCCACCCAAAAGGCAGCGAGAGGTGCAAAGGTTTTACTTTTTGTATCTGTATCTCACAACTCCTTCAGGAAACTCTCTGTGGCCTGAAATGGGGCTCCCGGCACCTGCTGTCCAGGCATGTACTTTTATCAGTCCACATCCACTTAAGGAACAGGATCCTATGCCTCAGATCCCTAGATCTGAGGAATTAAATTCCTGTGAATTCCACTGCAAGCCAACCTGACTTCCTGGACTAATGTGTAGAATGGAAAGTAGTTTACTGTTTGGATTTCACACTTAGGAATTTTGCAATTCAACGCTCAGTTCAAAAAAACAGCAACAATGTGCTGACGTACATTTAGAAAATGTATATTTTAGGATAAAAGGAGTGTTTTGCAATAAAAAGGTGGCTGCAGAAACCATACTAAACAACTCATGAATATGTGCAAAATGGACAAAGACAAAAAAATAGACCGATTCACCCTTTCCTCATATAGACTCACAAATTTTGAGTGGGACAGCATTTTACTCAAGATTAAATTTTCTAAGGCAGTCTTTTATCAACACAAAGCCAAAGGACACTGCAGGGTTTGCCTCAAATGATCATATCCTAAGACACTAAGAGTGTGTGTGTTCGTGTGCAGACAGGGAATGAAACTTGGAAGTTGATAGATTTGGAATTGCTGTCAAGACTATTATTTTCTTCACTGGGTCTTCCAACCAGCTTGCAGGCTTCCCATATGCATCTGGTTGGCTACTGTGGGAACAGGAGGCTGGAGTAGATGGGCCATTGACCTGATCCAGAAGGGATCTTCTTAAGTCCCCCCCCCCCCCCAGCTTATTGGCAAAGGCCTCAGGGGCTACAAGAACCCACGATGAGCCTTGCTGGACCAGACCAAAGGCCTATCTAGTTGGGCAACCTGTTTCTCACAATGGGCAATCACAAGGCTCTGTGATACGAAGGCAGCAGACGTTTCTGCTCCCTAGAAGCTGGTGTTCAGTGCAATATTGCCTCCAATAGAGAATGGTCACAAGCACAAGAGGGACCTCCCATGTGAGCATGCAAGTATCAGCAAGTGCTATATCCTACCTCCATGTCTCGAGCCAGTTCAAAGAGCAGTGCAATCGTTTCACCTGCCACAATCCGAAGGTTGACGTTATCACTGGACAGCATCAGAGGCAACTTGGGTAAGTGACTGTAGAAGGAGAGCACAAGGCAAGAATGTAAGAGCAGCCCTGCTCGATCAGGCAAGTGGCGCATCTAGTCCAGCATCCTGGTCTCACAGTGGTCAACCAGACGCCCATGGAAAGCCCCTTCCCCAGTCTGATCATCAAGCTCAACACTCACTTGTCCAGGATCTTCTTGATCTGGGTGCTTGGGCAGATGGTGAGGAGCAGAGACCATGACTGGAGTGCATTGCAATGCAAGGTCTGGAGCAGAGGACTGTGATGAGAGGGCACCAAGCTGGCATCCGTGCTGCAGGAACTGCCAAAGATGCCTTCTAGGCAGGCAAGACAGGAAACCAAGTCCTGAAGGGGGTGGGAAGTGATCAGTCAGTTCTCACAGAAACAATAAGAGAAACTAAAAAAGGATACAATAAACCAGAAGAGTATCTAAGTTTCTGGGTGAACTACGCTGGGGCTTCAGGGTGGCACATAATCTGGGTTCACATTACGCTGGCAATCAACTCTGAGGGAGCCAGGTTTGCCAATGCAGGAAAGTTGGGTAGACTGCAGCCCTAAAGTTCAATGACACCCAAAGTGCTTTTTCTTGTTCTCTTTTGTTCTAGAAATGAAACGCACACCCCAAAACACTTACAGTATGTGCTTTCCCCTTGTAAATCTGTTAAGTATTCCTGCGCATGAAGAATGAGTCCATTTTCGCGAATGAAGCCTTAAAACCACCAGTTTCAACTTGAATGGGTAAGTCCAGCTATGGCCATGTCCTAATGCAGAGAGCAGCTCATCTTAGTCCCACCTCTCTGGGCTGATCCAAAAGGAATTGGCTCTACCTGTAGTGAGGTGGTCAGTCCTCTGTGTAGCTACAAAAGCAATAGCTAAGCGGTATACCAGAGAAGCAGCATGGGATAAAAACTGTGGGTGGAAAAACCAGGAGCTATTTAATCAGAAGGGACTACGGAGGAGTCTGAATAGACTGAGTTATGCAAGGAATCAGTAGTCAAGGGGCTGTTTCTCAATGCAAAATGAATGGCTTCCCTAAAACACTTATGGGGATCAATACTTGGCTAACCACTTTTCAGAAAGTAACAAATACTCTCTGAAACAATTTGAGAGCATGGTGGAGTCGGGCACTCTTACAACTAATCTAGACCTGACAAACTCCAAGGATCAGTATTCAAAGACAGGGTGTTGACACTCTAGTCATGAGTAGACAAAATAAGGCCCCAATCGCCTAAATCCGGTCCGTGGACGGTCCGGGAATCAGCGTGTTTTTACATGAGTAGAATGTGTCCTTTTATTTAAAATGCATCTCTGGGTTATTTGTGGGACATAGGAATTCGTTCATCCCCCCCAAAAAAAATATAGTCTGGCCCCCCACAAGATCTGAGGGACAGTGGACCGGCCCCCTGCTGAAAAAGTTTGCTGACCCCTGCCTTGCTACTACTACACTACCCCATACAGGAGGGGAGGGAGATCTAGGTTCTTGCTTCACTGGCTACCGCCTGTCAAGTTAAAGCATTAGTGTAAGTTACCTCCATGTCTGCAGCAGCGATGTAGCAGCACATCCCAAGAGCAGTGGCACACTACCGGGGGAGACGGAAGAGAAAAAGGAAGACAGGACAAGGCAACGTCAAAGCCAGAAACCATTTCCCAGAGTGCCCAGTAACATCTCCCTCCCACAAGGTTTCCTCTGAGACAGAAAAAAAGAGGTGCTACTCACACTTTGCCGAGCAACTGGGCTGGCCGAGGAGTCTGTGAGGATGGTGGTGAGGAGGGGCTTCAGGCTGCGGAACACCTCCTCCCCCTCGGGCCCCGAGCCCATCTGAAGGCACAGTAGTGTAAGGACAGTAGCAGCAAGGGACTGCTCCTCCCCTTTACCTGAGAGGAGGAAGAGAATAAGCTGCCTTTCCCTCTCATGCAAAATATTCAAAACAGCACTAGTCATGTGCAAGAAAACAGGGAACACGGGACAGTTATGAAACTTAGAATTGCGGGGGCACAGAGCACCAGAAGCGGCATCTTTTCCGCCCTGGCGCAGTACTGTCTCACAATATTCCAAAGCGATTTTAAAGGCAAAAGGTTGCCTACAGGATGTAGAACTGGGACAAAGATGCTGCGGCCCTCCAGATGTTGTCTGACTACAACTCCCATCATCCCTGACCATCGGCCATGTTAGCTGAGGCTGATGGGAGTTGTAGCCCAATATCTGGGAGGGTTGCAAAGACTCACCATCTCTGATGCAGAGGGCATTTCAAAGGCAACATCAAGAGGGCAGGCAAGAAGCACGCAAGTTGTTAAAATGAACATAGAGAAGTAAAGTTCTATCCCTTTGCCATATAACAATGGAGATGTCACAGAAACCTACCAATCCTTCACAGATGGGAGAACGGCAGCACTAACATGCCTCATTTTGTGAGAGAGCCAGGAGGCCTTGGTTCAAAATTCACAGTAAACCTGGGGCGAGTTGCAGTCGCCCTCTGCTCGTACTAGTAACAAGGGGATAATCACACTAGCCTATCTTATAAGGTGGTTGTTAACAATGGATGAAAACTTATGTGGAAATGTTTACATTAGCTGCCCAGAGTGGCTGGGGAAGTCCAGCCAGATGGGAGGGGTATAAATAATAAATTATTATTATTATTATGCATCAAATATGGTAACTTCACAATCTTTATGCTTAACAGAAGTATCAAATTACAAAAGGACAATAAAAACAACCAGAAGTTACCTTATTTAGAAAAGTATGAAACTGCCAACACAAACCACTTTCATGCCCAGTTGTTTTCGGTGGGAGAGATTTAATTAAAGCAGGTGCTCATTTCTCCTGCTAAAACCAAATGGGACTTGGAAGTGCTTTGGTTAAGCTGGATCAAGTCCGTCTGTATTACATAATGGTGCTATACTAAAGGTTGCAGAGACCCACCTTTCTTCAGGCACTTCTCTAAGGAATCTGTGACAGTGAGCCTGCGTTCCAACAGGAAGTCAAAGAGTGTCTTGGAGGAGAAGGCCAGTCGCAGGCTCTCTAGAGCAACCTGCCGTGTCTTGGCACTGGAAAGATGTCAAAAAGAGAGAGATGGGAGTCATAACAAGAGCCAAGAATGTGCAGCCCTCCTCACAAGAATCCAAGTCCAGTGCCAAATAAAGTCAGCTCGCTCTGAACAAATTTTGCAGGTTTACTTCATCTTTCTGAACAGTTCAGCAAATTCTTCACCTGCTACAAAACCCATACTGATTCAGTGTGAAGATAACGGGTACACGGCACGCGCTCTGAACTGCACAAGTGACTCGGGGAGGGCAGTGTGTATTCTGAGGCTCAGAACCAACCGCTTTGGTTTATCAGGAAATACACCAGAAGTATACATGATATATCCCAGTGTGCACCTCCTAATAATTCCATGGTGTGACGGAGATCAGAACACACGCTAAGTCAATGATGTTCTACGGACTGTGCAGACCATCACCCCAGTTCAGAAGTTCACTCTGAATAATCGAGGCTGCAGGGCCAGAAGGGCAGCAGTAATTCATACTGTTGTAGTGAGGAGAAGTGCCAAGCGCTGTGTGCACTTCTGCCAAGTTCTTCTCAATGGAGCTGCACCCAGCCTATCCCGGTTGGCAGCTTGCCATGGAAGCAGTCTATATGCTAACAGGGAACACAGTTCTCTGACCGCCTCCTCTTAGGCAGCCCAAATGATGAGTGTTATGTTTCTGTACATAAGAGCAGGCTTGGAGGAATCAAAACTACTTTCCAGAATTAAAAGTAACTTTTGGGAGGGAAAACTTTAAGGGGTGAGGAAAAAACAACAATCCAGGGAGGTCTGAGCATCCTCAGGGGGCATGGAATAAGCTTCCAGAGCCACGGTTTGGCACAACATCTGAATTTAGCTTAAAAACTGCCGATGAGCCTCACCTCTTGTCCATCACATTGTCAATGCACTCCTTCAGTTTATCTTCCACCTCCTCTTGCTGCGCCTGCTCATCCACTGCTTCACCTCCTGTGGAAAAACAGAAAAAATGGGAGCAGGGGAGGAAAGCATCAAAGATTGGAACATCCAGACCCACAGCCTGCAGATCTTGTACCCCTAAAGAAAGGGGAGCAAGGGTTGAAAGTCTGAACAGTGCTGGCAGAAATGCCAGTGGATTCTTTATCGTAGCATTTCAACAGGTTTTTTGTTTGAGACGCTTGCTCAACAGGCTTTTGACCAGTCTTGAGTTATGAATTGTCCTGGCAGCTGATGTGACATTTAACTGTATCAGCTCAAATGGAATTATACTGTAATTAATGAAGTTTTAGTAACAGCAAAAAACACCACCACCACCCACACCCACAACCATTTTTTTAAACCATCCATGCTGTAAATTGCTTTGTTGAAGACCACTCTGAGTACCGACTCGGTGGAAAAAGTTTCATACAATGCTTACAAAGCGATGTCTCTGGAAGAGTGCCTATTATGTGGTCACGTGGTGGGGTATATCACATCCATTACAGCAGCCTAAAACTCTTTATTTTGATTCCAAGACACTCCACATACCAGTTTGTTGTGTGAGGTGGTTCTTTTCTTTTCTTTTCTTTTCTTTTCTTTTCTTTTCTTTTCTTTTCTTTTCTTTTGCAAGCTTGTGAATTAGTCTGCAGATGTTATCTGCTAATGTAATTTGCAACCCAAAATAACCAAATTTTGTCACCTTTCCCTGTCTTATGACCTGGAGGAGATTCTAACAAACCTGAACATGTGGTGGAAGTTTTGCTAAAAAGCTCACGTATTCTCCTGTCCCCAATCTTTTTTGTAGAGCAGCAAGTCTTCCTTCTCAATGACTCCCCACCCTGCACCCCCAAAATTATCACACACATGCACACATCCCTCTAAATTCTGAAGGGTGAAAAAAACATTCCAGGAAGAAAAACCACTATGTTATGTGGAGCTTCCTGAGGTTTGAAAGTAGTGTTTACAAAATCTAAAGTTTTGCTCAATACACAGGAGGCCAGAGTTTCTGTCACTAACTTCTGCCCACCCTCACCTGTCACTTCTTCAGTCACACTGGTCGTCTCACTGGCGCTGCTGTAGTGACTCAGCACTTCACTGGCTGCCTCGTCATCACTGGCCTGAGACTCCATCTTTGCAATCCGGTGAGCTCCTAGGAAGAAGAGAGGAGAAAAGGTCAGAACAAGTGAGACGTTCACCTCTATGACTTACAGGATGCACACTGTGTTTCCCTAGAACGCACCCTATCTGAAGAATGTGGAGCATGAGACAGGGTCTTCCTTTTCCCTACCTGTGACCGAGGGGGATTACAGATGACTATTTGCAAAGAAGGAATTTACCATGGTATGAAATCCGCCACTTAACAAGCTAAGTGCCCACTCAAAGTAGACGAGATATTTGCTACACTTCTACACCTAATCAGAAATCTTACAAAGCAGGAGGACAGAAAGTGGAAATATACAATGTCAGACCATTGTCCTATCTAGCTCAGTGTTGTCTTCACTGATTGGCAGCTGCTCTCCAGGGTTTCAGACAGAAATCTTTCCTGGCTAGACACTGAGGTCCAGCTCTGAGGGCTTTCTGGCCGTTCCCTCACTGCGAGAAGTGAGGTTACAGAGAACCAGACAGAGGGCCTTCTTGGTAGTGGCACCTGCCCTGTGGAATGCCCTCCCATCAGATGTCAAGGAAATAAACAACTGTCTGACTTTTAGAAAACACCTGAAGGCAGCCCTGTTTATGGAAGTTTTTAATGTTTGATGTTTTATCGTGTTTTTAATATTCTGTGGTGAGCCGCCCAGATGATGATGATGATGATTATTATTAGATGCCAAGGATTGAACCTGAGACATATATTTTACCACTAAGTTATGGCCCTTGTCTAATCTTCACCATTTGGCAGGACAATGCCGTGGAACCCATACAGATAACCATTTCATTTACTTTGCACTTGTGCAGAAACAACTTTCTAACCACGTGCCAGGATAACACAGTCGTACCTCAGCTCCCAAACAATGCCTTGGGAGTCGAATGTTCCAGCTCCCGAACGATCGAAAACCGGAAGTGAGAGTTCTGGTTTCCGAACTTTTTTTTTAAGCCAAATGTTTGGCACAGCTTCCACTATTGTTTCCGGCGTGCCTGCGTTTCTGAACTTTTCGGAAGTCGAAGAGACTTCTGGAACGGATTCCATTCGACTTCCGAGGTATGACTGTACAGACAAACAAGCAACTGCAGAATGGTTTGTTTATATGGGCTCATATGCCCTATCAAGTAGCTCCATGCAGACTGTGATGTGCTGTTGCCTAGTAAGTGATCATCTATATGCACCCCGATTTGTTAACTGTGTCTGCATTTCCCTTCTAAACAACAACCAAAATGGCACCTTCATTTTAACCAACTATGCTTCTTTCTGTTGTAAAGAACAAGTCCAAGATGCTCCTATGAAACCTCAATCCCACAAGCTCCACTGAACAACGATACTGTCCAAGACTGTACTGCATAAGCCTTAATGGTAAAGTAAGCTAGGGCAGTTCTGCTGCAGAAAAAGTGCAGTCACCTGTCAGGAAAGGAAGGGTGGACAACCCTGTTTTCCCACTCACCTAAAGCAAGACGAGTTGCCCAATCCCTTGACATCCCTGGATAGCTATTAGCCGGCTACTGCCTTTGGTTAAAGTCAGCACAGTCAGCTTCGACACACCCTACTGATAAATGTTCAAGGCCTGGACCAGGAGATAATCGGAACCATATGGAAGGGGATGAAGGGGGCCCCCTTTTAACCCTTTCTGACTTTAAGGGACCAGAGCTTAAAAATTTTTTATTTTATTTGCTTGCAGCTTTAACAAGGAACAGAAAAGAAGAGGAAGAAAAACATAAGCAAACTACCGAAAAGAGAGAAAATAAATATACTATTAACAAATTGCCATATGTTCCCATTGCAAATACAATGCCCAGCAGTACATGGATTTTAAAAAAGACATGCAAGTTAATATAAGTGTTCGACATGTCCAGATAGGTATCTGCATGAGATTGGTGCCTATATCAAATATGTCTGAACGTAACCAAGGAAGTAAGGTCTCTAAACTATTGTGTAATAGATGGTGGATAGCAAAAAAGTATAAGTTTCTTAGCCACCATAAGGACTCAAAGTCCACTTTTGTTATTCAGCCATTAATCCCCATATGGTTAAAATCTGGATCTGAAGGAACCATTTGTTCATACAATTTAGGAGAGAGGTAAAAAAATTCTAGTTCACTAATTCATAAATTCCTGAGGAAATCCAATTTTTTACAAAGTAACAAATAAAAACTGCCAATATATTTTATCAAATGATTTTTTAGCACCCAAAGAAATAAGTTGAGTCGAATCCATTCTAGAACTATTTAAAGCTACCAGGAAAAGACACTTGGGTAAATTCATACTTATTGATTGTTTTCAGAGAGAAATAAACAGAAGTAGCCAAGTTGTGAAGCAAGTGGTTAAGAAAATGGAGTATCGTGGTGAAGGCAAAAACATAATAGCACAGCTTCAGTCTGTTAGTTTATTTGTTTCACCCATAGGCTATGATAAAATCACAAAACCAAAACAACCTAGCACTGCCACAATCAATACGCACAGAGCACAACTTCATAAAATGCATGATTAAATTCAGATTGATCCAAATGACTTAGAAGCATAGAGGGGTTGATACCGGGGCTCATTTCAGCCAGGGTTTGGCATGACCTTGTTGTAATCTGCAAATAAAATTAATCCTCATCTCTTCTGCAAGTTTGATCAGGGATCTCAATTCTTCAATAACTGGAGGAGGAACTTCCCTCCCCCCCCCCATTAGTAGGCAGGTAAAGAAATGGCACAGAATAGTCTCAGGCAGCTATTAGCTGGGATTGCTCAGTCGGTAGAGCATGAGACTCTTAATCTCAGGATCATGAGTTTGTACCCCATGTTAGGCAAATAATTCCTGCATTGCGGGGGGCTGGACTAGATGACCCTTGCGGTTCCTTCGAACTCTAGGATTCTATGATTCTGTTTAGTCTTAAATTGGGGAAGGCATTGGGTAACCAACTGGGGACTCCAGATTTTCAGACAGAAATACAGGACAGAGAAAAGCTGGACCTGATGCACGCTTACAAGCAATCTCTATAGGACCAGAAATGATAGCTATGTATGAAGCTTGAGGTGATAGTTACATATGCCAAAATCCACCATCAAACCACCTCAGTCCCAAGGGGGAGGGGAAACATGCTGAAAACTCAATGTCTACACCAGCATTTTCCAACCTGGTACTCTCTAGCTGTTGCCAACTACAATTCCCATTATTCTGACCACAGGCCATCTTGGCTAGGAATGATGGGAGTTGTAGTCCAAAACCTCAAGAGGGCACCAGATTGGGAAAAGGTGGTCTACACTATCGCCGTTGCTATTTATCATTCATGTGCAAATTACTTTATTATGCTTCTAAACTTCCTGTCCACCCCCCATCTTCATCACTGTCATTCAACACTCCTGACAGACTCATGGCAAAGGGAATGACGACTCAGTGCCAGAGTGTGGCCTTGAATAAACTTGGATTCCAGCAGATGCTTCACAGGCCCAAGTTCATACTCCCAACTGTTGAACTGTATCAGCAGCTAATCAAAATCACACCGGACTGGACCAACAACTGCGTTAATTTCATTCCTTCTGCAGCAGAATGACTTCAAGGGCCGCGTCTGCCCACAGATCACAGCAGTTGCCTTACCCTGATGGACAGGTGCAAAGGATCCTAGGCAGGGCACCCTGGAGCAGCTGAGCCGCCTGAGAGAGCTCTGTCACCTCATCTAGCCCCAAGCAGAAGCCAAGGAGGAAGCAGCCTTGGAAGGCAGCCAAGCTGCTATGCTGGGCCACCCGTCCTTCCCCTGCTATGCTCGCAGAAACTGAGATCCATTAGGCTGGATGCAGCCCAAATGTGTTGGTGGGGATTAGCATGGAACAACGAAGATGCTGCCATGATAGTGTCAAATGAGCTACCATAGACAGACAAGCTTTTAATTTATTTATTTTTAAAGCACAGAAAGCAAACCCAAAGCAGAACTGTACAGAAAAGCGAGGCTATTGTTACAGCTGGCAGACAATGGCTCAGTCGAACAGCTCAGAACAATTCGACAGCGTTGTTTCAGACGTCATGTTTGTAGAAAAGCAGTGCGGTGCCTGATGAAACGTGTTAGGACACCCTGGCTTTTGGGTTGCACAAGAGACCAAATCTGTTTGCTATCTCCTATTAAAAACAGCAGAGTCGTGGAAATGCCAAAGACTGAAAAATACAAGGCTAGAAAAGGACAAGGACTGAGGCTTTAGGGCATGGGTTGGCAAACTAAGGTCTGTGGGCCAGATCAGGTCCCAGATCTGGCCCGCGGACGGTCCAGGAATCCAGGCAGCTGGCACAGCACGTGGGCACAATGGTTTTTGCGACTCAGCCAGGCTTGGGGGTCAAAAATGAGGTGGGTGGCTGCTTGAGACAAGCCCCTTCTCCGTCCGTCGCACGCAACAATATTTTCTTATGGGGTGGGGATGGGGAAGAGGGAAAAGGAGCCACAGTTTGGAATTCCACCACGGAGCTGCCGGCGACTGACCTCAGGAAGGGCAGTTGCAGCGGCAGGGGTTTGGAGGCGCCTCGGCAGGGGTTTGGCGGCGGTGCTCCCCACCAAAGGAAACGGGGAGTGCCTGGGCGGCTGCACTCCAAAGCAGTTCTGCACTCTACTGGGGAGGCCGCTTGTTAGCTACACGGTGCGAGCCATGGAAAGGTAAATAGCCACCGCCTCGTCTTCCCTCACGTGGGGAAAGGAAAGTCTTTGCTTGAGTGGTGCCGGCCTGACTAAGCGTGGCCAACGGCTTTTCCCTTCACCCACACATGCGCAAACACTCTCCAGGGCTGACAGGAATGGCACGCTTACCTCAGCCCCCCACCCCACCTTATGAGAGAAATAATAACTGTCAACGCATAAAACACAAAGGAAGCAGCGTGGGTGTATGAGGGACCCCCCCCAAAAGTCACATTTGGGCAACATTGGGGTTGGTCCCAATAAGGGTTTTTGCCAAAAATGCGGGTCATAATCATGGCAACATATAGTCTGCCCCCCCCCCAAGGTCTGAGGGACAATGGACCAGCTCCCTGCTGAAAAAGTTTGCTGACCCCTGCTTTAGGGCTATGGCAGAACAGAGCATAGAGAGAGGAGGAAAGGGAATTTGATTCCTGCCCCCTAGGAGCCAGCTAGACTGCAAAATAGCTGGGATGCTAAACACTACTGAATCATCACCCAAAGCAGCAGGCGTGACATCAAGGGAGCAGCCACTCAAGGGTTAAGCGGCTTCTGGCTCAAAGCCCCATACAAGGAGAGGGCTGAACTGGTGGCACCAGCCAGATGAAAGCAGATTGCTGAGTACACAGCTGGGCCCCACAATGAACAGAGCAGCACGCAGCACCCAGGAAGGGAGGCTGGAGCAAGCATTCTGCACTGCCAACTCCAGGGGTTGCTAGCTGCCAATAAGGAACGCAGGCACTCCAGCCCCAAAACACACAACAGGGCAAAGGGTTTCCTCTCACACTGTGTCCCTCGCAAGAACAATAATTTACCAGCAAAACTAGCAAGAGGGGGAGAGATGCATGTGCGAACTTTAACATACTCATCCGGCTGAGGTTCTGTTTATTCAGAGAGGCTGCAAACGCTTTGTTCCGCAGATGCCAAAAGAACAGTACATTGAGTTCTGCCCAGCTGCAAGGAGAGAGTGGCTTTGCACCATTTGGGGGTTGGGGTGGCTCCTGAAGGCATGTCAGGGCGGTCCTCACCAACACCTTCATGCCACCTAGTGCAGCCTAATCCAATTAAGCCTCAAATCTACTACAGCACAGGACTTCCGCCTTCAGGAGTGTGATTAAAGGCAGCTGTGGCTTCAGACATCAAGCCAGCTTTCCCTCCCTCCTTTCTACCCATCCCCATCTGCTTTGTTTAACACCCAGCCTGATGAGGAGTTCTGCATCACTTAAAAGCCACCTCACTATTTTGTGAATCCTAATAAAGTAATTGTCTTCTTACTGGTTTGCAGATTTTTCTAGTGTACCACCACTGCTGCCTCGGCTTTCCCAATGCTAATTGCTGCACTGGGGTTGGGAATTTCACGGAGACTGTTGGCTGGGGAAGAAGAGCTTGCATTTCCCTTTGCTTTGTGCTGATCCTGGTACCTACCTCTTCCTACTATTTAATTTTTAAACACAAACCCCGTGATTACTAATCACATGCATAACATGGTGTGTAGTTAGGTTCTAGTGTAGATCATGTCCAGCACTCTTTTCTTTCATGGCACTCTTCGGCATGTGGTATTTGCCTTGCTAGGCCTCTGATATTCCTGTCAAGAGCAGCCCATTGGAAAGCAAAAGGCCAGGATTCTTAGGTGGCAAAGACTTACAAGCTCAGGAGATAAAGATAGACTATGCAAATAGAACAGGTTAAGACTCACAGAACAGAATCCAGCATATGTTTAACACTCCCACTGAAATCAACAGGATGTAAAAATGCTTAGCACCCACTGTGCCTTGCCCTTGCCTATAGCAAATGTCTTCTGTAAAGCAATACATGGGTGTTATATAGAGCAGGTATGAGGGACTGCAGGCCTTCAGGTATTGCTGGACTGAAACACCCAACCATTCCTGGCTACTGGCAATGCAGGATGGAACTGATGGGAATCCAGCATCTCTAGAGGCAGAGAGAGGGAGACTAAAAAATGGATTAGAACCGGCAAGGAAGCCTGTGAGGAAAAGTCACAACAACATTTGGAGAGTGGGAGGGAAACTTACTGAGATGAGTTTGGAAGGCAGCTCCAGTGTAAAAGGCGTACTTGACAAAATACAAGAAGAGACAAAATGGTGGTTTCTAAATGAGGACATTTTTGTAAGGGAACTGGCTTTCTTTTAAGGATACTGTCACAGACCTCTTAAATAGAAAGCATAGAGTACATCTCACCATACAGCCCACCCAGCTAAAATACTGTAATTCAAAGAAATAAAGAGCACTATCCACACACTGAACTAAAATACCTAGGTGCATAAAAATGTTTTTACCTGGTGTTTAAAACACAACACTGGGTGTTGGGCATACAGACCTAGGACAGGCAACCCACAGGCAGGCAGCCACCACCACAGAAAAGGCTTGTCCTCTTAGAAACAAGGGGAGAAAAGAGCAGTTTCAATTATGGCTGAAAACATAAGGAAGCCTGAGATCTGTTTCACGTAGTCCATGCCAGACAGCAGCCTATCTGCTGTATTTTAAACCAAATCAGCCTTCCAAGAGTTCTTTCACCCCACAAACAATGCAAGGCAGTAGCCAAGCCAAAGATGCTACTCAAGCATGGATAACTGTGGCCAGGCTATTGTCGATTGCCACAGTACAAAAAGGCTTCAATTTCCAAAAGGTTTCTAGAACCACAACACATGCTTCCAGCACTGCCTCCATAATAACATTCTAAAAAGACCTACTTGAGCATGGCAGCACCCAGGATACACATCCTTCCAGACTGTTACATAAGCAGCATCAACTTATATCTGTGGAGAGAGTATTGCATGCTTTCCAGATGACACCAAGCTGAAAGACAGATGCTGATTCCCAGAGAGTTCCACAGCACACAGGTAAGAAGCAGGTGCTTCTCCTCCTGCTGATGTCAAAAAGTAAACATAAAAGGACTGGGACACTTACAGCTGTGTGTTCTTAGGGGCAAACAAATTTGTTTAGTACACCTGTAAAGGTCACAAAGTGCTGTTTCTTTCTCCCCCCTCCCCACCGCATTGTAGGCAATTTTTAAAGCAGCAGTGTGCCTTTAAAACAAAAAGAAAAAAGCACAATGCAAAGCCACCCTTCCACAAATGTAATTGTTTCCAACCCTCCAGAAAGACTCCGCTAAATAATTTCACTTTATTGTGCCATACGCAACAGAAATTTTGCCTAGATGGCTAGCAATGCTGCTTGGCCCACTGAGCCATACACTGGCCTGGCCTGGGCTATACCAGAAGGTACAAAAAAGTCACACAGCGGGTAATTCCAGCCAAGGATTATAATTTTACACAGGGGTTGACCAGCGTGAGATACAGTCAATCCAGGTGTCTACAGACTTTGAAGAATTAAACACAGGATAATAAAGCTACCATAATGCATACCTTCTATAATTGCACACTCTCCCGTATTTGCTCTATTACACCTTATAACTTGAAGATGTCTGGACACAAACAGCTTAGATTGCTTAAAGCAGAGCTTCACTTCTCAAGGTTGTTCCAGTTTCATGTGTAGCAGTAAACAGGAACTACTCAGTGGCGGCCCATGGCTGTAAAATTATTTTCTAGTTGAGCAATGTAAGGTTCCATCACTGGAGGACCTTAAGAGCCATTTGTTTAAAACTGCCTTCTCTCTATCTCTCTTAAACAGAGGAATTAATTTTAAGCTGCTTATCTGATTTCATAATTTTTACTGGAAATGTTTGTGATTTGAGTGACCAACAGTAACACTAATTTGGTAATGTTATTGCATCTAAGTAATAGATTATCTACTACACATTGGAATTTTTTATGCCGGAAGCTGCTTTGGGAGAGTTTGACCCTGAGTTTGAGCCTATTATTTGCTTTAAATAAACACTTCAAAGAACACAGTCGTCAAATGGTTGTTATAAGAAAGCAAAGCATCTGATAAGAGATTTACACCAAGGTATGTAACATATGGTTAGCTTCTTTATGGACTTGGAAGCTAGAAAGTTTAACTCTCTGTAGCCTAGATGTTTCCGAGATACGAAAACTATGCCAGGACTCTACTATTTCATGCTGCCACCAGACTGAAGGCCCCTCTATGCAGAGCAATTTAAATTTTTTCTCCCTTATTTTCTATGTACAGAGAACTGTCTTACATGTCTGGGGTCACTAACTTTTTAAAGCCCTTGGGCACATTTGGATTTTTGAGCACATGCCAAGTGCACTAAAGTCACTTCTCTAATCTCCTTCAGATCAGCCTCCCCTCTGCTCTCCCCCCAGACAAAGAGAGTGCAAACACACACTTTGCTTTTACAAGGGTAAATATCAGATTGAGTAGAATTAATCTGAACCTTGAAAAGACACAAGCTTGAAGTAGGTACATAGGAAGCTGCCTTATATACCGAGTCAGGCCAGCTGTCCATCTAGCTCAGTATTATCTACACCAGGCGTAGGCAAACTCGGCCCTCCAGATGTTTTGAGACGACAATTCCCACCATCCCTGTCCACTGGTCCTGTTAGCTAGGGATGATGTAATCCCAAAACATCTGGAGGGCCGAGTTTGCCTATGCCTGATCTACACTGACTGACAGCAGCTTCATCCATCTCATGACCCATCCATGGGGCTATAAGAGAGAGGTGCACCAAGGGAAGACCTCAAGAGCACCATTGCCAGGATAGGTAGGCATCACGCTGGCAACCCCTCATGGGGGGGGGTAAATTATGGGATCTCACCCACCTGAAGTGGTATGGACCACAAAACAGGTTTACGACCTCAGTAAGAACTAAGACTGCAACAGCAGTGATCTAACTCTTTGACTTCCATCACAGAACAAACAGGAAAAGCCCAGCATCCAACTGTAAGACAAGCTAGATGAGCATGCAAATGGAGAGAAGGGTGAGCCCAGATGCCTGAACTGTAGCCAAGCTATGTTATAGAAAAGCAACAAATTCTAAGCAAAGGGCATTCTTTCTTATTAACTGGCCAAAGAAATTAGCAAACTGCAATCAGTTTATCATATGGATTAATCAGATGCATCCCTATTTGCCCCAGGAACTGCTCCGGGGTTAGAAAGCGGCAACCAGAAGATATGGAATAAGCATTTCAGAACAAATGTACGCTATAGGAACATGCAATTACTTCTGTTAAGCTGTGTTTCTTTCTACCATCCTCTTATCTGGAAGGCTTAATTTGTGGCTTATTGTTTTCCATTGCTCAACTGCTATAGGCAGCCCTGGTGGATCATACCAAAGTCCCATAAAGGACAATCTCATGCTACCCAGAGCGGACAACCAGATGCCTCTATGAAGCCCAGCAGCAAAGGCCAAAGCCACTTCGGGAGTTTCAGAAGCACTTCTACAGCAGGGCAAAACAGGAAGCCTGAACGCATGTGCTTCGCCTCGCACGCAGGGGGATGCATGCACATGAGACAGAGATACACGTGTCACTTTCAGAAACACCGCCATGGTTTTACGCGTCGGACTAAAGCCCTTTTGGCACTCCGCTCTGAAGTGAAGCGCGGCAGCAGGAAGTGAGAAAGGGAAGGCGCCTTGGGACGGGATGTGCAACTGGAGAACGAGGAAACAGAAAAGCCGGGCGGCTTCTCTCAGAGGCCACGTGGTGAGGGGTTGGGGACAGCCGTGCTCCCAATGAGCCCGGAGACCACCCGGACTCCTCAGTGGGGCCGAGAGCCCCCCGCACCCTTTGAAATGCCTTCATTGGAGAAGCTCCGCTCGGGCGGCTCCCGCTTCTCTAGTCGAAGCGCGGAGGCTGCCCGGGCAGCTGCCTACTGAGCCCTCCTCGTACCCCGTTCCCACATCAACCCCCGGGCCCCTCCGCCCTGCGGAAGAGAGAGATGGGCAGCGGAGAGACTGGTAGGGGCAGAGGAGGCGGAGATCTGCCCCGCAGGCGAACGCGCGCCAACCTCGTCCGGACACGCGGCGCAACAGCTGTCCGGGATCCCCGGGCGAAGCAGAAGAAGCAGAAGCGCGCGAGGACCAAGGGCCTGATCCGGATCTCTATTCCTCCTAAGCAGAGTGACTCCCGCGCCCGCCACCCCACCTCCCGGCCAAACTCCGGCCGGAGGGAGGGCGAGAAGCAGCCCCCGACTCCCCGCGCTCACCTCGGCCGCCCCGGCGGGCTCCGTCGCCCCGGCGTGAGCGGGGCATGGCCGGGCTGGGCGGTTATCAGGAGGCGATTCGGGGCCGGGAAGAATCTCTGCGCTGCTGCGGGTTGACGGGGCCGGTCGCTGCCTGACGAGGGAACCACGCCGCTTGCTCCACCATCTTCCTTCTCTGGATAGATCACTCGCCCTCTTCCCGCTCCTCCTCCTCCCTCCAAGCGGGTGCCGGTGCCGCCGCCGCCGTGTCCTCTGGGAGCTGGAGTCCTGGCAGGCCCGCCTTGCTGAGCCAGCGCGCTTTGTGACAGCGCTACGGCTGGACTACGAGCCCCATAATGCTCCGCGCGGCTTGCCCCACCTCCCTACAGGGGCTTGCTGGGAAGTGTAGTCCCATGGATCAAGGCGCGCACTAGCAACGCTTGGCAGGGCCCAAACATACTACGACTCCCAGAAGCCTGCGGTCTACGTTTCGGCGCCTGGGCTGGACCTGTGGCTTCGGCGTCGCCCGCGCGGCTCGTGCAGAGTTAGGCGCTGGAATGTATTGGCGCTCGCGCTCTCTAGCGGGAAAAAGGCGCGACGGCGGAGGCGGATTAAATTCCACAACTTTATTATGCAGAAGTTCAGGACGGGTTTCTTCGTAAGCCGGCGACGGGAGGGAGGGAGAGCGATGCACTTGGAGACCGAGGCGTGGATTTCCTCAAGTCCCATTTTGTCACCGTAACTTTAGTTTCATTAACTAAAATGACCGGCATTGCAAAGGAGGAGCATTTTGTCCTGCCCTCAGGAGGATGCAGTGGCATTACAGAGCAGGCTGGCTGCAGAAATCGGAGCACAGCCTCGGCGTGGAGGAGCTGCAAGAATTTGCGTTGCTCCACCCGAAAGAGAGATGTCCGCTGCGGCAGGAGTCGCACGCCCACTAATGGCAATAGTACTCGTCGTGGTCGCCTTCTGGTGGGTGGCGCCGCTTCGTTTCCATTCTGAAAATTTCAGCACCTTCCCTTCCTGCCACACCTTTTAGTAAAGTTGCTACTAGAAGGCTGCTGTCATTTCAGGTCCACCGCACTCTTCAGCCTTTCCGAATATGCATGTGTTTAATTATATTTCTGTGCCTGTTCCAGCCTGCTCCGTGGCCTCTCTTCCGATGCCCCCACGTCCAGCAGCCGCTCTCCTCCGGATTTACTGTTGCAGAATCCTTCCCTTTTTATTCACCACTGGTAAGCACCATTCTCAAATCTGCCCCTCCTCCGCCCATACTGACAACCCTCGGGGGATTTCTTTTCAGCTGCCATGTTATGTGAAAGGGTGCTCCGTTGAATTTAGTGGGTCTTTTCAAGTTTGGGTGCTTCCAGACAAGAGTTTGCTGTGGAACTGGCACACGAACATCTTTGCAGTGTCCGGTGTCATCAAAACGGCAGCCTGTACTTCGATAAATATGTGAACAAATCTGGGGTTCCCTTTACCATGGAAAATCCAATAAATATTTATCACCTGTTACACATCCACAGTCACCGCTGGTGTGAAAAGTCATCATTTCTTTTGTTTCATGGTGGGTTGTTTGTCACAAGTGTGGTGATGTTTCTGGCAGGTGGTCTGTACTTCTGTTTTGCTCCTTACCTGGGCACACGGTTTGTTTCCAATGCCAAACAAAAGACACTTGTATCCACCTATTGCCACATGCTGAAAGCATGCCTGGATTCAAACAACCTGCTTCGGAGGAGCTATCCTCTCAAGACCTTCACAATGTGCAGGATTACCTTGGAGTCTGTCATCACAGTGCATACACCAGACGTACAATAATCCAGTGATCTTGCGCAAGACCTCATTATGATAGGTCACAATCCCACAATACATTTAAACTTTTAAAGCACACTGCTTCCCCCAAATAATCCTGGAAACTCTGGTTTGTGAAGGTTGCTGGGAATTGTAGTTCTACAAGGGATAAACTACAATTCTCAGGATTCTTTGGGGAAAGCCATGTGCTTTAAATGAATGGTGTGAGTGTGCTAATGATTTCAATATTTCATTGCACTTGTGCGTTTCCACCTCCTACTTCAGCTCCACCAAATCAAATTCCAGATTGATGTAGGTAAATGCCACTCTTTCACAAAACCTCATTGTTGTTTTTTAAAAAATTTAAATGGATATTGCCCCCCCTCCACCCTTCATCCCTTGAAAGTACAAGCCTATTGTGAAGCATGATAACTAAGGACTAGTAACATTTGCTATTGTGTATTTCCGGTGAATTGCATATTTAAAGATGCATGTGTATGGGTACAGAAATAAAGGGCAGGGCTTTCGGAGGGGAGAGACAAAAACCACAGCCCATGTGCATTCTGTGTGAAGCTCTGCCCATTGGTGTGAATGGCAAGCAGTGTCCATCCCTGGGGTCAGAAGTGCATGAAAGCTAGTGTGCCAATCACACACTGAGAAAAACCAGGCTTGATTGTTTAGACAATTCAACACAGTTCAGTGCCAGATGCATAGCATCCAGTGTATGTCATGATGGTAAACATATAAAAATGAACTAAATAGTTGGCAACCTAAATGGTGTTCCCATATTCCCAGAAATATGTACGAAGCCCTTTCTGGAAGTATCCCATGTGTGCATGATAAGATCTAGCTGTTAGGGTGTAACCCCAAACACATTTTCTAACTAGAGTGTCTCATTGAACTCAGTAGAACTTGTAAGCAAATACGCTTAGGAACATGCTGTCAGGGTGTACCTCAGGTGTGACATTGACAGTGCCTTTCAACGTTGTACTGCTGCATAATGGAAAGAAACTGAACAGGTGCATGCCCTGTTACTATTGGAGAAAGTGTTACCTATTGAATTTCTCCTTGTCAGGAGGAAAAGGTGGCTTAAATCTAACTTGGAATTGCCCTTGTTTTGATTAATGTGTATGCAAAATTGGTTGGGATATCTATTTTCCAAATCAACATATTCTCAGCAATAACTTCTCTGTTCCTAGACTGTGTAAATAGCCATACATTTTCTTGGCAGCACCCCCATTCACTTGTTTGTTTTAAAAAGTATTTTTACTTTGCTTTTCTTCTTTTTTAAAGGGCTCTTAGAGCAGCTTACAACAATCATAAGAAGACAGTCCACGCCCTTGAACTTTCAGTCTAAAAGACGCAGCCCAAAAGGAAAAGGGATTGGGCAGGACAAGGAAAAAACCTAAATTCAGACACTATTTCTTATAAGTGTTATTTCAAATAAGTTTGAATAAGAGCTTTCTTCTAGCACGTAAGGTTGAAGCAAGCTCCCTGCAGCTGCTCCCTCTCTGGCCAAGGGATGGGACCAAGTTGGTCTCCACTTTGGCATGATGTGGGTGTGTAAACAGCAGTTTCCCAGTGGACCTTGGTTTCCTGGCCACATGCCTTTAAAGCTGCATAGTAGGCAGAAAGCAGCAGGTACTGCTTTTCTTCAGATATGGCCTAAAGAACAGAGAGCTTTGATCCATTTAAGGTGCGCATCCTCATTCTGTGCCCCCAGGCTGTGCACTTCCTTGTAAGTCTCTTTTGCTCTGTTGCCCACTCCTTTAGGGATTCTGCTCTTCTGAAGTGCCTTCTTCTATCCCTTTGTGGATGTGGCTGCCCTCGGCTTGAAGTTCCAGTTATAACCTTGCAAACAGTTTCCATAGGCTCTTGATCTTCACTCTGTGCTGACTGTTTCTTCTTTCTTTTTTTAAGCTTTTTCCTCCGTTGGGGCTTGTTCCCTGGGGAGGGTTTCTGAGAATGTGGGGCGTAGCACCCATCAGGCCACTTACAGGAAGGGGAAGGCTCCCGAGTCAGGGCCAGCTCGGACTGGGTGGGAGCAATTTCCTAACTTGACATTGCATCATACTGATTTTTTAAAAAACAAAATATTCTGAGTGTTTTGTGTCAGCTGGGACCTGGGGAAGGGGCCAACCTACTGGTTGAAGGAGCTGGGAAAGAAAAAGTGAAGAGGTACTTAAGGAGTTCCACTCAGATAAGTCTCCCATGAGCAACTGTACCCCAGGCCCTCTAAACTTCTTCCTCCTCCAGAATTATTCCTGACACGTGAGCTCTGGGTAAATATTTGCTTCCTGCTGGGATATTCCTGTGTGCACAGCCCAGCTGGCAGATCCATTTAGCCAAGCTGCGAAGGCTGGTCCTGTCGGTGGGAATCATGCAGGCCGTGGGTGCTCTGCTCCTTCTGTTGGGCTGTACCTTCAGCACAGGTAAGAAACTTCTCTCCCATTTCTGAGTATATGCTGACTAGAGGTGGGTAAGAATTCCTGGTGAGGGGCTTCCAATCTGGGCCGCCTCCGAACTGGCAGTATTTTATGGGACGGATTCAGTTGTATACTGGAAATTTAGATTTGCATGATTACAGTGGATGAAAGTGCTCTAGTGTGACAAATCCCTTGTGGTTTGGAAAGTGATGGGGAAACGGGCTGAAAAGTGTGGAACAAACACTTGATTAACAGGAAGACTTACAAACACTGCAAGCAAATGGTGAATTCTGCGTGTGTGGTTGTATAATTCCCCATGAGCAAATCAAAAACAAATGCGCAGTAAACATTAACCACAGTGTAGGCTTTGTGCATGTGAATTGGAATGGATGTTCAAAAAGCAGGCTGTCTGGAAGAGCCTCTAGTCCTGTTGAAGCACACAATCTGAGCAGAGTGAGGAAGAGAACTGGCTTGTCTTCCTCCCAACTCTTGCTATCCCAATCTCTCATGTCCCCTCAGAGCTCTAGATAAGCAAGCAAGAAGCAATTGCTAAGAGCAAACACAATGGGTGGAACTCAAAATTGTGCTAAAGTGGTTGTTTCATCTGTGCAGGTATTTCTGTGTGCTAGATAGAACAATCTCTCCTCTCTTTCCTCCATGCCCTGCTTTGGGGCTTCTCCAGACTCCCTAACCTCCCAGAGCTGATTTGGAGGGGGCGTGGAGGCACATGGAGGGAGGAGAGAGGGGAACAGCCCCATAGTGCTGGTGGGACTTGTTGCACTGGTTCCGGCTAGAGCAACACCTGAGTTGAATCTGGCCCAACTTCTAGGCAGTGTCTCTGCCTCCCTCTCTCCCCTGGCAGGGCTCAAGAGCCTTTGACAGATTCATCACCAACATTCAGTGGGTCTGAATTTGGCAATGCAGTTCTATAGCTAATGCATGCAAAAAAAATGTACTCAACTAAAATGTGCAAAACCCCCCACATATTAATGAAAAATAACATTAATATTACATCAGGAGAAATTGCTTTCGAAAACTGTGTATATTATGAGAAATTTGCAGATGATTTTTCTTTTTTTAAAAAAAAAAGCAAAGCAATGTGTAAATGAGGAGAACAGAATTTAAGACTGGGAAAAAATGAGAAATGGAAAGAAACCAAAACTGACAGAATTCTCCATCCCCAGCTCCAAAACTGTCCCTTACTCCTTGGCTTCACAAACTGCTAGAAGATCACATCTTAAGTGTTAGGAGCCCTGCTTGCTTGCTTGCTTGCTTGCTTGTTTCTCTGGATTGTGCCCTGCATCTTCTGAAGCTGGTTGGATTCTCGATTCTTTTCAAGGGGCCAGAGCAATGTGCATTTTAAAAATGTCTTTCCAGGCCAGCGTTCTCCTCTGAATGACTTCCAGAAACTAAAAGCGACTAAGCTAGTCCATTTGTCCTACCAGAGGGCGGAGCAGCCCAAGGCCTTAGAAGAGTGTGCACGGGGTTGTGTCTTGTGGCTTGACTGCAGGTAAGAGGCAAAGCCAGAACACTGGGTGCACAAGGGCACAGGAGCTGCAGAATCATACCGGGATGAACAGAAGGACCTGCCTTTGGTCCCAGGAGATGGTCTGAAGGCACGCAAGGCCATCACCTTGCTAAAGCTAAGCAGGTCTGGGTCTGGTGGTCAGTGCCTGCATGGGGAGGCCACTTGAGAATCACAGGTAGGCTGCCTTAGGTTCCATGGTGGTCGGGGTGGGGAGGCAGGATAGAAATGTAACAAAATTAAAATCTAGGTCTTTGGTTTATCTAGCCTTGGCGGCCTACAGGAAGCTGCTATCTCAGCTTCAGCATCTCTACCTTCACAGCTGGAATATAGGAATAATATTGACTTACCATACATAGTTGCTGTCAGGACTGCCGAAATAATTTATGAACACAGTAAGACTTTTATGCTTATTCTTAGCAGAGGTGTGAGGAGGCGGCCCATATAGAATTCAAATAACAATGGAAAGCAGAAGCTAGGGAAACTGGGAATCTGTTGTATATGGAAGCAAATGCGAAAATAGGACATGGGATACTCTGATTGCTTTTCTGGGCCAATGACTATTCTGCGGTTGTGTTGCTCCTCCAGAGCCTTCCACTACAACTTGCACAGTAATCGATGCCAGCTGCTGAATTTCACCCAGAATACACCCCACACTCAGTTGCAGAGGAATGTCCACTATGACCTCTACCAGAAAAAAGGTAGGATGGCGCAGACTTGAACTTTGCAAGGAAAGGGAATGTGAGGAATCATCACAAATGTGCAATGGAAGTATGTTCTGAAGCGGCCCTCAGTCAACAGATGTGTTTATTTCAAGACAGAGAAATGACTCTGCTGCAATTTGGAGAATAAAAGTTGTTCAATGATTGGGTGAGCTGTAAGTGAGAGCACTCACTTCAGCAGGTCAAGAGGGAGATGACCGTGGGCAGCAAGGAGCAGGCCAGGGTGGGGGCTGAGAGTTAAAATACCTATTAAGAACCCCCCACTTGGGCTTGGGGAGTATGGGAAAAAGAGGGGGCAACTAACGTTTGCTCTATGCTATTCCGCTTGTGTCATGCCACCTTGGAATTTATCAAAGGACAGAAGTCCAGTTACACTGCCCTGCTGTGCTCAGATGTCCTGTGCCTTTGTGCATGAGCTTTATGAGTATCTCCATCACTTATCATCTCTCCCTTCCACAGGTTACATAAGGCGCTGCATCATGGGAAATGGGACAAGCTACAGAGGGAACCAGTCGGTGACTGAGAAGGGGAAAACCTGTCAACATTGGGGCAAAAAGACTCCGCACGACCACAGGTAAATCTTTATGAGGGACGAAGTAAGAGTGAAATATAAATCCCTAAAACAACAACATAATACAGGTGCAGTGTAAATAGTGAGAACATGGTCCCACTGTACCCTTTGGTAGTAGCACCGACCCTGTGGGAACGCCCTCCCATCAGATGTCAAGGAAATAAACAACTATCTGACTTTTAGAAGACATCTGAAGGCAGCCCTGTTTAGGGAAGTTTTTAACGTTTGATGTTTTGTCGCATCATTATTATTATTATTATTATTATTATTATTATTCTGCTGGGAGCCAGCCAGAGTGGCTGGGGAAATCCAGCCAGATGGGTGGGATATAAAAATAAATTATTATTATTATTATTATTATTATTATTATTATTATTATTATTTCCCAGTGCTTGTGTGTGTGTTGGATGAGTTAAGAAATGTCCATTGTTGAACATTGCAGGACCAGGAGCAGGAGTAGGGAACCTGTGGCCCTCCATATGTTGTTGGACTCCATCTCCCATCAGTCCTAGCCAGCATGATGATCAGGGATGATGGGAGTTGTTTGTTAAGACCTTCATATTCAAACAAGCCTTTGAAAGTGAATGGATTGACTGTGCTGATTGCTGGACTGTTGTCAGGGCAAACCATATTTTAATTACTTGTTCAACTGTATTTTAACTTTTGTTTTAATTAATTGTGGCTTCAAAATTGAAGTTTCTGTTTGAATAAAACAGAGGGTTGATTTTTGCAGAGAGTTCTAGATTAATTGCTAAAAGGATCCTTTTGGTTTGGAACATTTGCCTGAGCCTGACAGTTCTGCCTCTGTTCTATAAGGTTTTCCCCATCACGATATAATGGGTTGGAAGAAAATTATTGCCGGAATCCTGATGATGATGCGCATGGCCCTTGGTGCTACACAACTGACCCTACAACCCGGCACCAAAGCTGTGGCATCAAGAAATGTGAAAATGGTATGTAGATTGGCTTGAGAAACCTGCATACCACTCACCCGCTGAGCCACTGACTAATCTCACATAATTATTCACAAAGTTACAATTCTTGGCAAATATGCATTTGCACTACTGAGGTTTCAGTTTCAAACATCTCAAGGACAAAAATGTCATTTGAAGCACTGGTATTGCCAGGTTCAATGCTCCAATAATTTTGGAAAAATAGACCCAATATTGTAGCCTTTCAGGTGAAAGAAGCCAGTTGAATTCTCAAATCAAGTGATGCCTCTTCCAACGTCATTTTTAATTAATTCCATGAACTAGCCCAATATCTTGTCTCTGACTAGCACTCACCCAGCGGTAGGTAGAATTCCTCAGAGTCAGTAATGAAAACATCTAGTCTGGACTTTTGTTCCCCCTTTATGCTGAGCCCCATGATTGCCATGTGGGAACACAATATTGTGGATTAGGGGGACATATTTTCTGGGCCAGCGCCAGTGCAAACGATGGGTTGTATTTTACTCAAAAGTGGACCTCCTGAAATGAATGATCATGACTAAGCTAGGTCCATTAATTTTAATGCGCCTGTTCTGCATAAACCTTAGTTGGACACTACCCAGTTATTTTAATTTGATTGTCTATAACTGAAGATGACCGTGAATTCCCCCTTTGAAATTTAGTCTTGCTAGCTGTACGGTATCTGCTGCAGATTTTGAAGCAACATGCAAGAAGCATCAAGGTTAAATATGGTGCAATGATACTGAGACCTGCTTGTGTCTGATGTCTGGCATTGCCTGGTGTCTCTGCGTGTTTATTTGTATGAGATGGCGCTGATGGTTATCAACCTACGTCCAGTCTGGTGTCCTCTCTCATCTCACTGCATGCTGGCTCTTGTCAGCTTGCTTTGCTTGTGTTGTCTGATATCTGCTTAGGTCTCAGGAGTCTCATTTCTTGTCTCCGTCTGATCTTGCTTGTTTGGCGTCTGCTCAAGTTGCCTGGTGTCTTCTCTTTCTATGTGTACGTTCACATTGCCTTGCATTGGTATCGGTGCTTGCTGACAAGGCTAGCCCAAGACATTTTGCTGCCTAAGGTGGAGCAACAGATCAAGTCAACATGCCTAAGAGCCATGGGTGGCCAACTGATTGTGGCACTTGAGGCAGAAAACCCCACAAATGCTTTTCCCTTTCCCTGAAACTAAACGAAAAATAAAAATACAGCTGTAATAAATTAAAGACCTTACCAATCACTTTCGCTGCCTGTTATGTACTGAGCTTGGATCCTAGAACAATAGGCAGGTAGGATCCTAGAATACAACAACCTGATTGGCCTGCAGGACCAGCCCAATCAGGCCTCAGGAGGAAGTTAATCAGCCTATTAGGTGAGTAGGAACCTAGAATACAACCACCAATTGGCCTGCAGGAGCAGCCCAATCAGGCTCCAGGAGGGAAGCAGAGTCAGCCAATCACACGGGACCAATTGTGCAAATAAGGTATATAAGGCCTGAGGTTTGGGGTGGAAATTCATTCACTGTTTACGAGCTGCAATAAAGAGCATGAAATCACTACGCGACTCCGAGTATATTTCACTGCCCTTTCAGGACACCTCAAACCAGCTTCCTGGGGCAAACTTTGCTTGCTCAGGTTTTGCTCATCTGCTCATGTCTTATGGGGTTTGCTCATGCCAGTAACTTTTACAGAATGTGTCCTCTCCTCACCTTTCCAGCTGAGGTGTCAGGTGAGGCTTGAGCAGCTTCATTCTGCAGTGACTCTCTCTGTCTGTCTTTGAATTGCAGTGGCATGTCTGTCATGTAACGGGGAGGACTATCGTGGCTTCGTGGATCACACTGAGTCTGGCAGAGAGTGCCAACGATGGGACCTGCAGCACCCTCACAGGCACCCATACCAGCCAAACAAGTACTAAGTTCCAGTCCTTGGGAAACATATTAAAGGGCAGGGTAGGGACATTTCACATCATAAAGTGACTGGGGAGCTCCTCATTATGGAGCTTTTTGGCAGACGTGGGAATCTGCCCATAGCTGTCAACTTTTCCCTTTTCTTGCGAGGAATCCTATTCAGAATAAGGGAATTTCCCTTTAAAAAAGGGAAATGTTGACAGCTATGAATCTGCCCCAAGCTACGTTGGTGCCTCACAGTGAACTACTAGGCTATTATTGCCCGTAACAGAAATTGGCTAGTGGGCGCATTTGGAATTTTGAGAAAATATTGTTGGTCACAAAATGGCTGCTTTGTAGAGTGTCTGCATAGCACAAAATGGTTCCCACATTTAAAAGAGCAGAGGAAAAGGTGTGGGCATGCCCCCCCAACAATGGAAAAAGATGCCTACACCAGCCACTGTGGTGCTTGTTGAGAAGGAGAAGCTATTTGCATCTCTCCTTTGTTCAGAGTGGGGGATATCCAGTCCTGACATCCAGTGAAATGTGCGCATATCGGATGGGACATATTCAAATAGGACAGGCTGAGACAGAAGCAGGAGCTGCCCTGTTATCTTCCTGCAGGAGGTGCAACTCAAGGTTTGCTGTAGGAGCAAGTGAAAATAGAAACAACGTGCACATGGTTTCACACACATCCTTCTTCTCTCTCCTGCTGCTTAAAGATACCCCGATAAAGACCTAGATGACAATTACTGCCGTAATCCTGACAGTTCCGAGCGTCCTTGGTGTTACACAACAGATCCAACTAAGGAGCGAGAATATTGCCACATTCGGAAATGCAGTAAGTCCTCCTGAGATTTCAGGCAGTGGTGGAGCAAGCCGATTGGGCGCCTGGGGTGACGTGCGTGCCCTGCATCCAGGAGCGGGGCCAGCCAGGGCAGGACACTCTGTGGGGCCTCCAAGGAGTCTGCCTGCCTCCTCCCACTCAGCCGTCCTACAGCTGAGGGGGAGGCGGCAGGTGGACCGCTTGGGGTAGTGTGTAGCCTGCGGGCGCCCAAGCCACCGCGTCATTCCCAGGAGAGGCTCAGGCGCGCTCCAGGCCCAGCGGTGAGTGCCGCCTGGCATTTTGTCACCCCCCTCAGTGGTGACACCCAGGGCAACCCGCTCCCACCGCACCCCTCTTCCTCCACCCCTGATTTCAGGGTTCACCTGATAGCAACAATAGGGAGAGTATTGTCTTGAAGGGTATGCTACTGAGTGAAATCTGTTCCTAAGAAAAAATCAGCAGGTTGACCCCTGCCTGCTGGGTTTCCCTCTTCTGCTCACCCTTTGAGGTGGCATTGTCCCCACCACTGTTATTAGTGATTTGAGAGCCAATAAATTTTGGGCTTGTTTCACCTGCTGATGTGAGAGGACAGGGAGTACGACATGTTCTTATGGAATGAAAAGGGAGGAGAGGGCAGAGCAGCCATTTAGCAACAGACACCTCTTTCCCTTTCAGTTCGATAGAGAAGATTGGGCCCACCTTAACCCAAGGTCCACACAAGAGCCAGTGACAATGAGCTTTGGCAATGATATGTTTGTTCTCAAGGGGAGTGTGCAAATGTCCGTAGAAACTCACACTGAACAATCCTAAATTCACTTAGCAGGGACTCAGCTATAGGTGGTTAAATATGCACAGGTGCCCAAGGTGAAAAATTCCCATTTATCTTCACCTCAGCATCTACCTGATGCACGCGACCTCTGACCCCAAAACTTCCACTCCCAAAACTGGTGATGCACATAAATCTGCATTTTGCTGTGAAGTCTGTAAAATGCTGTCTTGAAAGTCTAAAAATCAATTCTGAAACTGATCATCATTAATTTAAAAAACACCCAGAATGTAAGCACATACATAAAATATCAGTTTTGAACCTTCAGCTGCAACCCTCCCCCCAATGAGTAACTTGAAATTTTGTCTCACAAGACCTTTGAAGTGTGTTTAGAATTAGTTTTGTAGCTATGTTTTTTTCTGTCTTATTTATGATGTATGCTACTATATTGGTGTGGTAAAATTGGTTTTTGAAATAATTGTGGCTTTGATTTCCTTTTTCCACCCCTGGAAGTAGAGAAGCGCCGACACCTCTCGTCTACCACCAGCTGCTTCAGAATGAAAGGAGAAGACTATCGAGGCAAAGTGAACATCACTGCAACAGGAATCCCCTGCCAACGCTGGGACTCTCAGATGCCTCACCGTCACCATTTCCTGCCTGAGAAATATGAGTGCAAGTAGGTCCTTATTCAGCAACATGGAGGGATTCTTGAATTTGCCCAGTTCCCAGAAGTTCCAGGTGCAAGTTGAGCCCAGATAGGAGTCTTTTGGTGCTTCTGTGGGCAGGTGAGGAAGCTGCTGATATTCTGTCTTGCAATCTCTAGGGGCCTTAAGGAGAATTATTGCCGGAATCCGGATGGCTCAGAGGCCCCTTGGTGTTTCACTAGCCTCCCCAACATGAGGACAGCCTTTTGCTTGCAAATCAAACGCTGTGCTGAGGATGTGCAGACAGAAGGTGAGAGCTGGATGGACTGGTATGATGAGCTGGGATCCTTTCAACAGCGATTCTTTCTTTTCTCTTTCTATTCAAGTCTGGGTAGTGCCAATATAATATAAAATATTATAATTATTATATTATATTATAGCACCATAAAAAAGCTTTTGTATGTGATTTGGTATTGGAGGGTTTGACAGAGCTGCAATGCAGGTTTCCAAGTTTACAGCTACCAAGCATAGAATCACTTAACTATATAAAAGAGCAAGTCTTGCTGAAGTCAAACCAACATGGCTCTGTAAGGCTAATTCCTGCCTCACGAACCTTTTTGAGTTCTTTGGAAATGCCAAGAAGCAAACAGATAGAAGCGGTCCAGCTGACACGTGACTCTCAGTTGCAATTGACTTTTGCAAAGCAACGGCACTGGGGCCCGTGACGCTGAGTCTCCTTTTTAGAGGTCTTCTTGTGGATCAATAACTGGTTCAGAAACAGGAAGCAGTGAGTGGGAATTATGGAAAAGTTCTTCCAATGGAGAAAGTGGAGTCCCTCCATGATCAGTATCTAGACCTGTGCTTTTTATCTTGTTCATAAATGACCTAGAGTTAGCAGGTAAACAGTGAGGTTGCCAGGTTTGCTGATTAATTGTTCAGGGTGGTTCAACAGCAACAACAACAGGGATGGCTTCCTTGGCTCCTCATAGGCATCTGGTTACCCCCTGGAGGCTGGACTAGCTGGATAATTGCCCTGATCCACCAGGCTGTTTTTATATCCTTACGGTTTGCTGTGTTAGAGATGATATTGAAGTGTGTAGTAGGCAATGGCACTCAGGTGGGTCATTTGTCCTCACAGACTGTTACCATGGAAATGGAGTCGAATATCGAGGCACCCTTAGTAAAACCCGGAAGGGAATCACTTGCCAGAAGTGGAAAGAGCAGTCACCTCACAAACCACAGTGAGTATGTGATGGTCTGTCCTAATGAAAATTTCTGCCCTCATCCATATGAGTTCTGAAGGTAAAGAGCCTGCCCCCCCCCGGATTTTGGGGCCTAGCCATCAATTCCTTTCCCAAAACCTGTAAGCCCTGTACATCCCCAAAATAAATGGGGGGGGGGATAGAATAGAGTAAAATAAAGTGCACGTCTTTGTCATTTTTAATGTTTCAGGTTACTTGAACCTGCCAGCACTGTATTGGTACAGAATCAGTATACTGGGCACCATACCACATCCCTGTGTAGCAACAGTGAGGAAGACGGATTGTCTTATTGTGGGGGGAATCTGTACTAGCACTGGAGAAAGGAGCACACAGCCCTCAAAGAACTAAATTTGAAAAATAAAATAAAATGAGAAGCTCCACAAAATGGGATATTGGAGTGGGATGTTGTAGCCTTGCCAGTGTTTATCTCTTTAAAAATTGCGGATAACTACCTGAGTCGGTGCTTCCACATATGAGTGGCTTAGCTTGGCTTTTATTCTAAAGAAAAGAAGAAAACATACAAAAATTAACCCCTTCTGCCTAGTGCACATTATGTTATGTTGCTTGTGCAATTACATTTGAGATGGTATCACTAGCTGTGGGGAAAGAATTGCGCACCCCTCGACAATATGGAGCAGTCAAGTAATTTCGTTGTCCCCGAAGGGGGCAATGACAATAAAGATATTATTATTATTATTATTATTATTATTATTATTATATAAATATTGTCATTTGTATGCTGGGAAATGCAAATACCTGCTCAATGCAGGTGCTCCCAAATGTCTGAATCAACCACAACAAATAACTGAAAGTGGGGTATCTGTTGCATGACAAGGAATTCTTCCAGATAGGCATTGGGGATTTAGGGAACAAGAGGCAGTCAAGTGTTCATGTGCTGAAGGGATGGTTGCCCTTTCTTTCTCCTAGGGTCTTCCCTGTCATGTTCCCCACTGTGCATCTTGAAGAAAATTATTGCCGCAACCCTGACAATGACAGCCATGGCCCCTGGTGCTACACCATGGATCAGAAAACTCAGTTTGATTACTGTGCTATTAAGCCATGTGGTGAGTCTCTGAGCCAATTTTGAGAGTTAGGCCAATGTCATGATGAACAGGACCCCCCTGTCCTGGTCACTCCCAGGCAGTTCTACCAATAGTGGGCAACTTGCGTCCCCTGCCAGCTGTTTTGTGCACTCTATGGAAGGAAGCCTTTGGCTTACCTTGCCTGTTCTGTATTGGTTAGTTTGTAGGTTTGTGTGCAACACAGCAACCCCCTTGGGCATTTTGATATTGGAATAACATTTGACACACACATTCTGTATTTCATATTTTAAACCCCAGCTTGACCCCCTACACCTATTTTGAAGAGGGCCTGGAAAGGTGTAAAGCACACTGTTGCTCTGTTTCAGCATTCCAAAACATGCAAAAATGATCACATGTGGTAGAAGATTGCATGTGGTTGGAGATTAAAATCACCCTGTTAACAGCACTGGGCTGAGAGGAGAGAGTTACACCATTCTTCTCAGTTTAGCATTGAAGCAGGACAATTTCTCCATTATGGAGTTGATCAGCATTAAACCTCTTCCCACAGCTTAGTGCTGTGCTGGACAAATCATCCCATTGCAACAAACAGCAGCAAGGAGAAATTTAACTTCTTCTCTCAGCCCACTGCTGTGATGGGGATGAGTGTGGTCTGTTCCTGAGTATGAGTAGATTAAAATTGCCCTTTTCTTGCATAGAGTTGAGATGGGGCATCCAGTTTTACTGAGGGCTGGCAGCCACCTGCAGAGACTTGGCAGGATAGATTTGGCCTGCAGGTTCACCAGCCCTGAAGTATATAGTAATCAAATAGTGTACAGAAAGCAAGTGTTGTGTTTGCACATGTAAACCAGCCCTATGTTTCCTCTTTTTAGCCGGTGACAATAAGCTGTCTAACTTGCTGAACCCGGGTAAGTCTCCTGTGCCTGATGCCTGTGAAAGTTGGGAAGGAGGCAGTTCTGATGAGAAGGGAGTGAAGCTGGGCTGGGGAACCTGGACTTTGCCAACAAGCTTTGGAAGCTGAAGTCTCTTGTTTTGCTTTTCACCACTGAGAGCGTTGTGCCTGACTTCGCTCTCACATTCCTGGTTGCAGATAACGTGGTCTTTGACCAATGTGGCAGGAGGGACGAACGAGTGCAGCTTCGGGCTCGTATTGTGGGCGGGCGACCTGGGAATTCGCCTTGGACGGTCAGCATCCGCAATCGGTGAGAAATATACGAATGCTGGTGGTAGAGTTCCATAAAGAAGATGAAAAGTTTTCAATGGTCTGGACACCTCTGCTATGGGGAAGAAATCAGAGTGAATCTGTCCAGCAGGAAGCGCTGATGGGAAAAGAGCCACCTCAGTAATCCAATGGCTTCAAGGGGAGATTTCAGCCCTGTGATACCGCCTCATTTCATTTATCCTTTGTCTTCATTACTCAGCTCTCGCTGTGTGTTCCAAGCAATGAAAGCACTGCAAAAGGGAAAGTTCTCAGCAACAGGCTGGCAAGCTGATCGGTTTTTTTGTATTATATGTCTTACAGGGAATTAGTCCACTTCTGTGGAGGATCATTGGTGAATGAGCAGTGGGTCATTAGCACACGCCAGTGCTTCTCTTCCTGGTAAGCATTTTATCTGGCTTTCCTCTGAGGTTTCCTGCGCTATCTCCTTCTGGTGCCCCTTGGGAAAGGCAGTACAGTGGTACCTCAGATTACAGACGCTTCAGGTTACAGACTCCACTAACCCAGAAATAGTACCTCAGGTTAAGAACTTTGTTTCAGGATGAGAACAGAAATCATGCGGCAGTGGTGGGAGGCCCCATTAAAGTGGTACCTCAGGTTAAGAACAGTTTCAGGTTAAGAATGGACCTCCGGAATGAATTAAGTTCTTAACCTGAGGTACCACTGTACTGTTGTTTTGTGGCAGAGCCTAATGCCTGATACTGCACAGGAAATTGCTGAGGGGCCACCTTGCTGAAACCATTGACTGTTGGCCAGTCATTTATCCTAGATGGAAATAGCCTCTGCAAAGGTGGGGGGGGGGGATGCCATGGGTAAAGAAACACCCTAGCTCAGCTTTCCCCAACTCTTGATGATTTGGACTACAACTCCAGTCAGCCATGCTGGCTTGGGCTGAGGAAAGTTGTAGTCCAAAATATCCAAAGGGCATGTGGTTTGCAGAAGCTGAGCTAGCACAGCTCATTTAAAGCACTCAGTCAACAGCAGCTTCAGTTCCTGTCCCAGAGTTGCATTCAGGAAATGTAAATCCATTTCACGTTCGCTTTCAAAGGAGGAAGCTGCAAACTGCATTTTTTAAAAAAAGTATGGCTTGTCTTAATATGCTTTTGCTGTGACCTCTGTTAGCAACAGCTAAAACCAAAAAGTAAACTATAAACAAATGTAAAATGTCTGGAAAGACAAGAGCATCCGTTCCGCAAGTCCATTCAACTACTGAAAAGTTCAGAAACTAAGGTGTGGCATCTGATTGGTTCCTGATTGCTCAGGCATGTCGGAAACAATAGTGGAAGCTGCACCAGACGTTTGGCTTCCAAAAAAAGTTTGAAAACCAGAACACTCACTTCTGGTTCTTGGTCATTCGGGAGCCAGAATGCTCGACTCCCAGGGTGTCCGGGAGCCAAAGTACGACTGTAATGTCAAAGCCAGTCAAGCCTATCTGAGGAGGATGTTCCAGAGTTGGGATGCTAACACCAAAGAAGCCCTCTCCTTTGTGCAGTCATAACACACTTATAAAGGAGCTCAAGTAGGGAAGCTGCCACTTAGGATTGCAATCTCTGGACCCCTATGATAACTGTGTTCCTCTTATTGGCAGTGAAGCTGACTTGTCTGGTTATCAAGTCTGGCTTGGGACACTCTTTAGGAACCCTGGTCCCAACGACCCTGACAAACAGGCCATTCCCATCTCCAAGATTGTGTGTGGCCCCTCCGAGTCTCTTCTGGTGATGCTGAAACTGGAGAGGTGAGTGCCTTTTGGAGATGGGCTCTGTGTCTACTACAGAATGGATGTGGCTTCCATGTTTTGTCTCCTAAAACAGGGGTGGGGAATGTTTTTCAGCCTCCATCCCTTTCCAGGCAATGTGCCAATGGCAAACAGTTCCAGAGGCAAAAGTGGGCAGAGCAACAAATGTAAATTCTATCTTTGTACAGCCATCTACTTTCTACACACATCTATCCAGACAAGCAAGAGGCACCCTCAAAATTCAATGACACATTCTAGGCAGGCAAAAACACCTGTGGTGTGATGCAGGGCCAATGAGTGTGTGTGAACTGCAGAGAGTTTTGAGGCCCGATAGAGAGGCCTGGATATCGTTCTAAGGCCTCAGGTTCCCCAGCTCTGTCTGAAGATGTGGATGGATCCTATTTACCCATTGCACTTGCACATTCTTGAATATGTGTACATTGGTTCTTGAGAAGACCACCCTCATTGACATTGGATAGTCCAACTGGATGCTGTTCCAAGACCTTCAAGTCTTGGAAAGGGAATGATGACCGTCACCCCCCATAAATGCACACATTTAGCAGAATGAGGTGGGACTGAGCAGTGCATGGAAGACTGAGGGTGTTCCATACCTGCCAGTGCAATTCCACAGCCCAATCTGGGGTCAGGGGACCAGCCTGCCTAGTTGTTCTTATCTTGGGGTCTTGGCATTTAACCTTTATTTTAAATAGGGGCAGGGCCATAGCTTAGTGATGGGCCATCTGTTCTGCATGCATGGTTCAATCCCAGGCATCTCCCTATAGGGCTGGGATGACTCCAGTCTGGAACCCCATTGCCAGTTGAAGCAGACAGAACTGAGCTACATAGGCCAAAGGTCTGGTTCAGTATAAGGCAGCTTCCTATGCTCCTTTTTGTGTTAGGTTAACAGAAAACAGATAATTTTTTATTATTACATCAAAAGATATATACACACACACTATTATTATTATAGTAGATGCCAATATATTTTTTTGTTTGGCTTGCCTCTTGGCCTAGGTGCATAACACTAAATGATGGCTCAAGTGTAGAGTGCCTCCTACCACCTTGGAAGTTGGGACACCATCTTCTGTTCTTCAGCTAGAATTCTACTCCTGTGGTTCATTCTGTGGAGAACTATAGCTTTCAGGGGAGCAGTCTGTGAGGGCAGTGATATGTGCAAGAGGGAGTTGGCAGATGAGAAAGATAAAGTGATGTGATGGATGGATTTCAACAGGAGTGTTTAACAGGTGGGACAGGATATCCAAGACAAGGCTAAATTCAGCATCAGTTTTAGGTTTTGAGGATGTTGTTTCTCCTCTGCCTGATTGACAGGCACCTCCCTTTCCTGGGCCTAGCAACTGTGATGTTCTCCTGGAAGCCAAATTTTGAGACTCCTCTTCCCTGGGGAGTTCCGGGGAAATGGGATTGTAATTCTCACCTGTAGTGGATTTCAGTGAGTTGTGTGGTTGTCTCCATATCTCAAAGCTCTTATGCCATGCAATAATGGAAACACAACAGAAGGGACTTCACTGGTCATCAACAGCCCTTGCCAGAAGTAGGAATCTTACTTACATCACCCCTCTTGAAAGGCTAGCCAACCCTACTTTGCCTCTACTGATAACTTTTGAATATCCTCCTAACTCAGAAACTGAACCAACCTAAATCAGAATGGACCTGACCCAGGAATGGCCCTCCAGAAGTGGTCAGACTGTAGTTCCCAGCATCCCTGACCATTGGTCATGCTAGCTGTGGCTAATGGGAGCTGGAGCCCAACGACATCTCTTACAGGATCTACTCCCTGCTGATAGTTATGTGTGGCAGCTATTGCCACACCGTATTTTCCCATGTATAAGAGGCCCCCATGTATAAGATGCCCCCTACTTTTGGGGACCCCAAATTTAGAAAATGGGCACATTCACTATCCGTGTAGAAGACGCCCCCAGATGTTTAACCTTATTTTAAAGTAAAAAAACCTAGTTTATACATGGAAAAGTACGGTAAGCGATGCAGTTGCATGAGCAGTCAGCCACAGGCATGACGCTGGCACAGCCAGCAACTTGTAGTGACATTATCTTGGCTCCCTTATTTGAATATTGGTGGTTTTATAGCCTCTTTCTTCCTTCCTGAAGGCCAGCAATTCTGAATCAGCGTGTGGCACTGATCTGTCTTCCCCCTGAGCGTTACATTGTGCCTGCGAACACCGTATGTGAGATTGCAGGATGGGGAGACACCAGAGGTACAGCCTCAGAAAAAGGGTATTGGGGAACAATTGGTGGGTAGATGATTTTTTTATTTATTTACTATGTTTATACAAGGCCACTCAGTAAGATTGTTATCTGGGTGACTCTGTTTTTTATTTTTCTCTTTTATTTTGTATCATTGAAACAAGAGTGTGCAGCATAACAATATTAAAATAAGAATAGAAGCAGATAATTAAAATATACAGCACATAAATAGTGGTTCAGGACACTAAAACCTCAGATTTGGGAATTTGTTTTAAGTGTTTATCTGGTGCTTAACTTATCATATCAAAGGTACCAGGTGAGTCTCTTTGAGAAGGGCACTTCACAACCGAGTGCTACCATTGTGGAGTCCCCTCCCCCAGGCAGTCTGCCATCTTGCTTCACTTGGTGGGGGCACCTGAAGAAAGGCCACTGAAGAACATTCAAGGTCCAGGTATATAAATGTGGAAGGAGGCCATCTTTGATCTGACCTGGTCCTAAGCCATTCAGCACTTTGAAGGTTAATACTGGCACTTTGAATTGGGACTGAAAATGGACTGAGAACTAGCGCAGCTAACAAAATTCTGGAGTAATATGACTGAATCACTCAGTCCCAGTTAGAAATATTGTAGTCTTATATTGGGCCAACTGTAGTTTCTGAACTTTTCTGAAAGGCAACCCCACACACCACACATTTCAATTCTCTAAACAGAATCATGGTCTGGCAGCCACTCACCCTTCCAATTTGCCAGGAACTTCTTTAGTGGCTACTCTCTAATTCCATCTATTCTCACTTTCCTTCCTTCTGCCACATCAGCTACAGAGCTTATGTTCCCCAGTCGAATAAAAAGCTTTGATGCATGCTGGACCCACTCACTGACCCTGCCTCACAGTGTGTGCCCCTCATGACATGGTCCAGCTATACAGGAGGTTGCCTAAGCCAGTTCATCCTCACCACCATTTGTTGATTTGTATGCCACTTTTCCAGGAGACTGTGCCCAGAGTGGCTCACAGCATATCAAATGAGCAATAAGGATAACAGTTCTAAGAATATTATTAGAAAAAACCATAGTATCAAATAAATAAGTACAAAAAGTCAACATCGTATAAAACAATACAAAAGTTAAAATTAGGTTAACACCTTAAAATTAGACTATTGCCAAACACAGAAACAAAAAGTATTGTATAATATACCTGCATCCCATAGTGTGGTTCTGAGAGACTCTTCAAGCATCCAGGGAGCCTGCCCCATCTCTCTCACTTGGGGTAGTTCAGAGACTCCTAGACTAGCTCTCACTAACAGGAGCCTTATACCCACCATTATCATAGGTCTGAAGCCAAACAGGAAACCAATAATTTTCCTTCCACACTAATTTTCCTTTCATACCCCACCCACCCACCCAGGTTGCAAGCCATAGACAAAGTTTTTTTGGGGAGGGTACTGCCCCCACCCTCAGGGCGACCCCCAACCGTTGCTCCTAAGCCTCTGATTCTGCTCCCCATGCAGGAACTGGTAATGAAAATGTCCTCAATGTGGCCAAGCTGCCAGTCATGAGCAACCAAGACTGCAATGTGGCTCTTCGAGGCCGTGTGAAGGAGAGTGAATTGTGCACGGCACCCTTGAACGTGCCTGTGGGAGCCTGTGAGGTAAGCAAGGCAGGGTATGTGAGGGGCTGAACTGAGCTGCTTTGAGTGCCCTGATATGTGAGGTGAGACACATATCCTCCTCCTGCTTCTCATGTAGATTCCCAAGAGATGGAGGGACCTGCAGAGAGGGAAGGAAGACAGGGTTAGGAAAAGGCTAGAAAGGTTAAGACCAGTACCAGGAAACAGTCCTCTGAGGGAAGAAGTGGATGAGGGGATCCACAAATAAAGGAACTCATGACAGGGAAAGGGGAGACATAAATACTTGAGCAAATTCTAGGAAGAAGAAAAACCACCTCTTGTGCCTTGATGGTGTTGCTCTGCCCTACAGGCACTGAGCCATGTTTTGTTTGAACTGAATTTGTCTTTTGTTCTCTGCTTCACACCTGCAGCGTGACTTTGGAGGCCCCTTGGCTTGCTTGACTCATGACTGCTGGGTGTTGGAAGGTGTGATCACCCCCAACCGCGTTTGCGCTCACAAAGAGAAGCCTGCCACCTTCATCCGTGTCTCCCTTTATGCTGACTGGATCAACAAAGTAATGAAGTTGAGCTGAGCTGTGTGGCTGGAACCAACTCATCATGAAGCCTTCCTTCCTCCACAATCACCATCCTTGAGGTCCTTTAATAAGGATCAGTGTTGCCAAATGGGAGGACATTTTCCAAGCCAGGCTGTGAACTTTGGGGGAACATTGTCCTGAGCCTGCCCTTTTGGAACACACAGGCGATGCTTTTGAAACAAATGCTGCCATAACCCAGACACACTTTTCTTCTCCTTCTACAGGAATAGCTATCACCATGGAATCACAGGTATATCAATAGAACAAAACACCACCAAACCTATACAGTAGTAATTTGTTTGAATGCAGCACAATCCCATGTATCACAGAATTGTAGAGTCAGAAGGGACTACAAGGATCATCTAGTCCAGCCCCTGCAAAGCAGGAATCTTTTTGCCCAATGTGGGGCTCAAACACCCAACCCTGAGATTCAGAGTCTCATGCTCTACAACCTGAGCTATCCCAGGTGTATTTAATTTAAAAATCATTTCGAGTCAGGCTTCTACATTGGTTATGTACCTTCCATACAGAAACACACACTTTCAGAAGGTTTGAACAAATAATATTGGTGTCATTCTCTCTCCAGCGGCAACCCCATTGCAGTAGCTCTTTTACACACTTTCCCATCTCTTTGAAGGAAGGTTCCCTCTCTCCTTCCCAGGGACTGTCATATAGGCTGAGGCCACACCGCAGGCTCCATGTCACTGCATCCCCCACTAAGCAAGGCACTGGGTTTCCTAAGAACTTCCATCTGTCTGTCTTTCTTGTTACAAAATAAGTTTCCATATTGTTGGTATTATTATTATGTCATTAAAAAAGAACTTTGTAATAAATTAATAGTAATAATTCATTCCTTTTTGTCAAAATTCATTGGCTGAAAGAAAGCTTCATTATTCAGGCTTTGTGTAACCTAATTTTTTTTAACCATTAATGAACTCCTCTTTTTAAGTCCTGACTCCGAAGGGCAACAAACAGTGCGAAGTTGAACAAACAGTTCAAAGTTCCTCTGAAACTATTAATAACAGAGTACAGGCAATACTTAATGCAAAGCATGATGCTCTAACATTGTTGAAGCTCAATGCATGGCTTACCTTATCAGTGCCTGGGAGCTCACAAAGTAACTTACTTTTCCAATGGAAAAAAGGCTCTTAGTATAGTATAGTATAGTATAGTATAGTATAGTATAGTATAGTAATAATATTGTTGCATGCCACCCTAATCTCCAAGTGATGCGAGATTACGAGGGTTCTAGGCACTTACTCAGGGTTCGTGTTTCCTTTTGTTAATGAGGCACAATGGAGACTGTGGTGTCTTTATGATATATGGTTATTTACACATACTATATATTCATAGAACTGTAGAGTTGGAAGGGACTACACGGGTCATCTAGTCCAACCTCCTGCAAGGCAGGAATCTTTTGTCCAATGTGGGGCTCGAGTCCACACCCACACCCCCATTTTATATTTGTGCAGCTGGCTCTTCTTGCCTAAGGGCAGAACCTTACATTTGTCCCTATTGAAATTCATTGTATTAGTTTGGGCTCAGTTCTCCAATACGTTATGGTCATTTTGAATCCAAATTCTGTATTTTAGTTTCCCCTCCCAGTTTGGTGTCATCTGCAGATTTGATGAGCACCCCCTCAATGCCTTTCTCCAAGTCATTCATAAAGACGTAGAACAACAATAATTGGCCCAGACCCTGTGGCACCTCATTTGTCACTTGTTCCTCAGGAGGTTGAGGAATCATCGGAGATGGAGAACAGATACAGTTACCACTGTGCTAAATAAAAGACACATCTTTGCATTTCCTGTTTTGGAAAACAGCAACAAGCAAATCTCTGTGCTTTTTTTAATACACCTAAGAAACAAAACCCTATCATGATTTGACTGATGAACTGATCAATCTTATCTGCCCTAGAAAAAGCCCATTGAATATACTAGGATTAAATTCCAAGCATGAATAGGATTGGGCAGTATACATGTGTGTTTACTCAAATATATATACATGTCTGCCATCTCTGGGTAATTGCCTGGCTTTGTGCGTCTTCTATTGTATCAAGATTGTGAACAGCACTAATTCGCACCTCCTCAAAAGTTCAGATCTTTGGCATGGCAGCAACAACCTTGAGCACAGTCAAAAATGTTAATCTGAATGACACAGGCAATGAGGTCTTTTTGCAAAATAAAACAAAGATATTTGATAGTATTAGAAACTCCATTATGAATAAGCTTTGGATGGGTGTAGTGCTGGTGTGGATTTAAGCAGCAGCAGAAAGGCATCCTGTGCAATGAGTAAATGAGTGGTGGTGGATCTCTGAACTAACTTCTATTTTGATTGTCACATGCTGGATTTTGATCTTGTATTAAGAATCTTGCATCTGTTTTTAAAGAAGAAATAGTGTGTTGGGGTGGAGAAATGAGCAGCTACGAAAGGACTGACCAACTACAAAGGACTGCATAAGGCTTTTAGTTTGGAGACGCAAACTACGGTAACTTACTGTTAAGGAAATAGAACTTGCTTTTAAAGTGGAACCAATAAAAAGTGGGGGCTGAAGAGAGTCTGAAGGCAAGGTGGTTTCTTCCAGGTGCCAACAGCAGAATTTCCAGCTACTGCTATTTATTGCTATTGGGCCACTAACTTTCTTATTCTCAAAACCACCCAAAAGGAGTACCACCCTCACTCAAGACAACTTTGGCAGGAGGCCCTTTGGTAAAGTGTATCAGTACCACTATGTGAGATAAAAGCAGTAAGGAAAGGAGGAGCCTGAAAATCCCATTCATTTACATAGTCCGGCACATGGTTCGTTTGCATGGTTCCCAGCCTATTTAAAAGTACACCACAGCCCTGCTAACTCACTCACACTCTCCACTTTAGCTCAACAATTTTGGTTGCTGAAAGTCTTACCTGTCCAGCAGTCTGAAAGGATCCGGAGAGATGCCTTCTTCCCAGATCATTACCTTTCTGGTGGCTTTAATTGACTTGGCCCTTGGTGGGCTCGTCTCCAATGGCTTTGTAGTTGCAGTGATAGTCATTGAATGGGCTAAATGCAAGACCCTCGCGGCTAGGGAGCAACTTATTCTATCCATGGGTACGTGCAATATCTTCTTCACACTTACTCTGACTGCATTTTTAATTAGAAACGGGTTAAAGCTTGAAACCAGCGACGGCGTAATATTTGGCGTATATTACTACTTTTTAGCCTTTGGCCTATTCTCCCGACTCTGGGTCATTGCCTGGCTCTGTGTCTTCTATTGCGTCAAGATAGTGAACAGCACACACTGCCTCTTCCTGTGGTGCAAGCTGAGGATATCGCGCCTGGTGCCCTGGCTTCTTGGGGGCTCTCTTGTCATCACGTTGCTTGCGTCCTTCATTGCAATTCAAAATGAGCAATGCAATTCTCTCATGAGCAATGCAACAGTCAACAATGCAAACATGACACAAGGGAAGACAGAGAATAAGCTTGACTGCTTTCTTGAAGGCTTGCTTCTAATTGGTCATACTGTCTGTCCCTTTCTTATAGTTTTCCTTTGCTCCATCCTGGTTGTAACCTCGCTCTGTAGGCATGTCTGCCAGATGACAGGTAAAGAATCCAAATTTAGGAGCCCTCAAACAGAAGCCCACGTCAAGGCAGCTGGAACAGTGCTCTTCCTCCTGATTCTTTCCATTTTTTTTTATGTGGCAGAGACCTTGGTTATAACTGGACAAGCTGGAAAAAGCATATATGCTACTTCAGTGTGTATAACAGTTATAATATCATATTCCCCTGTGCAGGCTGCCATCCTGGTGTCGGTGAATCCTAAGCTCAAGCAGGCAGCTGCCAGGATGCTTCCAAGAGCAAAGCCTTCATAATTCTTAGATGTTGCATTTTGTAAAAAGAGCTGGCTCAGGGGGCCCAAGCCTGGTCAAGCGTCGGGTGTGAAGTGGAGAAAGGACTGTAACACTTTGTTTGCTCTCATGTTTTCAATCAGCATTGTCCTGCTCCTATCATGGCTGCTATTTGCAATGCTGGGAAAGCCCCTCTTGGTTCCAGTCAGTGCTATCCTGCCACTGCGATTCTGATCGGGAAAAGGAAGGATTAATGGTTAAAGTCCCCTGCCCTCCTTGCCACAGTCACAACCAGCCTTCTCTCCCCACCCCCTCTGCAGGGCAGCTACTTTCTTAAAATTAAGCCTGCTACATCTCTTCAGGATCACGGGATAAGGACTCACTGCTGAACAACTTACACCAAGCATTCCTCAAAGTACAAGGCTCATCTAATACAGCAAGACAAAGCAGATGCCACTTACAGCCCCCAAATGAAATCACTCACACATTTCATCAGTTATCGACACCCAAGTCTGGAGAATGACACTTCCCTCTCACACGCCTTGGCTGTTGACTTATACATCCTCACAGACATCTCCTGATCCAAAACAGCTCTTCCCAAAGAACAACATGCCCATGACAGGGCTATGGAGATGGGGAACGCAGACGCTGTCCACAGACTTACTCTGGGAAAAGTGTTTCAGGATTAATGATGCCATCCCAAACCTCAGGGGATTGTTCACCTGCTCACCTTCCAACATGATGTCTGCCATCATCTGCCAGCACTGCCCTTTTGCTTTCTATAGAGGAGGAATGAGATACAAAATGGACAAAAATCTGATGTCAGAAATCTCAATATTCAAAAGGAAGTGGCGGAACACTGAAACCTTCTAGGTCCTAGGACACTGTGTAAATAACCTGAAAATAGCTATCCTGCAGCAAAGGAACTTCAAAAAAGATACTGAGACATGAAACCACTGAATTACAATACATCAGGAGTTTTCACCGATATCATTTGTGAACTGAACTGACACAAAGAACTCCTCACACATTCCATGTGCTTAACGGTGCCATGATATCCACATTTAAAAAAGGGTTTTGGAAATTACCACTGTTAACTATGTAATTATCACTGGCTGAAGTTTTACACTTTTCATTTCCCTCTGACCTTGTTTTTTTTTACGATTGCCCACACCCAGACGTATATTTGTACTGGCAACTCCAGGACAACATTCATAAATGTGCTAGCCTTGAGTCTCTTCACCATTCTTATTTGTTTTTACATGATGTAAAATAAAAGCCTAATTATATCTTGTAGTATGTACCTTATTATGTCAGGAGGCAATAAACATTTTCTGATCCTGAAAAAAACCCCTGTTACTTTATTGCCTCCCTTCTTTCACCCTTATGAAACAACATATTCATACATTTTCAATTCCTGTGGACTATGATGAGTTAAGACCCCCGCATACCCTTCCTTCCTTCCTTCCTTGAACTCCATTCAGTCTCAACTTCTTCTTTGTAAAGGACACTAAAGTCTGTCTCCATCACAGCTTCACCTCCCTCTGAGTTCCTACCATGACCTGCTCCTTCCTCAGAGCCACCTGCTCTCCCTCTGGATCTCAGAAGGGGATTAATGTTTCAGTGAAGGACAGGTCTACCAATGGCTATTAACTGGACAGAATGGGTAGGCTATCACTTTTGTGGACTGTCTGTGGCTGCTAGGAACAGCTGCTTGGCTGCTACATGATGGAGTCAGAAATTTTTGATCGTATGGCACACTTATATTCTTGGTTCTTGGGTACGTTTCCAAAGACAATTCAAAGTGTTGGTGCTAACCTTTAAAGCCCTAAATGGCCTCGGTCCAGTATACCTGAAGGAGCGTCTCCACCCCAATCCTTCTCCCCGGACACTGAGGTCCAGTGCTGAGGGCCTTCTGGCAGTTCCCTCACTGCAAGAAGCCAAGTTACAGGGAACCAGGCAGAGGGCCTTCTCGGTAGTGGCACCCGCCCTGTGGAACGCCCTCCCACCAGATCTCAAAGAGAACAACCACCAAACTTTTAGAAGACATCTGAAGGCAGCCCTGTTTAGGGAAGCTTTTAATGTCTGATTTATTACTGTATTTTAATATTTGGTTGGAAGCCGCCCAGCGTGGCTGGGGAAGCCCAGCCAGATGGGCTGGGTATAAATAATAAATTATTATTATTATTATTATTATTATTATTATTATTATTGGGTTGGATCAGCCTCTGTGCATCTATGTCTCCCCACAATATTGTGTATGATAGCATTTCCTGTGTGCCCCAAACACAGCATATTTATTATGTTAGTTTGCTTCCCCCTCCCTTCCCTTTATGAAGCTGCTTATCTGATATTGAGGGGCAATTGATGCACAGAGGCACTGTCAGAATTAGATGTATCAAAAATCAAAGGTATCATCTCTGTAAGTTACTTTCTCCCTAAGATGATATTATTATTATTATTATTATTATTATTATTATTAATTATTATTATTATTATTATTATTATTAAATTTGTTAGTCACTTTTATCATACATCTCTATAGGATTTGAATTCTATTTGCCTGTCTTGGGGTTGTTTTGCCTTTGTATCATGCCTGCCCGCCTGCCCACACTGTAAACAGGACAGAACGTAGGTCCTGTTTTCTTACACCTGTTCATTTAATAAATTTCCTTAGAGATAGCTCAGTCAGTAGAGCATAAGGCTCTTAATCTCAGGATCATGGGTTCAAGCCCCTCATTGGGTGAAAGATTCCTGCATCGCTGGGGGTTGATCAGAGTTTCCCAAACCTGGGTCTCCAGCTGTTTTTGAACTACAATTTCCATCTTCCCTCACCATTGGTCCTCCTAGTGAGGGATGATGGGAGTTGTGGTCCAACAACATCTGAACGGCCACAGGTTCCCCATCCCTGTAATAGTGAAATAAGTTAATGTAGAGGTAACCTAATGTCCTGCAGACAGCAGCTGTTGGTGGGATTGGGCAGTCTTGCTTTCCTCACTTCCCAAGTCTGAGGTCCATGCTTATTACTGAGAGGGAGAAGAGATGAGTAAGGCAATTCGGGTGAGGAGGTTGATGCACCCAAGCCACCGGGAGGACTACGCTGAGATCTCTGCTACCTTGCTTCCCTCTCTTGCAGCAACCTAGAGGGACCCTGAGAGGCAGTGCTGTCTTACCCCATGTTGTCAGCTCCTGCCTGAAAATATCACTGGAACCAACTTTGATCACTCAAAGCACCACATTTCTCTTAATGTGTTACGTGGCATTTCTCTTCCTCTCTCTGCCCTTTATGAAGGTTGAGATCCACAGCTCAAAGTGTGATGGAAGCACAGATGCGGTGCAAGAATTAGACATTTTACAGACCCTAATAAAAGATGCTATCCTTTGCTATTTGCATTGCTATAATTACAGCTGAGGATCAAATAGGCAAACAGATCCAGTTACCAGTGTGCTAAATTAAATACACATCTTTGCATATCCCGCTCTGGAAAACAGCAACAAGCAAATCTGTGCTTTTTAAGACACTAAAAAACCCACAATCCTATCATGATTTGCAAGTAAACCTACCAATCAGGAATGCAATCGCAGGTGCACTAACCTTAGAGAAAGGCCACTGAATATAGTAGGATTGGGCTGGACATGCCCCTCTGTTTAAAGATCCAAAAGTTTAGATCTTTGGCATGGCAACAGTGCAGTCAAAATGGTTAATTGAATCACACACACAGTGAGGTCTTTTGGAAAAACTAGGCAGAAGAAACAAAACTACTGGGTAGTATTAAAAATAGGTTCTACATTATAAATATACTGGGTTCATGCAGAGCTGGAGTGGAGAATGTGCAGCAGTGCAGAATGTGCAATAGAAAAATGAGTGCAGCTAAGTCTGCTATTGTGATTGTTACACACTGCAATTTGAGCTTGCATTGATCTGTTTTTAAAAGAATAAATACTGTACTGCGGTTAAAGAAATTAGCAGCAGGCAAAGGAAAGGAAAACTTCATTGGAAATAACTGCAGATAGATTTTACTTTGGGGCATGCTGTTGAGGAAGAAGCATTTGCCTATAATCTGGGATCAAATAAAAGAAAAGGCTGCAGAGGCCTGGGAACCAGAAGCAGGAGGGTCTGAGGGCAAACAAGCCAGCTGGAATTTCCAGCTCCTCCTATTCTTTACATAAACTCTGGGCCACTGCAAAGTGGTTGCCTGTGGCAAGCTTTCTTATTCATGGGGCCAGCAAAATGGAGCAACCCCCCCCCCCCCATTTATACAAAGTGGAGTGACAGATACAGTTTCTGTCCACACTACTATGCCAGATAGAGGCATATGGAAATTATGGAAATGAGCAGCTGGAGAGTCTCATTAATTTATAATTTGGTTCACAGTTCATTTGCATTGTTCCCCGGTCATTCATAAGGATGCTGCAGATGTTCTGTCTCACTTGCACACTGCATCTCAGTGCAGCAACTTTGGATCGCTGAAAGGCCACCTGGTACAGTAATCTGCAAGGATACGGAGAGATGCCTTCTCCTCAACTTATTGCCTTTCTGGCGTCTCTAGCTGTCCTGGCTATCGGTGGGCTCATCTCCAATGGCTTTATTGTTGCAGTGATAGTCACTGAGTGGGCTAAAAGCAGGAAACTTGATGCTAGAGAACAACTTCTTCTGTCTCTAGGTATGTCCAATATCGGCTTCTCGGGTGTTCTGTCTCCATATTTAATTAAGTACGGCTTTATCTCTGACTTTAGGAGCCCCTTAATACTACAAATATGCTACTTCATTGGAACCTTTCTCACATTCTCCCGATTCTGGCTTACTGCCTGGCTCTGCCTCTTCTATTATCTCAAGATCGTTAACAACAACTGCTCCCTTTTTCTTTGGTGCAAGCTGAGGATATCACGGATAATACCTTGGCTTCTTGGGGGATCTCAAGCCATCTCCTTGCTTGTTTCCTTCTTTGCACTGCAGAGTACGTATATTAAACCCCAGGGAAGCATTACAAACATGACGCAAGACCAGACAGAGGTTGATTTTGCTACTAATTTCAAAATCTTCTTTTTGATTACTGCTGCTGGCTGCCCGTTCCTGATAGTTTTTCCTTGCTCAATCATGGTTGTAGCCACACTCTACAGACACGTCTACAAACTGACTGGGAAAGAATCCAATATTAGGAGCCTTCAAACAGATGCTCACACGAAGGCAGCTGGGACAGTCCTCCTCCTGCTGGTGCTTTCCATTTCTTTTTACGTGGCAAAGATCTTATTTATAACTGGCTGTATTAACAAAGATAAAGTTGCCATTTCAGTGTGTATAACAATGATACTAATGTACTCCCCTGTGCAGGCTGCCCTCCTGGTCTTGGTGAATCCCAACCTGAAGCAGGCAGCTGCCAGGATGCTTCCCAGAAGAAAGCCTTAACCATTCTTAGGTGTTGCCTTTTGTGAAGAGCTAGCTCAGGAGCCCCAAGCCTGGTCAGGAGTAGTGTGCATGTTTTCTCCAGCACACAAACTGGAATTGACCCCTCCTATCATGCCTGCCATTTGCCATGGGAAGAAAGGGCCTATTGATGCCAACAGCAGATTTCCTCCCATTGTGGTTCTGATTGGGATGGGGGGTGATGAGTGGTTAAAGATTCCTGCCCCACCTTGCCCCAGTCACAAGCAGCCTTGCTTCCTCCCCTAAGTCAGCTACTTCCTTTCTTAAAATGAAACATTAACATCCCTTCAGGCTCATTGGTCAAGACATCTAAGAATTGCCATAGGAGAGACCGAGATTAGAAAACAGCAAAACAAAAACAAAGGAACGTGATGTTTACAGGCACCTCCTGCTCTTGAACAGCTCTTCCCAAGAAACAACATACCTACACCAGGCATCTGTATACCAGCAGCCCCTGTGGCAGACGCAGATGCCATCTCTGTCCACAAATTCACTCTGGCAATACTATTACACAGCCTTAGAATGCTGTTCACAACATCAGGAGTTTGTTCACCTCCTCATCTTCCAATGTGATATCTGCGATCTTCTTACATGATATCCACCATCAGAAACTCCTTTCTGCATTCTACACAGGACAAACACGCCAGCCTATATGCAAAATAAGAAATGGACAGAAGTCTGACATCAGAGATTGCAATATTCAAAAAGCCTTTGGCAGAATGCTTCTATAACCTTAAAGTTGCCGTCCTACAGCAAAGGAACTTCAAAGGGACACTGCAACGTGTAACCATTGAATCACAATATATCAAGAGTTTCAGTGCTATCATTTGTGGAGTGAACTGAGCCAAATAATTTCTTGTCCATTTGCCTTGTACTTAATGGTGCCATGATATCTGCTTCATAAAAGATTGTTTTGGAAATTACCACTGTTAACCATGTAATTATCACTGTCCAAAGTTTTACATATTTTATTTCCTCTGATCTTACTTTTTACGGTCACCACCCCAACATACCCTTGCAACTCAGAATAATTGTATATACATTTTTTCTATAGGGAAAAATGTTTAGGGAAGCTTTTAATATTTTATGAACTATTGTATCTTCAGGTTTTGTTGGAAGCCACCCAGAGTGGCTGGGGAAACCCAGCCAGATGGGCGGGGTATAAATAATAAATTATTATTATTATTATTATTATTATTATTATTATTATTATTATTGGGTTGGATCAGCCTCTGTGCATCTATGTCTCCCGACAATATTGTGTATGATAGCATTTCATGTGTGCCCCAAATTTGTTTATTGTTGTTTATATTTATTATGTTAGTTTGCTTCCCCCTCCCTTCCCTTTATGAAGCTGCTTATCTGATATTGAGGGGCAATTGATGCACAGAGGCAATGTCAGAATTAGATGTTTCAAAAATCAAAGGTATCATCTCTGTAAGTTACTTTCTCCCTAATATGATATTATTATTATTATTATTATTATTATTATTATTATTATTTATTATTAAATTTGTTAGTCACTTTTATCATACATCTCTATAGGATTTGAATTCTATTTGCCTGTCTTGGGGTTGTTTTGCCTTTGTATCATGCCTGCCTGCCTGCCCACACTGTAAACAGGACAGAACGTAGGTCCTGTTTTCTTACACCTGTTCATTTAATAAATTTCCTTAGAGATAGCTCAGTCAGTAGAGCATAAGGCTCTTAATCTCAGGATCGTGGGTTCAAGCCCCTCATTGGGTGAAAGATTCCTGCATCGCTGGGGGTTGATCAGAGTTTCCCAAACCTGGGTCTCCAGCTGTTTTTGAACTACAATTTCCATCTTCCCTCACCACTGGTCCTCCTAGTGAGGGATGATGGGAGTTGTGGTCCAACAACATCTGAACGGCCACAGGTAACGTGGCCCATCCCTGTAATAGTGAAATAAGTTAATGTAGAGGTAACCTAATGTCCTGCAGACAGCAGCTGTTGGTGGGATTGGGCAGTCTTGCTTTCCTCACTTCCCAAGTCTGAGGTCCATGCTTATTACTGAGAGGGAGAAGAGATGAGTAAGGCAATTCGGGTGAGGAGGATGATGCACCCAAGCCACCGGGAGGACTACGCTGAGATCTCTGCTACCTTGCTTCCCTCTCTTGCAGCAACCTAGAGGGACCCTGAGAGGCAGTGCTGTCTTACCCCATGTTGTCAGCTCCTGCCTGAAAATATTACTGGAACCAACTTTGATCACTCATTTCTCTTAATGTGTTACGTGGCATTTCTCTTCCTCTCTCTGCCCCTTATGAAGGTTGAGATCCACAGCTCAAAGTGTGATGGAAGCACAGATGCGGTGCAAGAATTAGACATTTTACAGACCCTAATAAAAGATGCTATCCTTTGCTATTTGCATTGCTATAATTACAGCTGAGGATCAAATAGGCAAACAGATCCAGTTACCAGTGTGCTAAATTAAATACACATCTTTGCATATCCCGCTCTGGAAAACAGCAACAAGCAAATCTGTGCTTTTTAAGACACTAAAAACCCCACAATCCTATCATGATTTGCAAGTAAACCTACCAATCAGGAATGCAATCGCAGGTGCACTAACCTTAGAGAAAGGCCACTGAATATAGTAGGATTGGGCTGGACATGTCCCTCTGTTTAAAGATCCAAAAGTTTAGATCTTTGGCATGGCAACAGTGCAGTCAAAATGGTAATTGAATCACACACACAGTGAGGTCTTTTGGAAAAACTAGGCAGAAGAAACAAAACTACTGGGTAGTATTAAAAATAGGTTCTACATTATAAATATACTGGGTTCATGCAGAGCTGGAGTGGAGAATGTGCAGCAGTGCAGAATGTGCAATAGAAAAATGAGTGCAGCTAAGTCTGCTATTGTGATTGTTACACACTGCAATTTGAGCTTGCATTGATCTGTTTTTAAAAGAATAAATACTGTACTGCGGTTAAAGAAATTAGCAGCAGGCAAAGGAAAGGAAAACTTCATTGGAAATAACTGCAGATAGATTTTACTTTGGGGCATGCTGTTGAGGAAGAAGCATTTGCCTATAATCTGGGATCAAATAAAAGAAAAGGCTGCAGAGGCCTGGGAACCAGAAGCAGGAGGGTCTGAGGGCAAACAAGCCAGCTGGAATTTCCAGCTCCTCCTATTCTTTACATAAACTCTGGGCCACTGCAAAGTGGTTGCCTGTGGCAAGCTTTCTTATTCATGGGGCCAGCAAAATGGAGCAACCCCCCCCCCCATTTATACAAAGTGGAGTGACAGGCAGCCCTCTGATACAGTTTCTGTCCACACTACTATGCCAGATAGAGGCATATGGAAATTATGGAAATGAGCAGCTGGAGAGTCTCATTAATTTATAATTTGGTTCACAGTTCATTTGCATTGTTCCCCGGTCATTCATAAGGATGCTGCAGATGTTCTGTCTCACTTGCACACTGCATCTCAGTGCAGCAACTTTGGATCGCTGAAAGGCCACCTGGTACAGTAATCTGCAAGGATACGGAGAGATGCCTTCTCCTCAACTTATTGCCTTTCTGGTGTCTCTAGCTGTCCTGGCTATCGGTGGGCTCATCTCCAATGGCTTTATTGTTGCAGTGATAGTCACTGAGTGGGCTAAAAGCAGGAAACTTGATGCTAGAGAACAACTTCTTCTGTCTCTAGGTATGTCCAATATCGGCTTCTCGGGTGTTCTGTCTCCATATTTAATTAAGTACGACTTAATCTCTGACTTTAGGAGCCCCTTAATATTACAAATACGCTACTTCATTGGAACCTTTCTCACATTCTCCCGATTCTGGCTTACTGCCTGGCTCTGCCTCTTCTATTATCTCAAGATCGTTAACAACAACTGCTCCCTTTTTCTTTGGTGCAAGCTGAGGATATCACGGATAATACCTTGGCTTCTTGGGGGATCTCAAGCCATCTCCTTGCTTGTTTCCTTCTTTGCACTGCAGAGTTCGTATATTAAACCCCAGGGAAGCATTACAAACATGACGCAAGACCAGACAGAGGTTGATTTTGCTACTAATTTCAAAATCTTCTTTTTGATTACTGCTGCTGGCTGCCCGTTCCTGATAGTTTTTCCTTGCTCAATCATGGTTGTAGCCACACTCTACAGACACGTCTACAAACTGACTGGGAAAGAATCCAATATTAGGAGCCTTCAAACAGATGCTCACACGAAGGCAGCTGGGACAGTCCTCCTCCTGCTGGTGCTTTCCATTTCTTTTTACGTGGCAAAGATCTTATTTATAACTGGCTGTATTAACAAAGATAAAGTTGCCATTTCAGTGTGTATAACAATGATACTAATGTACCCCCTGTGCAGGCTGCCCTCCTGGTCTTGGTGAATCCCAACCTGAAGCAGGCAGCTGCCAGGATGCTTCCCAGAAGAAAGCCTTAACCATTCTTAGGTGTTGCCTTTTGTGAAGAGCTAGCTCAGGAGCCCCAAGCCTGGTCAGGAGTAGTGTGCATGTTTTCTCCAGCACACAAACTGGAATTGACCCCTCCTATCATGCCTGCCATTTGCCATGGGAAGAAAGGGCCTATTGATGCCAACAGCAGATTTCCTCCCATTGTGGTTCTGATTGGGATGGGGGGTGATGAGTGGTTAAAGATTCCTGCCCCACCTTGCCCCAGTCACAAGCAGCCTTGCTTCCTCCCCCTAAGTCAGCTACTTCCTTTCTTAAAATGAAACATTAACATCCCTTCAGGCTCATTGGTCAAGACATCTAAGAATTGCCATAGGAGAGACCGAGATTAGAAAACAGCAAAACAAAAACAAAGGAACGTGATGTTTACAGGCACCTCCTGCTCTTGAACAGCTCTTCCCAAGAAACAACATACCTACACCAGGCATCTGTATACCAGCAGCCCCTGTGGCAGACGCAGATGCCATCTCTGTCCACAAATTCACTCTGGCAATACTATTACACAGCCTTAGAATGCTGTTCACAACATCAGGAGTTTGTTCACCTCCTCATCTTCCAATGTGATATCTGCGATCTTCTTACATGATATCCACCATCAGAAACTCCTTTCTGCATTCTACACAGGACAAACACGCCAGCCTATATGCAAAATAAGAAATGGACAGAAGTCTGACATCAGAGATTGCAATATTCAAAAGCCTTTGGCAGAATGCTTCTATAACCTTAAAGTTGCCGTCCTACAGCAAAGGAACTTCAAAGGGACACTGCAACGTGTAACCATTGAATCACAATATATCAAGAGTTTCAGTGCTATCATTTGTGGAGTGAACTGAGCCAAATAATTTCTTGTCCATTTGCCTTGTACTTAATGGTGCCATGATATCTGCTTCATAAAAGATTGTTTTGGAAATTACCACTGTTAACCATGTAATTATCACTGTCCAAAGTTTTACATATTTTATTTCCTCTGATCTTACTTTTTACGGTCACCACCCCAACATACCCTTGCACCTCAGAATAATTGTATATACATTTTTCTATAGGGAAAAATGTTTAGGGAAGCTTTTAATATTTTATGAACTATTGTATCTTCAGGTTTTGTTGGAAGCCACTCAGAGTGGCTGGGGAAACCCAGCCAGATGGGCGGGGTAGAAATAATAATTATTATTATTATTAATTATTATTATTATTACTACTACTAATATTATTACTATTTTTATTTTCTGCCTTACGACTTTTCACTGTTCTTGTTTGTTACAGCATGTAAAATAAAAGTCTTATTATTTACTGATGTGCTTTATTATGCCAACAATCCATAAGCAATTTCTTATCTTGAATAATAAGCCTCTTACTTTTTGCTTCCCTTGTTTCATTTGTATAAACTCATAAGTTTTGCCATTACTGCATATTCCTGCATTTTGAATTCTCACTATGTCATGGTTTTTGCCTTTTCCAAACATTTTGCATACCAGCCTTGAAACTCTACTCACATAAAATTTAAATTCCCTCTGTTATACTTGGACCGTGTGTGTGTGTGTGTGTGTGTGTGTGTGTGTGTTTATATGTTAATAAAATATAACAAGGGTAATATGACAAAGGTCAGATTTTGACTTTAGAAATTGTTATACCAAAATCAGGTACCCTGTAAAGAAAAACAAAGAAAGAAAGAAAGAAAGAAAGAAAGAAAGAAAGAAAGAAAGAAAGAAAGAACCTTGCCAGCAAGATTAAGTTCAATAGGCACACCATCCATACATTGGCTTAATGTGGATCATGAAGCCCTATTGTACCTCCTTCAATTCCCCCTTGTCTTCTTCTTCATCTACTTCTGTCCCACACTTTCCCTTCCCTATATCCAGAGTGTCCTATGAAATGGATTTAGCTTCTCCCTCCCTGGAATTCTCTGATTTCTTCCCACTTCCCCTTGGCAACTGGTTCCCTTCTTCACGATGCCCTCATCTGGGACAGATGACCAACAGTAGAATATTGCATGTCTATAGGAAGGCTAGACCTTTATAATTTCCTTTTTCATCAACCACAAGCGTTTCAAACTTTGCTAGGCAATTTGGACGCTTGGAAAGCTACCCTACCACCCACTACTTGCAGATGTTGTTAAACACCAACTACCAGAAGCTTTTGTGGCTCTTTTTTGTGCATCAAATGTCTCCCCTCGACATTTTGTGTGATTGCAGCTCTTGCATGCTCAGAACACAACATATTTCTTACACCTTAGTTTGATTTCTCTCTCTCTCTCCCTGCCCTTTATGAAGGTTGTTATGCACATCTCATGGGCCAACAGAAGCACAGAGGCAGTGCAAGAACCAGCTGTTTCAGAAATCTAATAAAAAGTACTGTCCTTTGCCTATTTGATCTTCAGTTGCAAATACAGTGATGCAAATATAGAATGGAATTAGTTACTGCTTTGCTTAATAAAATACATATATTTCCATTTTCTGTTCTGGAAAACAGCACCAAGCAAATCTCTATGCTTTTAAGACACTGAAGAAACCCAAACCTATCATGTTTTGACAGGTAAACTGATCAATTAGGGCTACAATCTGTGCACGCTTACTTTAGAGTAAGTCCACTAAATACAGTAGGATTAAATTCCATGGTTGCATAGGATTGGGCTGTCTGTGGCCCTTAATTTAAAAACATACTTCAGAAATTAACAACAATCTTGAGCAAAGTGATAAATGTTACTTTGAATGACACGGGCAATGAGGTCTTTTGGCTAAAATAACAGAAGAAACTAAAGCATTTTGCAGTATTACAGCTTTTTCTATGTTATGAATATACTGTGGGTCAGTAGAGAGCCGGAGTTACTGTTTATTTTATTTAACAAAATTTATGTGCCCTTGACTGTAAAAAAACCCCACAACCCTTCTAACTGGTTACAAAAATATAAACAAAAAAATTCTCAATAAAAAGTTTAAGAACAAGTACAGTCGTACCTTGGTTCTGGAACGCCTTGGGAGTCAAATGTTTTGGCTCCTGAATGCCACAAACCCAGAAGTGACTGTTCCGGTTTGCAAACGTCCTTTGGAACCTGAACATCCGACGCGGCTTCTGCAGCTTCCAATTGAGTGCAGGAAGCTCCTGCTGCCAATCGGAAGCCACGCCTTGGTTGTCTAACGTTTTTGGAAGTCGAACGGACTTCCATAACGGATTCCATTTGACAACCAAGGTACGACTGTATGTATTTAAAAGCAGTCAAAATATACTAATTAAAATCGACAGTAGCGAAAAAGAGAAAAACACATGTACAGTGTTACCTCCAGTTGCGGGCGGGATCTGTTCCGGAGGTCCGGTCGGATCCTGAGGTTTCCGCAACCTGAGGACCGCTTCTGTGCATGCACACTCAGTGAAACCCGGTAAAATACTTCCAGGTTTGCCGTGCGCTCATCCCAAAGTTTATGTAACCAGGGGTTACGTAAACGACTGTAA